TGGCCCAAAGGGATGCTTAACGGACTTATCATCTGTGGAGAATAGGATCAATAAACTACATTATCGGTAGAGAATAGCCTCGGCCTGATTCCTTGATCTGTAGCCTCCAGAATCGAAAGAAAATGGCAATTCGGATAAATCGCCCGAAATCTGTGATGGTACCCCTTTGGAATCTGCCTAAAATTGACCCGGAATAAATCTGTCCAAATCGGTGCTTAATAAACTCAATCATCGTTGGAGAATAGCCTCAGGCTGAATCAGTGATCTGTAGCCATCAATATCCAAAGAAAATGGCCTTTCGTCGCCCAAGAAATCACGAAAATGCCATCCGAAAAATAAATTGCCCCAAATCGATGCTTAACGGACTTATCATCCGTGAAGAATAGGATCGATAGAATTCATTATCGGTGGAGAATATCCTCGGCCTGATTCCGTGATTTGTAGCCTCCAGAATCCAAAGAAAATGGCATTTCGGATAAATCGCCGAAATCTGTGATGGTACCCTTTTGGAATCTGCCAAAAATTGACCCGGAATAAATTCGCCCAAATCTGGGCTTGATGGACTCAATCATCGTTGAAGAATATTCTCAGGCCGAATCCGTGATCTGTAGTCTTCAATATCCAAAGAAAATGGTCTTTCGTCGCCCAAGAAATTACGAAAATGTCATCTGAAAATAAATTGGTCCAAATCGATGTTTAACGGACTTATCATCCGTGGAGAATAGGATCAATAGACTTCATTATCGGTGGAGAATAGCCTCGGCATGATTTGTTGATCTGTAGCCTCCAAAATCAAAAGAAAATGGCATTTCGGATAAATCGCCTGAAATCAGTGATGGTACCCCTTTGGAATCTGCCAAAAATTGACCCGGAATAAATCAGCCCAAATTGGTGCTTAATGGACTCAATCATCGTTGGAGAATAGCCACAGGCCGAATCAGTGATCTGTAGCCTTCATTATCAAAAGAAAATGGCCTTTCGTCGCACAAGAAATTACGAAAATGCCATCCGAAATTTTTTTTGGCCCAAATCGATGCATAACGGTTTTATCATCCGTGGAGAATAGGATCAATAGACTTCATTATCGGTGGATAATAGCCTCGGCCTGATTCTGTGATTTGTAGCCTCCAGAATCAAAAGAAAATCCAATTTAGGATAAATCGCCCGACATCTGTGATGGTACCCCTTTGGAATCTGCCAAAAATTGACCTGGAATAAATCCGCCCAAATCGGTGCTTAATAAACTCAATCATCGTTGGAGAATAGCCTCAGGCTGAATCAGTGATCTGTAGGCATCAATATCCAAAGAAAATGGCCTTTCGTCGCCCAAGAAATTACGAAAATGCCATCCAAAAAATAAATTGCCCCAAATCGATGCTTAACGGACTTATCATCCGTGGAGAATAGGATCGATAGAATTCATTATCGGTGGAGAATATCCTCGGCCTGATTCCGTGATCTGTAGGCTCCAGAATCCAAAGAAAATGGCATTTCGGATAAATCGCCGAAATCTGTGATGGTACCCCTTTGGAATCTGCCAAAAATTGAGCCGGAATAAATTCGCCCAAATCTGGGCTTGATGGAAAAAATCATCGTTGAAGAATATACTCAGGCCGAATCCGTGATCTGTAGTCTTCAATATCCAAAGAAAATGGTCTTTCGTCGCCCAAGAAATTACGAAAATGTCATCCGAAAATAAATTGGTCCAAATCGATGTTTAAAAGACTTATCATCCGTGGAGAATAGGATCAATAGACTTCATTATCGGTGGAGAATAGCCTCGGCATGATTTGGTGATCTGTAGCCTCCAGAATCAAAAGAAAATGGCATTTCGGATAAATCGCCTGAAATCTGTGATGGTACCCCTTTGGAATCTGCCAAAAATTTACCCGGAATAAATCCGCCCAAATCGGTGCTTAATGGACTCAATCATCGTTGGAGAATAGCCACAGGGCGAATCAGTGATCTGTAGCCTTCAATATCAAAAGAAAATGGCCTTTCGTCGCACAAGAAATTACGAAAATGTCATCCGAAATTTTTTTTGGCCCAAATCGATGCATAACGGTTTTATCATCCGTGGAGAATAGGATCAATAGACTTCAATATCGGTAGAGAATAGCCTCGGCCTGATTCTGTGATCTGTAGCCTCCAGAATCAAAAGAAAATGGAATTTAGGATAAATCGCCCGACATCTGTGATGGTACCCATTTGGAATCTGCCAAAAATTGACCTGGAATAAATCCGCACACATCGGTGCTTAATTAACTCAATCATCGTTGGAGAATAGCCTCAGGACGAATCAGTGATCTGTAGCCTTCAATATCCAAAGAAAATGGCCTTTCGTCGCCCAAAAAATTACGAAAATGCCATTCGAAAAATAAATTGGCCCAAATCGATGCGTAACGGACTTATCATCCGTGGAGAATAGGATCAATAGACTTCATTATCGGTGGAGAATAGCCTTGGCTTGATTCCGTGATCTGTAGCTTCCAGAATTAAAAAAAAAATGGCATTTCGGATAAATCGCCCGAAATCTGTGATGGTACCCCTTTTGGAATCTGCCAAAAATTGACCTGGAATAAATCCGACCAAATCGGTGCTTGATAAATTCAATCATCGTTGGAGAATAGCCTCAGGCCAAATCAGTGATCTGTAGCCTTCAATAAATAAAGAAAATGGTCTTTCGTCGCCCAAGAAATTACGAAAATGCCATCCGAAAATAAATTGGCCCAAATCGATGCTTAACGGACTTATCATCCGTGGAGAATAGGATCAATAGAATTCATTATCGGTGGAGAATAGCCTCGGCCTGATTTCGTGATCTGTAGCCTCCAGAATCGAAAGAAAATGGCATTTCGGATAAATCGCCCGAAATCTGTGATGGTACCCCCTTTGGAATCTGCCAAAAATTGACCCGGAATAAATCCGCCCAAATCGGTGCTTAATGGACTCAATCATCGTTGGAGAATAGCCTCAGGCCGAATCAGTGATTTGTAGCCTTCAATATCCAAAGAAAATGGCCTTTCCTCGCCCAAGAAATTACGAAAATGTCATCCGAAATTAAATTGGTCCAAATCGATGCTTAACGGACTTACCATCTGTGGAGAATAGGATCAATAGACTTCGTTAGGCGTATTTATTCCGAGTCAATTTTTTGCAGATTCCAAAGGGGTTACCATCACAGATTTCGGGCAATTTTTCCGAAATGCCATTTTCTTTCGATTCTGGAGGCGGCAGATCACGGAATCAGGCCGAGGCTATTCTCCACCGATAATGAAGTCTATTGTCCCTATTCTCCACGGATGATAAGTCCATTAAGCACCTATTTGGGCCAATTTATTTTCGTAATTTTTAGGCGACGAAAGTTCTTTTTTTTTTTTGGATTTTGAAGTCTACAGATCATTGATTCGGCCTGAGGCTATTCTTCAACGATGATTAAGTCCATTAAGCTCCAACTTTTGGCGGATTTATTCAGGGTTAATTTTTGGCAGATTCCAAAGGGGTACCATCACAGATTTCGGGCGATTTTTCCGAAATGCCATTTGATTTCGATTCTGGAGGCTGCAGATCACGGAATCAAGCCGAGGCTATTCTCTACCGATAATGAAGTCTATTGATCCTATTCTCTATGGATGATAAGTCCATTAAGCACCGATTTGGGCCAATTTTATTATCGAACGACATTTTTGTAATTTTTTGGGCGACGAAAGGCCATTTTCTTTTGATTTTGAAGGCTCAGATTAGGATTCGGCCTGAGGCTATTCTTTAACGATTATTAAGTCCATTAAGCACCTATTTGGATGGATTTATTCCGGGTAAATTTTTGGCAGATTCTAAAGGGACCATAACAGATTTCGGGCGATTTTTCTGAAATGCCATTTTCTTTTTATTCTGGAAGCAGCAGATCACGAAATCATTCAAAGGCTATTCTCCACCGATAGTGAAGTGTATTGATCCTATTCTCCACGGATGATAAGTCCATTAAGCACTGATTTGGGCCAATTTATTTTTGGATGGCATTTTCGTAATTTTTTGGGCGACGAAAGGCCATTTTCTTTGGATTTTGAAGGCTATAGATCACGGATTTGGCCTGAGGCTATTTTTCAACGATGATTAAGTCCATTAAGCACCGATTTGGGCGGATTTATTCCGTGTCAATTTTTTCCAGATTCCAAAGGGGTACCATCAGAGAATTCAGACGATTTTTTCGACATGCCATTTTCTTTCGTTTCTGGAGGTTGTAGATAATGGAATCAGGCCGAGGCTATTCTCCACCGATAATGAAGTCTTTTGATCATATTCTCCACTGATGATACGTCCATTAAGCACTAATTTGGCCAATTTATTTTCGGATGGCAATTTCGTAATTTTTTGTTCTACGAAAGGCCATTTTCAAGGGATTTTGAAGGCTTCGGATCACGGATTCGGCCTGAGGCTATTCTTCAACGATGATTAAGTCCATTAAGCACCGATTTGGGTGGATTTATTCTGTGTCAATTTTTTGCTGATTCCAAAGCGGTACCATTACAGAATTTGGACGATTTTTTCGAAATGCCATTTTTCGATTCTGGTGGTTGCAGATCACGAAATAAGGCCGATGCTATTATCCACCGATAATAAAATATATTGATCCTATTCTCCACTGATGATAAGTCCATTATGCACCGATTTGGGCCAATTTATTTTCGGATGGCAATTTTGTAATTTTTGGCTGAAGAAAGGTAATTTTCTTTTGATTTGTAAGGCTACTTATCACGAATTCGACCTGAGACTATTCTTCAACGATGATTAAGTACATCACGCACTTATTTGGGCGGATTTTGTCCGGGTCAATTATTGGCAGATTCCAAAGGGGTAACATCAATGATTTCTGGCGATTTTTCCGAAATGCCATTTGTTTTCGATTCTGGAGGCTGTAGATCACAAAATCAGGCCAAGGCTATTCTCCACCGATAATGAAGTCTATAGATCCTAATTTTCACGGATGATAAGTCCATTAAGCACCTATTCTGGCCAATTTATTTTTGTATGGCATTTTCGTAATTTTTTGGGCGGCGAAAGGCCATTTTCTTTGGATTTTGAAAGCTACAGATAACGGATTCGGCCTGAGGCTATTCTTCAACAATGATTAAGTCCATTAAGCACCGATTTGGGCGGATTTATTCCGGGTCAATTTTTTTGTAGATTCCAAATGGGTACCATCACAGATTTCGGGCAATTTTTAAGAAATTCCATTTTCTTTCGATTCTGGAGGCTGCAGATAACAGAATTATCCCGAGGCTATTCTCCATCGATAATGAAGTGTATTTGATCCTATTCTCCACGGATGATAAGTCCATTAAGCACTGATTTGGGCCAATTTAATTTCGGATGGCAATTTCGTAATTTTTTGGGCGACGAAAGGCCATTTTCCTTGGATTGTGAAGGCTTCAGATCACAGATTCGGCCTTAGGCTATTCTTCACCGATGATTAAGTCCATTAAGCACCGATTTAGGCGGATTTATTCCGGGTCAATTTTTGGCAGAGTCCAATGCGGTACCATCACAGATTTCGCGCGATTTTTCCGAGATGCCATTTTCTTTCGATTCTGGAGGCTGCAGATCACGGAATCAGGCCGAGGCTATTCTCCACCGATAATGAAGTCTATTGATCCTATTTCTTCACGGATCATATTTCTCCACGGATCAATAGATTTAACGGTCAACTTCACACATTTAATGGTCAACTTTTAGCGTTGACCGCCACGTAAGCAAAAATTAACGGAGCTGGACAGAGAGTGACCAAAAGTGAATGATTTCAGTAAACTAAAGTACCACCAATTAATTTAAATATTTCAAGTGACTTGAACGTTTTTGTAATCTCAGTGAACAACGTAATTAACCCTAAAAAAGAAGGGTTAATACCTTAGTTTGGCCCGAAATTTAGCGTAAGTGACAGTTCTGGCCCAATTTTTCAAATAAGACATTTACGGCCTACTTTTGAACCCATTGGACAGATTTGGCCCAAAACTTTTGTTGACTGTTAATATTAACGGTCAAACATTTATTCCGTCAATGACTCAGCATTAAGTGCTGAAGTGGTAGTGATGTGGCATGCCACATCATTAAATAATATTAATTTTTTTAATTCAATTAAAATAAAAATGCTCTCTTACTATCCAATCTCCAAATCCAAACCCTAATCTAAATCAACATCAACTTCAATAGGAAAAAGTGTCGACGAGCGGCACGATGGGAGCCGCCCGGAACTTCCCCTGTCCCTCTCACTGCATCCCGCCGACCCAGCTCTCTAGCAATGCTGGGATCCCGACCTCGAAATCGAGCATCCAGTCCCCCATCATAGCGTCGTAGACCTGGATGCTGCAAGAAACGAAGTCGATGTCGTCTTTCCCCTCTAGCATCCAGTCCCCCATCGAGCTTACAGTCCCCACTTCTAGCTACACCAAACCCATCTCCTCCTCCTCCAAGCTTAGCTAGCTACCTCCTCCAGCTTCAGCTCCAAATCCCTTAATCGAATTTTCCTGCTGCAGAACCAATCAGATGCCCCTCCCCAACTTTCCCATTTCCACCCCAAAAGCAACTCTCTTTTAGCTACCTAGGGAAAACCCAAATAATTAATTTCCACCGCACAAAAGAAAAGAATGGATCCGGTAACGGCCCACGGCCATTCTCTCCCACCGTCGTTCCACACCAGAGACTTGAGAGGATGGTTTCAGGGGAACGAATTAATTTTGATGTTGATGGGAATTTCTTTTAGGGTTACGTTTATGTTGCCGGCGATCTGGAGAATGGATTGGAAGATTTGGTTGCAGGTGTACAGGGCTTCCTCGCAGGGGTCCTCGTTCTGCGTGATGCAAGTTCTACAGACCGAACAGGAAAGCCGGAATCTCACCGAAGAAGAAGTTCCCTTGCATTAGGGTTTGGATTTGCGGATTTGGGGGATTCGAATGATAAGATGATTTTTTTTAATTTTTAATGTAATTTAATTAAATAATAAATTAATACTATTTAATGAGGTGGCATGCCACATCACTGCCACTTTAGCACTGGATGCTGAGTAATTGACGGAATAAATGTTTGACCGTTAATATTAACAGTCAACAAAAGTTTTGGGCCAAATCTGTCCAATGGGTTCAAAAGTAGGTCGTAAATGTCTTATTTGAAAAATGGGGCCAGAACTGTCACTTACGCTAAACTCCGGGCCAAACTAAGGTATTAACCCAAAAAAAAACCTTATATCATCGTTATGCAAAAACTTAATTACGAGATTGTTGAATACCAATGATTGGGCCCATTACTGGCCCATGCTTCGTTAGTGTCACCATGAAAAAAGGCTAGGGCCCACCAAGCCAGAACACGAAAATGGCGAGAAGTGCAAGCATAACCTATTTGGGTAACTAAACTAGATGAAGGCCCATTGTCTGCTAACTTGGTATGGGCTTGGTCTTAGTAGATGGGCCCGTTCGTCATTTTTACCCAAAAAGACCCCATTCCACCCATCTTTACCCAAAAAGACCCAGGCCAGCCAGCCAGTGCAGCGGCCGGCCTTCCGCCTCCTGCAGGCAATCAATTCAATGTATTTGCATGCACCTCCGTAATAAATTCCTGCACCAAAATGGTAAACTTGTTTTTTACTCTGCGGTATATAATTTCCCCCTTTATTTCGTCAAAACAGTTGATATGTCTGCATCAGTTAGGTTAAAATATCAAGACCTGCAGGAACAATTAGAGAGCCTTGTCTTCTCTGTTTCTTGTTTTGGTACAAAGAGGAGGGTAAGAGTTTAAACATCTTACGTTTAATCTTTAATTTTTTGGTAGAATACGTTTAATCTTTAAGGTAAAAAGAAGTTGTAACGCATTAAAGTAACCAAAGGGGGTAAAAACCTGTTCTTCTTCTTCTTTGTAATAAGAATTATTATGTATTGGCGAGTATATGTAGGATGACAAGGTAACTATGTGAGGGTTTGGACGAGTTCTTTTATACCATATCATCATTTCCAAAATAAATAAAAACTTCTAAATTCTAATAGTCCCCATGTGAGAAGGAATTTTCCAACCACATCCGCGATCATATCCACAATTTGTGGATATTGACGAGTGATACCCGCTCGATCTATATATCCAATATTACTATACATATAATTAATATAACGAAATTTTTGTAAACATGTAAAATTTGTTGTTATAGCATCAAATAGATCTAAAAAATCATATAAAGTTCACCAAGTTATAATCATTCTTCATTCAAATGATTCAAAGCATTTCATCCTACAACATCTATTGAATCTTTAATACAATCACAATTTTTAGCATCCAATCATCAGTTTTTTGGGTAATGTCTATTTATTATCCATATCCTTTTCGGATTCTTTTATTTTAGCAAAATCAATTGAAATACTAAGAATTAGCCTAACGTTTTGTAACACGTCAAAGTATTAGCCATTTTATGTTATCGTTAATAATTTTTAATTCTTTTCTTAGTTAAAATACTAAAATTTTGGAATGTTGACCTCCATGTGTTTCTTTCAAGTCAGTATCATGTTGTCAAGTCAATATTACTAACAAAATAGCTAATTGGATGTTAACATTTGGATAATTATTAGTAATTCAACTGGTCTGGCTAATAAAAAAGAATCTGAAAAGGATTTGGCTAATAAATAGTCATTACCCTAGTTTTTTTTATATGCATAAATGTATTTTTGTGGGGTGGGTATAAGTATGAGGCGGAGGAGTCCAAAAACATACCCATATCCATCTCCATCAATTTTTGTGTTTTACACATACCTGCCCCGTACCTAGTCAATGCGAGGATTTCCCGTGTTGATTGGGTCGAGGGAGCCGGATACCTACGATCGTGGGTTTAATTGTCATCCCTAATTATATGTACGTATTAATATTTACAATACCGTACCAAACTGACGGTGCGATCAGAAAAATTATCTATCAAAATTCAAATTGATTAACGATTATAGAAATAATAAAACAGTTGAAACATAATTAAATTATGATTTTAATACAAAATATCATATCATTGTTTTTTTTTTTTATACAGCATTCGGTTAGCTGAAAAGTTTCAACGGTTTCAAGTTGAACTATAATTGACAAATATTACTTTGGAGAGAGAGAGAGCGTGCATGGAATTTTCTAAGGCAGTGAAATGAATCAACAGTGCGGTGTGGGGTCCGGCCAAAGCCTCCGACCGCCTGTTGCTGGCTTGCTGCTGCCTGCCACTATAAACATGGCCGCGGAAGTCGTCGGGAGGAATATTATTATAAATTTGCACCACCATTCTATTATTTCTATTATATACACTATTCATTGCGCCACTTCCGCCTAGTCCTAAATTTAGGGCTTCCAATAAGTCAATTCAGTCGTAGTCTAGTCTAGTCGAGTTGAGTTTATTCCTCGTTTAAGGTTGGTTAGCGCAATCGACCAAATTATTTAAAGTTATATCGCATATCAAAGATCATACGCGAGATTTACAGGATGGTCGTCATTCTTTGGCTGTGTGCTTACTTCGTGATTCTGTGAAGTTGTTCCATTACAAAAATCAACTCAGAAGCGCACTAAACGGAGCTAGAAATGACTGATACGAGAAATAAACCGCGCGAGTTGCACACGGAAGAGAGACCACACACTTTTTGTTAGCTCCATATCCGAACAACTACAACAAAAGCACAAAACCAAGCCCACGTACGTACGTATGAAGAAACCCCTGAGAGCCCAACAAACACTCTGTAATACACACACCACGATGCTTGTGCTTTCTCGAGCAAACCTTTCGTAAGGCACGATCCATGGATGATGGCGTCGATTGATCATGATTCAGTCAAAGCCACTGCTTTTTCTCCACCTGTCTCTAAAATGAGCTCATGATTGTATCAAAGTGGTCATCAATGGAGAAAACAGAGTAACTGCTACTACTACTTCGTGAGAGGCCCATGGTGCAAAGAAGGTGGTAATGATGATGATGATTAGGTATCTTGATGATATAATGGTGGTTACAAGTAGTAGTAGTTGGTTGGTTGGTTCAAAATATATGGCCCCTCTCCTCATGGTATTGGTATTAGTTGGTTTAAAGGTACGATTCTGTTGTCATTTCAAGCATTTATTTATTTATTTATTTATTTCAAGCATTCCAATTGTACATAAACTCCATATTTTCACAAGCATTTTTTTCCTACGGCATTGTGATGAAAGATTGATAAAAAGTATACACTCGTGGCTAGCTATCTGTAAGAGGATGATATAAGATTAATCATTAACATTCTTTCAACAACTCAAGTTATTTGAATGAGTTTGTTCTTGACATGGTATAAGAGTTTTCGATGATCGAAATCTCTTGTGTCAAACTTGTGCAAACTTCGATTTCATGAGTTGCATTTTCTTTTCTATGGACATACCAGTAAAGGGTGTAAATGCAGTCAAAATCACGATTCTACGTAGATGCGTTTTAATGATCTGGAAGCGTACAAACGTAAACTTTTAAGCGTACATTTTGACTACACCCTTGTAAGGGAAACGCTCGATTCTACATAGAGGCGTTTTGATTAACCTAGAAATGTAAAAATGTAGGTTTTTTAATTTTAGGGTAAAAACAATATATTATCCACAATTTTTAAGTTTCGGGGAATTGTGGCCATAACTATGAAAATACAAATTATTAGCCATAACTATTGTTGCGCGTATATGAATGACTAACAATCTGTTACCGTCATTAACTTTGTAATGGAAAAGGCCACGTCAGCAACCACATCAGATTAATTTTTATTTTTAATTTTCAAACACAAAAAATAAAAATAAAAACAAAAATGGAGGGTCAAAGCCCTACTTTCCCCTTCTTCTTCCCCAACAACATCACCTCTCGACCTTCTTCCCATCTCCTCCAACCCCAAATCCTCAATCCTGCTTCTTCCCTCTTCCCTCCGCCTCAATCCCGCTCACGATTTCGGATTTCGGCGGCGGGTATCAAATTTGGGAGGCGATGCGGCCCACCGAGCTCATCTTTTTGTTCTCTCCAGGGAAGAGCATCAGAAATAGAGAGCGTTGATTACAGACATCAGAGGTGGATCGATTGAATTCGTGATTGGGGAAGGAGGATCGTCGATTTTGTGACAATTTTGAAGCTAGGTCATGTGAGTTCGCCTCAACGATTTTGAAGCTCGAGAAAGATTGAGGAAGATTAGTGGCCAGTGAGGGAGGCTTGAGGTAGAGAGAGACGTGATGGGGGCATCTGGATCGAAAGGAGATTTCAAGATCTTCGATGGTGGGGAGTGGTGGCCTCCTTCTCCGTCCATTCCTTCCCGCCTCATCCAACCCGGAAGCCGCCATCAATTTGGATGGGGTCGCGGTCTTCCCCAGAGTCGGCGTCGGTGGGGGGGTTCCCTGCGGTTGGGGTCGGGCCGACGATGGAGATTGAGTCAATGATTCGGATGGCAGGTCGGGTCAGGGTGCTCCACTTCTTCACCCACTACGTGGAGGGTAAGGCCGCGTGCCAGGTCGCCATTTCTGTCACGGATGGATGTGTGCTTGGCTTCCATTGCTAGCTAGCTGCATCAGCTTTTATTTCTTCCCTCCCTGTTTTGGTTGGTAGATCGATCTCCTTAGCTAGGCAGTAGTATGTTTTCCCCTCTTTTCTTGATCTGTGTACCAAAATTTTTGGTGAAATTGTAAAAAGAGCACGAGATGGGGGCATCTGGATCGGAAGGTGATATGAAGATTTCGATGGTGGGGAGTGGTGGCGTTAGATAGTGGCGGAGCAGAGTTGAAGATGGCCGCCGGAGGAAGAAGGAAGCACTGGGGAGGGAGAGTGGATCTGGGTGGAGGAAGAAGAAAAGTCTTACAAGTTTTAGATTATTTTCTTTCATTTTCTTTATTATTTAAAATTTAATTTTAAAATTAAAATTAAAATATAATATGATGACTGCCATGTGGGAGCCAACTCAGCATCGTAAAGTTTAGTCAGCATTTACTAACGGAATTGCTAACAGAGAGTTAACGTTTGGCTAATAATTTGTATTTCAATAGTTGAGGCTATATATATATATAATTCCCCGGAACTTAATAGTTGTGGCTAATATATTGTTTTTACCCTAAATTTTAAAGCGTGATTTTGATTGCATTGATTGGAATCATTTGGTTAAGAGAGAATTTTAATTAACAAGTCAGGAGGAGGATAAAAGTAGATATATAGCAACACGATCCCTTGGCATGTGGACGGTTAGGGGACCGTTTGGTCCATAACACACGATCGAGTTCTTGATCGCGATCGACCTTAGCTTTATCAACGTCGGAGTCTATTGCATGCTTTGAGTAGAAGTATCGAATTAGTAAAATGTAACACATAAGTAAGGGTCGACGGTGTACATTTTGTGTGGTTTTATTCGTTTTGATTATCCCTTTTCCATATGGTGCATGCCAGTTGCCCATGCCACGCAAACTGAACCATCACTAGTCCCATTAGTTCCAAGCAACTTATTAACGTCTCCTTTTCCTCGTCCTCTTTTTGACCACATATAATTACAACTATCCTTGAACATGAAGGAAAACCCATTTAATTAAAGGACAGAGATTGTCGATTGCCATATAGCTATATATATGGCTAATGCATTTTTACCACCAGCAGCATACCAGGACGAGAGATTGATTAACTAAGAGAGATCTCGTAAATTAGTTCAACCTTTATGGTTTACAACATCATATATGATCATGGGAAGCATTTGCTCTTCAGAAAGTGATGAATCGGCGCGTGGAATGATCAGAAGGAATCATCTTCGTATTATTGATCGTGATACGATATAACTTGAAGTATAAAAATGTAGTGAGCTTGATTATATCGATTGAGTACCGTTGCGTCGAACGACTTATGAATAGAAAGAGAGAGAGAGAAGGATGAGAAAAATCATAACGACATCATCGTGATAAGCTTTTCTTCTCGGAAAATGATAAATAAGCAATATAATCAGAATGAATTGACATCGTATTATTGGTCAATCATAATTAAAAGTAGAAGCATATTGAGCTTGATCGTAAATAGACTTTTTATGCAAACTGCCTTCAAAATAAATTACAAGAGAGAGAAATGACAAAAAAAAAATCATATCGATTCCTAATTATTAGAAGCAACCGATTCTAAATCCGCCCTTATACTTGTCTATTTAATTTATGTGGTATATAATTTACGGTAACGTTTTACCAAATGAAATAGACCGCACAAACCCAAGCTCGATCTAGTTTAGTTGGGATGAATATTATTTATACGATTAATTAATTATATTGAAGGACAATCAATGTACTAACCATCAGTGAATTGGTAAAGTGAGTCACTTTCCCCAAGTCAATATCTTTGATGAAAACTTTGAAGGTTTGAAATTATTCCATTCACTGTCTTTCTGGAAATGAGAGGTAAAAGGAAGAGAGTAAAAATCCGAGACAAAATCCAAAATGGGGAAAGTTTCACCAACATGATCAACCGCAGGCTAATTTGTGTTCTTTTGCTACTTTTTACCACCATCAATTAGGGTTTGCCTATTAGTGTGGTAAGAGCTTTTGTATATGGCCGGTGCCTTGCATGTCCATTGCCATGCCAAGAATTGCAAAATGTAAATGTTGCTAATCCATAACAGGGAAAACACAATTAGGTCATCATGTCAGGACAAAAATTTAATTGCATGGTGCTTTAATTAGCTAGTATCATGTCATATATCCACGTAGCCATCCAAGTGGTAATTTGTGAAAATCATAAATGAAAAATATGTATCGAATGACTTCTATCGTACTTAGTAGATTTAAGTGTGTATCACATAATTTTTGTAAGGAAACCGTATTGAAACCTTGAATTAAACCAGGTTTTGAGCTATGATATTATACTTTAGCTTCCATGTATAAATCCTAGGTCCAAATTTTTTAAAACCTAAATCCTAAATCCTAATATAGTGCATCAAGTATGTTAAATATGTTATTTGATGAATTAGAGCCGTCGATCATTAGTTCTAAATTAATTGATCTTAGAGTATAGGATTTCCAGATCTTGTGACCTAGATTTTACTCATATGGTTTCAGCAATAATATCATGTTCAAAACTCCACAATGGATGGTGCGGTGGTCATAATTAGAGAGTTTGGTATAGTGTTAATAGGCAGATAATTAAATTCTTGATCTACTTAGTTGCCCTAAACACTTATGATTATGTTGGGCCCTGTAATTTACTAGTTGAATTATTAAACGATCGACCTTACTTTATACTGGTGAGGGGCCTGACCAGTGGAGTGTGTTATTTATAAATTTGAATTGTTTGAAAAAGGAATTGAGTAATTTATTCCCAGAATAGAGCAGTTTAATTATGTGTATCTCTCTTCCTATTTAAAAAAAAAATCCCTTTAGACAACAAGAATCCAAACTAAAGAGCACAATCTGCTGATCACCTAGAAAGAATATGGAGAGTGAAAATCTGATGACTTTGTCCACATCTTCACTTGGTCAGCATTGCATTTGCAAAGCAAGCTCACGCCCTAAAATTAATGGATGCATGCACATCTCTATACAAATTACTTATTTATCAATATCAATATATCACACGACAATAATAACTTAAAATTTGTTATAATCCTGGACGTTAAAACATTAGTGATATGTTTCAAATCATCAACAAAATTATAACCATGTTCCGACATAAGTTAAATAGATGAATTGTAGCTTTACTTGTACGATCGAGGAGTTCAAAACATTAGAATACAAAGCTCTAATCTTCATTATAGATTCAAACACATTGTTGTACCACGTTCACTTATGTTTTTTCCCCCGTTTTTTCATTTATATTTGGCAAATGTACACTAATTCGACTATAAATCACCCGCAATTCAGACAATAACCACTCCAAGCAGCGCGACAACAACTGGATAGCATATTTTCTAATTAATTGTTAACCTCAAAGTTCGACCAATGTAAATATTATTATCTCATGTTATCATTATTGGACCCTCTCTGGAGTTAGAGATGCTGCTTTTTTATAACTAATCTCTGAAATTTCTAAGTTTGAAAACTTTTGCCGCTAAATTAAACATTAATTTGGAGACAAATATTCTCCCACGCATGATTAGGTTAAGAAAAAAAATATGAAGAAGAAGGGTAAGGAAGTGAGGATTTGATTCCAATTCTTTTAATCGTCTCTCTCCATCTCCTTCTCTCTCTTTCCACTCACTCTCTCTCTCTCTCTCTCTCTCTCTCTCTCTCCTCCTTCTTTCTCAGATGGCAACACATACACAGAAACACAACCCATAAAGCAAAGTGATGGCCTGCATAAACTTCCACTACACAGCTCAAAGAAACTAAAAGCTGGACAAAAGCAAAAAAGCATAACCCTTCCCCCACCACTGCAAACTTTATTTCCCCATAACCTTTTAAATTCCTACTTTTTGATTCTCAGCCACTGATCTCCTTCCTTCCCCCATGTTCTTCCTCTGAACCAGCCACCACCAGCAGCAGTAGCAGAAGATCAAGCAGCTAGCTTCCCAGTTTCCCCCAGTCAATAATCATTCTTGGGTTTCCATATCTAGCTAGAGCTTAACTAGACCGCAATTTAGCCTCCATGGATACAGCCCAGTGGCCGCAGGTAGATATATATGCAGCTAATTATAATTTCCCCCATCTCGCCAGTTCGATTATGCATCTTCTCTGGAAAGCCCACCAGGCGTTCGACGTTTGTCCCCTGAGAAAGTTCTTGTCTTTATATTTCTTTCTCCCCTGCCCTTTTCTTTCCCTTCTGTGATGAGATAAAAGCTAACATGTAAAGTGAGAAACAACAAAAGAAGGAAAGCATAAGAGCAAGAAAAAAAGGCAAAAGGAGAAAGAAAGTGGGATTAGCTGAAGTTGTTTTATTTACTTGTTTGTCTCAGCTCTCTCTGCCCATTTGTAATAGGAGCCAGCAGCATCCACCTGCTTTACCTCCCCTTCCTTTTTCTGTCTGGTTTTGGGTTTTTCTTCTTCCTTTGATCTTGACCCAATATAACTCCTCTTTCTCTCTTCCTCTGTCCCCCCAATTCCACAGGAGATTGTGGTGAAGCCATTAGAAGACATAGTAACTACTCAAAGGCCTGGAGGGTTAACACCAACTTCATCAGGAGGAGGTGGTGGAGGGAGCTTGGAGAGGAAAGCAAGGCCGCAAAAGGAGCAAGCTTTGAACTGTCCAAGGTGCAACTCGACCAACACCAAGTTCTGCTACTACAATAACTACAGTCTCACGCAGCCAAGGTACTTCTGCAAGACCTGCAGAAGGTATTGGACTGAAGGCGGCTCGTTGAGAAACATCCCCGTGGGAGGCGGATCCAGGAAGAACAAGAGACCTTCTTCCTCTTCTTCTTCTTCTTCACTTCCCTCACCTGCCACGAAGAAACTCCCTGGTTTGATTTCCTCTCCTGCTGCTGCTGGTATTGCAACTACTACTAGTACAACAACAAGTAGTTCGCAAAACCCTAATCCTGGTAATCATAAGTTGATTCAGGAAGGCCAGGATCTTAACTTGGCCTTCCCGAGGAGCTTCACGGAGTTGATTCATCAGAATGGGAACCATCATCATCATCATCAGAATGATGAGAACAAGAGTCAGATTTCAGCCATGGAGCTGCTAACAGGAATCTCATCGTCTAGGGGTGGAATATTGAATAATCCTAGCTTCATGCACATGGCACCACCACCACCATCATCACTTGTTCATCATCATCAAGCTGCAGCTAATCATGGTGGGGGTTATAATGCATCTGGGTTGAGTTTCCCGGTGCTGCAACATCAGGATCATTTCAAGCCTAGCGGCTTGAGTTTCTCACTGGATGGGATTGAGCTTGGGATCAGCAGTGATCATCATAATGAGAGTGGTAATGGGTATCATCATCATAATGATCATGAAGGTGGTGGTGGAGGGAGGCCCATGTTTTCGTTTGAGGATCTGAAGCAAGTGCCGAGCAGCAACACTAATGATAGTAATGGTGGGGAGATGGTGAGCAGTGGTAATGGTAAAGATCAGCATGCAGATTCGAGTGGGTACTGGACTGGGATGTTAGGGGGTGGATCCTGGTGACTTTTACTTAATCAAAGCCGAGATTTACAGTCCTTTTGCTTACCCTTTTTGTTTTTCTTTCTCTTTTCTTTTGGGCTGAGAGAGAAGGAAGTAGAGAGAGGGGGGAAGGGAGATTCTCCACTTTCTGTGTATTGAAATTTCTTGCTTTGAGGTGGGTGGGTGATGATGACGACTTTGGTTGGGAATTCCTTCATTAGTATTATTATTATTATTACTAACAGAAGATAGGAGGAGATGGGGGATATATATATATACAATTGGGTTTTGTTTTATTTTTCTTTTTGGTTTGATTTTTATCATATGATGATGATATGGATCAGTTTGAGTTTGGATTGGCCATTCATTAATCCCAAGTTTGAGGCTTTTTTTTTGTAATTTACATATGTGTAGTTTATAAATCCCAAGTAATTACTTCCTATTGCTCATGGTCTTGGTGATGATGATGAAGCTTTGAAGTTTCAAGGAATTTAGCTTCATTTTAACAAGGATCATCAAAGAAGAAAGAAGAAGAGCTCATGATGAGGTAGCAGTGGGAAAGAAGCTACAGAGATCATCAATGGTGGGAAAGTAAAACAAAGTATGAGAAAAGAGCAAGATAGAGAAGAAGAAAAAGCTCTAGCTTTGATAATTGATATAGGGAGTTATTTGGTCGTGAAAAAGAAGAACAGGGTTGCTGGGATGAAAGAAAGATCTGACAGACGCTTTACTTGGGGACCCGCGAAAAACATTCTCCTCGGGGAGTGTGTCTGTGACTGTGAGGAGAAGAAGGAAGAGAATCATTCACTCTCAAACCCGACCCGACCCACGCCCACTTTCCCCCACTACTGCTCCGTTCCGTTGTAACGTTCCTTCCTACTTCCACCACGTTTGTGAAGATATGGTCGCCACAGACAATCGATCTACAGAATACATATTGGTGTTGGTACTGTACATGCATTCGTTCCACTGTTGTAAAGCACTTTCTCTCTGGTCTTTCTATCTGCAAAAGAAAGACTTATATACACACATCCATCATTCTAGAGAGAGAGAGAGGAATGAATGAGCTAGGGCCTAGAGGTGTGTGTTGAATGGTGAATTATGGTGTGGGTTGGGTTGGGGTTGGTGGGTGTTAGTTCTGCTGCTGCTGCTGCTACCAGGACCAAGGTCTATCTACATTAGTCATAATATCAAACGCTTGCTATATATCTAGCTAACTAGTAAAAACCCTACATTATTGTTTTATAATAGAACGTACGTATTCATGCATGTAATGTGCAAGTTAAGAGTATACCACTCTTTCTTCTTATAGGCCAATTACATAAATTGGTCATTTATGTATCTTATCACCCCAATTCCCCCACCAAATTTTGTATGAGTACCTTTTTTTTTTTTACTTCTTTGATATTACTCATAGAGTTTATCTCTAATTTTGTATCGCAACCATAACCAAGTTTATCCGATACTTTGAGCCTTCTTCTTTTCGAGAAGTCATTCAGATCTAAGTTGGGTCAAGAAATCGTACTTCGACAGTCTTTTAAGAAGAGATTGAGTGTTTCCTGCGTGAGTTAAAGTGTCCCACGCACATAGTCTAAATTCGACTAGTAATCGGACATCCAAAGTTTCCACCTCCGAGGAGATACTAAATCCTCAATAGAGACTAGAGAGGTTGAATGGATCCCCTGATCCTTCGACCAAAGTCCTCAGTACTAGAGGCGTCGGCGAATCCAAGGTGAGGATCGCGACCTGGCCAAAGGGAGTAAGAGCACTTCACCAAGTGAAATCATACAGCAATCAATGGTACTCCACATTCTGATCAAGCGAAAGAAACCTTCACCAGAAGAAGGTATCCCAACAAGATGGAGTTTGAAGTCTAGAGAATAGAATGTTTTTGAAGGATGTCGTAACCAATTCCGCATTATGTGTATAGGTACATATTCACTTCCATGACGGGGAAAAAGAAGAAACAAAAGAGATATTTTCAGTACTTTTTCTTTTCTTTCTGGTTCGTGTCTGTACAGGGACATCTTCCCTCCCATTACATCAGACTGCAGTCAAAACGATGATTCAACCAACCTACTTACTAAAGTGAAAATTCCACAGAATGGTATGATCCATGATGCTGAACCATGTTTCGGCCGCCTTGTCAAATTTGCGCGTCAGAAATCCCCATTGATCCCGAATATGCGGACTTTGTGCATGTGAGGGAACTTGGCCACTACCAGAACAAAGACAGCCAGCGTGTTGAAGAACAACATTGGATTTTGGTAGTCTGTTGTGTGTGATGCTATTAGGTACCTGCAAGATGGAAGAAGAACATTGGATTTTGGTAGTCTGTTGTAAGAGAAGGATCACAATCTTATGTTTGATTCTGAGCAACAGCAGTTCAATGCCAAATACATTCTTGCACAAATCCAATTTTCATAGAGAAACACAAAAAAGATGAGGGTTGTAGAAGACAAAATTCCTTTCTGACCATCAGTCGCCCTGAAAAAGCAAATAAGCCATGAAAACGAACCATGATGTCTTCATTCCACAGGCACTTATTGGAAACGAATAGTTCCAAGGAAACTAAGTGAATCAACGATCAATGTGATTCTGTGAGCGATAGCAATTTGCTAGGAATTCAACCTCAACTCACAAGGTAGAAGGAATCCAGTTTCAAATCAAACACGCCAGAGGATTGATTAATCAATATATTAGAATAACCATAGCGGAAAGAATAAAACATCTTGTTTCTCTCCAGATGTTCTAAATTAACAATTTTCTAAAGCAAGTCTAACCAAATCCCATAATCATCTAGTGCAAACATAGAGTAAGCAACTTCACCAATGGTTTAGGGATGAGATATGCATTTACGAATAAACTCATATACATCTGCACACCTGACTTCAAAACCATGATGAGCTGTGAGATTTGGCAAGCTCGTTTTTTTCCCTCAGATTATTGGTTGGAAAGAAAGCAGAGGGTAATTCATAACCAAGAAACACAAAGTCATACAAACAATAAAGACAGGCTAACTATGCTGTCATTTGTGAGTTCAAGAAACATAGTGAGGCTCCCTAGTTCATATCTTAGACCTAATAAGCCATCACAAGCCAGAGAGATGGTCAGCAAAACAAATTCTGGAGTGAATTCGTTGGTTGGTCTTACTTTTTCAAATCGTACCCAAAAACCACTGGGAAGAGAAGACACTTGAAACTGGACCAAAAGCTTCTCAAGCTCAAGCTTTTACTTTTCTAGTTAGATGCCACTTATTGGCGTTTGCTAGATGATTTTTCAACCAGACTCGTTTGTGTTCGATCTATAAGAACTTAAGAAGATGAAGGAAGTAAAAGACAGCACTCACAGCACAACTGGCACAACGGTGAGAAATTTCCTGTTGCGTGTGAGTTGTTTCCCATTCTCTATTTGCTCCCACCAAGTCAACCCATTGTAGATGCCTTGATCGTCAGCAAATGGAGTCCCCTTCTTCCAGTGAAAGCAGTGGTATGTGACCTGTAAGTTTTGAAGCAAAGCATTGACAAATAGGTACTGGCAAGCATAATTAGAGCTTAGAGTAGCAGGTGTACAACAATGAGAAGCATCACTATCTCAATCCAAGTCCTTGTCCAATTCAAGTACAATGAGAGCACGTCATAACTGAAAACTACAGACCAAAATGTTCGCAATCTATATCCTTCATTGTCGAGCTAAATTAAACACCTCTTCTAGTGTCAAGAAACAGGGAAAAGGGAGCATCATAAGAAACCAATTAAAGCGAAGAGCAGCCACCAGGGATTCAGATTCAATTCCTCCTAATCCAACTCTCACACAAGCAAAGTGGATGAAAGCCCTCAATAAAACCCTAAACATACCAACAAGTTCACCCTAAAAATTGGATCTTCTAAGCAAATTTCAGCTAAAATCTCGCAAGATTTAGACCCGAGTTTTTCAAAGGAACCCTAATGTTCCTTTCATCAAGGAAATCGCGAAACAGAGCAAAAAGTCTCCTCCTACCCAAGTAAATCTAGAACGAGAACAATCAGATCCGCCGGAGGGGCAATGAAATCAACTCATCACTGATCATCCTCATCACTACCCTAGGAAGAAAAAACGTGGAAAAGAAGAGGGGAAGGGACTAACGAAGAAATGGGCGAGATGCACGACGGTCCAAGCGGTGCCGGCAGAGCAACCGAGGAGGCAGAGAACCATGAACCAGGATGTGAAAACGATGATGATGTAGGTGGTCCAGACGCCTGGATACGTGAACCACTCGGTGTTCCGATTCAAATCCGTCGGAGGAACTGCTCTCACATACATCTTCCTTCTTCTTACTGGTCTGGCGGTGTGTTGGCGAAGAGGGTAATAGGGCGGGCTCCGAAGAAGAGAATTGGGGATCAAAGAAGAGAGCTTTTTTTTTCTGTTTGCTTTTCGCTCCTTCTTCTGCTTCCTTCTTTTACCCTATTTCTCAAATTTAGTGAAACCCAGAAAATCAAGTATGGCGATGCCGACGGAGACACACACAAAGGGAGAAAAATCGATTCGGGAGGAAAATAAAGAAATTAAATTGAAAAAAATTAAAATAAAAAATGACGACCCGGTCAATTTCTGGGATTGGTTCTATTCGTTTCTCTCTCGGTATTGGATTTGGATATTGAGATGGCGACTGTGATTTGGGGGCTGCCCTAAGCAGGAGCTTTATACTACAACACACATCAGAATATTATGTATTAATTTTTTTTTCATGTATTAATTAGTTTATGGGTGTTTTGGTAAATTGCACAATCGAATTTAAATGAATATTGTAAAATTTTATTCAAAGGTTTATGAAAAAATTAAGATATTTTGAGTATTGTACATATCCAATTTTGTTTATGTATTAACGATGAAATCATAATTATGATTGATTTCATACCCGCATCAGGGAATTATAGAAGCTCAGCAAATGATTCAGCCGGAGTATCATGAAGATTAAAGGCTACTTATAGCAGGATTGAGACTTGATGTTTATTGTGCTAAATATTTCGGTACTAAAAAATTACAGTTATATGATATATAAAAGTTTCTTACATTTACAAGTGACATTTTCGTATTTTTCCAACTATTTAATGTTCAATTATTAATATAGAATATTTTGGTAATTGTAGTTTCCTCGTGTCCATGGCATATATATGTTAACAGTGTTGTAACATGACGACTTTTTTCCGATCAATATATTGTTCTCAACACACATTTTACCTTAGGATCGTTATAGGATTTGTCTAATGTATTAGAAGAGAGACTTCTTTTACCTTCATATCACAATTTGACAAACATATTGTGAAGTTGTTCTATCTTGAAGGTTCTGAATGATTATTTTAGAAGTCAAACTGTCAAACTTAGAGAAAAAAACCAGTACTCTACGAGCAGTAATACAACAAAAATGGAGCTTCATTGGTTGCCAGACCGCGTTTTTTGTGATTCAACAAATCAGACTTCATAATTGGAGGTTTTGTGGCAAACAACCAAATCAATATTCCCCAAAAACAATCATCAACGACAAGGCGTCGACAATGCTTACTTCCTCGAACCCTTCACTGCAAGAGATTCCTTCCTGTCTGTGTCTGCAATCAACACCATGGCCGACCTGGAAGGTGACACCAAATGTCTGTCATCTTTTTTTCTTTTCTTCCCAGTTGGTTGGGGAGGTTACAACACTTATCCACCAACCTCCAATCTGTCTCTCATACAATACAACAATGCTACAATCTCAACTATTCTACGGGATCATAGTCATGTCCCGCATTTCAGTCGTCTCTATTCTACCATTGCCATTGCCAACTCTGTCCAAGCCACCTTCCACCAACCTTCTCTTCGCCGATTTGGTTCTATAGCACCAGACCTCAAACGCCTCGCTCAAATCGGGAAACTTAACCTGCTCCCCACTCATCCAGCCCGCCAGAATCTCACCCTGATCGTTCGATGGCAGTGCCAGTATTAGAGACACGATCGCCCCTTCTATGTTCTGGCACAGATCCTCGTCCATCCTGTGTCCAAAACTCGGGTCCTGCTCAGCCTTTGCATCTAAGATCGGCTTCAGTTTTCTTATGTAAGGCAGCCACGTCCTCAACAACTGCACACGCAATGTTGGTTGCAGAATCACGGTTCCATACCCAACTGCCTCGAGTACTTTAACTGTCACTTCGATTACCTTCACTTTCAAGCCCCATACAATCGACTCGAATCTATTGTCTTCGATGATCTCAACAATAGATGCTTCAGTCCATCTCACGACAAAGTCCTTCATCATGTCCATCTTCGGGAGTACGTTGCACATCCACACGAGATCAGAGACAATATGCAACGCTTCGGTCTCTGTTGTTTCTGATAAGGAACAAGATATGATGGTTTGGAACGAGGAGAAGATCTGGGCAAGGCCTGCTCTGGCAACCGATCTCACTTCGTCGTCGGCTGTGACTAATGGAGTCTCTTCATCCTCTCCCAACATGTATTCAATTTGTTCTTGTGCCGAAGTTCTGAGTTCATCGCCAAAGGGAAGGCCTGACCCTTCTCCACCAGGAGATGATGTGGCGAAGCGGAGCGCGGAGAGGAAGACGTTCCTTGTAGCGGTTAGGTCCACTGGACTTATTCTGGCGACGATAGGCATGGCTATTGGGCCAAGCCTGGAGGCTACTTTGACGATTTCTTCCTCTTCACTGTCGTCCCACGGAACAGCCTCCAAGTACTGGATGCAGCTCTTTGTTGTTTCTTCCTCACAGTTGAGAGCAACAGATTCTTCGAGAACTCTGAGAGCAGATTTGACTGAGTCAAAGGCATGCATTAGAGAGCCAATCTGCAAAGAACTTGCACCTGTTTACCAGAACGACATTGGATGTCAGTATTTGAGTGTTTGTGAGTGTATCAGGTACCTGCAAAAGAAGACATACGACAATGATAAGTGAGGGAATAAGCACATGTTAATGTTCAATTCTGTGCTAGATCAGTCCAATATAAATTCATCATTGCAGTCCCATTTCCATCGGACAAGGCTTTTCTTAACAGGAAATTTTCATCTGATCCATCAGCCATCATGATAAAGCAAATAAGTCCGGAAAACGAATCATAATGTCTCAATCCCAAAAACACTTGTTCAGAATGCTTCTTCCCAAGGAAATTATGTGAATCAATGACCAAGATACAGAATAAGAACTATGCAGTTATTCTGAACATAGAAAAACACAGTGAAGCTCCCCACTTTATGCATCATCAGCCAGAGACACGGTGAAGAACCTAACTCAACTCTCACTAATTTCTGTTTGATTGATCAGAAGTTGAGAACATGAAGCAAGTAGTAGAAAACAGTACTCACAGCACAGCTCGCACAGTGGTGCTATAAAGTTCCTATTGCATGTGAGTTGCTTTCCATTCTCTATTTGCACCAACCTAGTCAACCAGTTGCAGATACCTTGGTAGTCAGCAAATGGGACTCCCTTCTTCGAGTGAAAGAAGTGGTGTGTTTGTGTTAGCTGCAAGTTATATATGCAGAGCATTTACAAAATGGACACTGTCAGCCATCAGAAGTTTATGTAAAAAAAGTCCAGAACAATAAAAAGCAGAGGAATCTCGATTCATGTTATCGCCCATTTCAGGCACAACAGATGCAACATGAATATAAACTAAGCTAAAGATCACTTCTAGAGTCTAGAAACTTCCCAACCATGGCTATCGATAGGAATCAACAGAAACCACGATTAGGATTAACAAACTGTTGCTAGTTATCAAGATACTCAGACTCAATAGCTGAGCTAGAGCCATGATCTGGGTGGGGCATATCAAACTCAAATCAAATTCAATATACCAAAACCCACGAAACAATCTACAACTCTAAGTTCTAACTGCGATTATTCTGGAGTTATTGGAGTTCATTAATACATAAAGCTCAAATCTTTAAGCACAGTCTCATCCAAAACCCCATTAACTTCTTTCCTCCTCCAACGAGAAGAAATAAAGGAACCAACTTTCTTGTTGAGCATTAAAAACCCACCATAACGGCATCAAAAATGAAATAATGCTTCCAGCTGCTCCTAAGTACTAACAATCACTAATCACGTTCAGTGGCAATAATTCGATTGAGATGCAGAATTAAGAAGGCCCCCTCAATTTCTAAAACTGCAATTAGTCACACTGATATGAACTCACCCATCACAGCTCCAACGAGCAAGCAAATTCATATCATCAGAAGAAGCATCGAATTACCTCGAACAGCGGTTACTTTGCATCAAACCGATGGAAAAGGGGATATCAGTCCAGCCCCGGCGAGGGAATCAAACCCATCTAGTTTGCGACCGATCTCAACGTAAGCCGAATATTGCATATGAAAGCCATGGAATCGCCCATCTTCCTCCTCCCAACGAAAAACTTCCCCCCAATTCTCTAGTGAGGAGCTACCGGTTCTTGAGCCCTACGAGCCGCAGGGAATGGGAGGTGAGAAGAAAAGCGAAGATGAGAGAACGAAACGAATGCCTCCAAAATTTGGGCCGGTGGGTGGTGGGGTTCAATTCATGTAAAGTGTAATAAAGTAAGAAACCATTAACCGTCGACTGGGCTCAAGCCATGGGCTTAACTAGGATTATCAAACAACAAACGGTTGGGCCGGACCGAATACACGTTTGATGGCCCAACCCAGTGGTCCTCCCCTTGTAGAAACAAAAGCAGGCAGGGACAAAAAAGGAACGAAAGGAAAAAAGAGGCTTACGTCTAATCCCATCACAGACAGGGTAATGATTCCGCCTCCAGACAGGATTGCTGACGTGGCGGGAAGAGGTGACCAATCAATGCTCAAAGAATCATTGTCTCTTTCTCTCCAATGGGCCCAAAGCCCCACAGCACTACAGAGAGCAATGAGCCCATCAAAAGAAGTGAAGGGCCGTCTGACACATGTCCCCTTTGTGACCGGCACTGCGGTCCTTATTTGGCCAGCTCCGTGCTCCCCGCCGTTCCTCAAAATAACCGCCGTCTGTGATCATTTGCCGCCGGACGTCTAGATCGCCTGCCACGTGTCCCGCATTCTATTCGTTAAGGTTCGGTCACCATCTAGCTAGATAGCCACAGTCACGAACAAGATTGGTTAGGGGGAATGTGTGTTGATCGCTTTTCTCCACTTCTCTTCGTTTTCCCATTCCAGTCTGAATTATCATAACTTGGTTAGGATCATGCGATTTTCAATGGTTAAAGGCAGTGTTAAGTTCGTAGTCGAAATTGAATCACTATATCCCTCTTAATCCGCTTTATATTTTACTTACTTAGAATATATCATGTTAGGCCACGTGAACTGAACTTACAATCTATAGGTGCAACAAGACCTTTGCCGATGTGTCAAACCTACGTTGTCATTGTGCATGTCAGGATTCTCGAGAAAATATTTCCTAGCTATTCACCGAATAGGAAATTGAAATTTTTTGCTATTATGTATAGCTTCTCTTCAATTCTTTTCAAAAAAATCAGACTTGTGTAAACATTATACCAGACTTTAACTATTTGATTCAGAACAGTACTTCAAAATTTTTTGGATCGAACATATAGTCCATCGGTCACAACAACATAAAAACAAACCAAAAACAAAGAATGTATGTTGAGTGAAAGGAGATTTTTTCTTGGGTGATAGTCATAGGCATGGTTGTCATGCCGGTGGCATGCCACCCGGTTGAACCTGGTTCAACCTGTACTGGTCATGAAACTGGCATGACACCACCGGTATGACCGGTATGATCGACTTACGCATTCTAAGTAAAATGACATCATTTTAATGAATTTAATGAATAAAAATAATAATTTATTATTCATTTTATGAATGTAATAGTTAAAAGTTGATGATATTTGTTGGATTGTAACTAAATTGTCCACATATATATTTTATATATAATTAAATACATTGGATATTAATTGTTTTCACATTTTTTTAGACCAATATGAACCGGCACAAACTGGTTATACCACCGGTCGTACCATTCCACTTGCCAAACCGGCGCAACGGTATAAACCGGTTTGACAACCTTGGTCATAGGATTCCCTTTTGCAATAATTTGGAGAAGGATTTACATGTATACGTCCAAGGAAAGATACCAAATTAATAGCATTAGAAAAGAAACCCCATTAATTACTTACTTACGTCGTAGTAGTAATGATAAATGATCTTCAATTAATATTGTCTATGCTTTCTCGTCGAAGGCACATCTGATCGATCTGCAAATTAAAGCTCTGATAATTATCCAGCCGCATGATTGCCACTCATCACCATAGTGGTACCTAGCTAGCCTATTGAGTTGAGGCATGTCTTTCTTTCTTTCTGTGCATAAGTCAATGCGCTCCCTTTTTGTACTGTTATTACGGTGATGCTACGGATCGGGAAATCGCCCGGAATCGAGAAAACAAGAATACGAAAGCGAGAATCGAAAACAGACACACGATTTACGTGGTTTATTAACACGATGTGTGTTAATTAGCTAGTCCACGGGCAAGAGAGAGAGAGTCAGTTTCACTATATCGAGGAGATTACAGATTACAGAGAAGATGAGAAGTATTTATATACTTCTCCATGTGGGTCCAAACCTAATCTAATCTGGTAAAGGAAACGGTTACAGTAGACCAGTCCCAAAACCATACCAGATTCCAATTTGATAATGCGCGGCTGATGTAGTCCGATTCAAATAACATCAACATCGTACTACGCTAGTTGTCTATCTCGTTAATCGTAATATTGTATTGGGTTAAAGCACCTTTTAATTTGCTGCTAAGTCAAAATTTTCAATGAATACTGTAGAGCAAAAAGGAAAGGTGGAGACTGGAGAGGGCTGGAATATATATATAATTAATGCATGGCATGGGATTAGATACATGGCTTTACAGAAAGGCCAAACTGGAAGGAAAAAAAAGCCTCTTCATCATTAGCTTCCATCTTATAATTAACCTTAATCAAAACTGTATAACCACAATAATCGGCCACTCAATCATATCTCTGAAACAAAAAGGAAAATTAATGAACAACATTCCGATGAACGTATGAGAAAACATATTGATCGGTTTATTTGCCCGTCAAGGCAGGCTTTGTTCTCCTTTGTTTGGGGGTTAAATTATATTAATTACCAAAAAGGTGAAGAGATAAAGTTGACAAACTAAATCTTACACTTAGATTTTACTGCTTCCCACTAATTGGCAAACCAAAATGGATCGTTACGTTTAACTTATCGGACTAGAGGAAGGAGGGAGCCAGAAAACTAGGGTTTCTGCATATTGTGCGATGGATCCTTTTCCTTGGTAGAGGTGTTTAAACGGTTTGGATACCATGTTAATCGTTTTAACCAGTACTATTTGGATAATTTGGTTTGGTTAATTTGGATAATTGGTTTGGTTTGGTTAAAGTTTTTACTTCAGAAATTTTTGCAAAATTGGGTTGCACAAAACTGAGCACAACTCGCGCAAGGCGCAAAAGTTCAAGGAAGACAGCATGAGTTTCGTCTAGTCTTGCGAGTTGCGACATGACTATGCCATTCTGAAATCCCCTATCGTCGATAGATCGAAATGGAATTTATGATAGCACTGTGTAGTATCTAAGCTAAGATTATGGAGTGTTGACCTAGATGATTTAACATAAGTACTACTTGTGCTATTTTCTCTCTCTCACTCTCTCTAGCTTGCTAGCTCTCCCTTTTTTGCTGTGCCCTTTTGCTATTTTCTTTTCAGAATGGTACTCGATGAATTGATCGATCGTTCTGTTTGATAAGGAAGGAATTCAGAAAACAGTAGCCACCCCCACTAGCTAGAACAAAGAGAGTTGGTGGGACACCCCAAATCCATCGGGCCCTTTGTTTTTAGATTTCATTCAACCCTTCTATCTCTTCTCACATTGCAGAAATAGTACACTTTGATGCTCATTTATTGGACAACATTATCATATTTGTGTTATGCAAATCAAAACCTGTTTTTGGGGTTTGTTTCCTAATAATCATGCTTAGCTTTTACCACCCTTGAAGTGCCATCTGCAACTAGCCAAAGGTTAAATGGGTTCCAGTACGTCAGGTGAAACGTTGAAATATTGCCATGCCTTTAGAGGACCTAATTTAATTAGCAAATGGTGTCTGCATCAGAAGATGGACCAGTGGAAGCTAATTCAACTTAGTGGTCGAGTAGGGTAAAACTCGAACTCGATGGATTATTAAAGGGTATGGATAAAAAAATATGAACCCGAATATTGCGATTGATTGATAGACATGATTTTCTCGCTATCCAATCTGAACTCGTCAGATTATCTACATGCATATGTATTTTGATGTTTTTATATTTATTATGGCAAAGAGAAATTATCATCCATGATAACCGTGGATGCCCAGTCCGAGTAAGGATACTATTTTGATGTTTTTATCCGATTCTATATGAGTATAGGTATTGGTAGAACCCGATCTATTTAGAATAATAACATGTCCACTGTCCGACCCGACCCGTTGTCATCCTACTCTCTGGGGCAGAAAACATAAAGGGTTTTGGATGGAATGGAAAAGATAAGGTGATCAATGGTGGAAGAAGGCGATATAGTGTATGCACATTTACAAGAAAAAAAGATCATGTTGGCAGCTAGCTAGGGTTTTAATAAGTCAATATTCTCACACTGATCACTCAATAAGCTATTACAAAGGACAAAGGAAAGAAATTACAAGTTGTACATAACATGGGGAGGGACCCATAATATATCTAATGTCACACTTACTGGGATGCACAGAAATATGGCAAAACCAACAACATGCATGACCTTCCTTCCTCCAACATTATTCCATCTAACCATCTTCTCCCCCTCTAGCCTTCACTGCAACATCATGAAGAATGATTCAATGTCCCCCTCAACTTTTATAGGCCTTGGGACCTTTAATTTGTGGGTACATGCCCTACTCCATAGTCCTTTCCCTCCCTACCCACCATACACGGTTAGAAATAGAACGGAAAAATTAGGGTTATCGAATCTGACCGAATCGTCATTCCCAACATACACATGCATATGAAATCGAAGATGGTCTTTATATGGTTACTAGGTCCAGTTTGGACGGAACTCACGAGCTAGGCTGCAGCCAGATTATTAGAGTAAAAAGTAGGGGGGTGCAAATAGAGTAAAAAGTAAGTAATTATATTACTATAAAATAGATTTATCAATTTATAAAATATTATCACAAAATAATAACATGAAAATTCAATATATAATAATAAAAATAATAAATAAAAATAATTTTAATAAAAATAATTATTATATAATAATGCTCAAATATAATTATTTATAACAACAATAATAATCATTGGTCGAGCAACCTCGAAACTCGAAATCCAACTCGTAAGTGGTCATCCTAAGGGGGTTCTCGTGCCTAACTTTAAATTGAATATGGTCAAACTTAGTCAAACACGTTCGAATCTGTAAGTTTTAACTACTTATTAAAATAAATCGAGTTAACTAAACTGTTCCTCTCTATCTTTTCAACAAATGCTTCTTATCTCTAATTTTCAATGCAAATTCGGGTCAACTAAGAGATATCGATTTGACGAGGCGAACATTGACAAACTTGCTCTCTTAGTCAAACGGTCAACCCCAAACAACTTCTACACTAATATAGATATAAGAAAAAATTAATAATATTAATTATTATGTAATTATAATCTAATTAAAAATTCATAATTCTCCTCCTCCTCCTTCCCCCTCCCTTCCTTCCTTTCCTTGCACCCCAATTTGGGGGGTAAGCCGAAACAGTGAATTTACGCTCACGTTTTGCACCCCCCTACTGTTACAAAATAACCAAAAGGGGGTAAACACCTTGGAACTTGTGCTTACCCCTCCAAACTTGCACCCCCTTCCATTTGCACCCCTTCCCAAACATAGTGTAAGTAAATATACATTTTCAGAGAGAGAGAGAGAGGGAAAACCGAGGAAATGATTATAGCGCATGCAAAAAGCTAAGGGCGATAGCCGGGTAACAGTGGCTTAGCTTAATTAACTACTGCTTCCAATTATGATACGGGCGGGAAGCTGGTCTCTATGCAGATTGGAGATGACAACTGACCTGTTTCACATGTTTTGGACTGAGTAATACTTGCTTGGTAAGTGGTGTGGGGAGCATATGAGTACTGTCTTTGATGCGATCGTCGTGACCCATTTCATTCTCTACTTTTTTTTCTCTCTCTATTAATTACATGTAATTCTACTTAAATTATTAGGATTTTACTTTTAGTAACTCACATTTTAACTATAACAAATTTGAAATTAGGTGAGAACTCGAGTAATTTAACTATTTCTTAATTTATTAATGAAAAATTTAATATTTCTAATATTTTTCTTTTCAATTCAATCACGCGCACTCATATGAGCAGCTGACACGCGCCCCATAATAAATTACTCGAACTGATCTCGACGTGCCACGAGGCATATATGGGTATCGATATTATACCCTTCAGATCTGCCTCGGTGCAATTTTTAATGCGGATGAGAAGGTGATATAAGATGCAATTGGGAATGAAAATGGTGCAGGTCCGGGACGGGTTTCTTAATACCCAGACCCGCCCCCGTGGCAGGTCGGGTCCAGATCGAGTAATTTATCACGGATCGCGGGTCGGGGCAGGTCGACCCAATGAGTATGCAATTTATATGAAAAACATTAGAAATATTCATTATTTTTTATTATAAGACCGAGAAAACAAGCAATATTATGATGAATGTAGTTAAAATATGATGTAATAATAGAAAATTTCTAAGTAATCTGACTAAGATTACATGTAATTCAGTCAAGAACGGGTCGAGAATTGGGCGGGTTAGGGCAGGTCGGTTCGATGAGCGTACCCATGCCCGCCCGCCCCGCCTACGGGACGGGTCAAACTCGCCCAAAAACAGACCAAACAGGTCGAGTCAAAGTGGTGAGGTTAATGAGCTGTTTAAATTGAGACAGAAGGTAGATCGGTTTAACTAGGGTGGAGTGGCTAGTTCTATATATTGGAAGGAAGGAGAGCGATCAGTAGTTTGGTAGGAAGCTAAGCAACATATCGAGAGGGACAACACACACATTATGATGCTAAAAACATCTAGTCTTACGAGAACTAATGAAGGATTTATACGTGGGAATGAAGCTTAAATTACAAGCAAGGGTGGAAAAAGGGATATAAATTATTTGCTGACTTCAAAATAGTATATTATTGTATATGTTAATTCCACACATCACTGATGATGGGATTTTTAGCTTAGTGACGACCTCTTTAGCTACCACTTTGGCGTATCTTATCTTACGTATTGCCATTGACTCGGCTGTGAAATTCAGTTGGATGGAATTTATTATAAGATATATTAGCTAGCTTGTTACAAAGTCTTAATTTGCTTGTGCTTTCTTATATAATTAATTAATTCGATAATTGCATTTGACAATATCACCTGCCCTTTGGAAGCCGTATATAACTATAACATAGCTAACAACTTCTCCTATAATGGTATTTTTTAAGGCTTTTCGTTGACAAATTGAATATTATTATTATATAATGGTATTATTAAGGCTTTCTGTTGACATTGATAATTTGGTGGTTGGTGATAAGTTAGATTTATGAATTTGTTTGTCATAACTTGTTGTATGGTTTGTATTATCCATGTTGTCTTAATTGGACGGAAAATCTTTTTTGGCAAATCTATTGTATCTTTCTATTAATTACATTAAAATGTACATAAAAGACTAGTGAATGCAGAAGCTACATCAATATTGCGTGCACTCAAGCAAATCCATTAATCACAGAATGATAGTTGTGCGACCAACAAAAGAAGAAGAAGAAAAAAAAAAACAAATTAAAGCTACTTGTTTCTTTAGACAGATCCCATATTGGCAATACATGCACAGATTCATGAGTCATGAAGAATAATTCAACATTAATTGACAAGACACATTTTGAAACGAAATGAATGAATTCTTATAAGAACTTGGAAGTTCAACGTACTTAGGATGGAGCAGTGCATAAACGATCAACCTATCGAGAAGACACCCTAAAGCACCCAAAATAAGAAACATGCGGGATTAGAATCGAAACAGACAATATCTTTGATTAGAGAAAGGGTTGAGATGTTATAAAGTACTCAATGAACGAACAAAGATTAGGTCTAGTGATAATACCACTAGTCTTCTTATACCTGGAGATCTCATGTTCGAATCTATTAAACAGTACCTAATTAAAATAAAATTAAACATGTATCGCCATTTTAAGAAGGAAGAAAAATGTACCCAATCAATAAATTTCTTATCTATTACTTATCAACAACGGATTGTAGTGAACAAGAGTTAGATACCATTACTTATTCATCTTAAATCTTGATGTCTCATGTTCGAATCTCTGAAGAAAATTCGGCATTCAAATTTTTTTTTTTATAGTCCTAATTAGCATTTTGGTAAAGAGAAGCAAGAAGCTAGCATGACAGGGAATAGACGGTGAAAGAAACCAGCAAGAGAGTAACCGGAGACAGAGCGAGGAAAAGGAGAATCCAGCTGGGGCCGGTGGCCGGGAAACAGGTCGACCAAAAAGAGATTTATTTATATAAATCCAAACCAAAAAACGGGTAGTAAATGCTGGTTAGGGAAGATCTCAGTACTCCCATCCTTCAATATTAATTCTCCACATTGCTCAGATTCCATCGAGAAAAGAAAGCAGAAAAAGTGAAAAACACAGAGAGAGACAAAAACTCATAGCCATAGAGAGCCAGAGAGACAAAGCTCATTCATTTCTCTCTTTCTGTTCTCTTCTCCTTCTGCTTTTCTTCATTCTCTCCTTTCCTTTGGATAGTATAAAGAAGAAGCAAGCCATTACCCTCTGGCTTTTGGTGTTGTCATTCTTCCTTATTTCCGCATTCATTAATTCCTCTTTTTTGCACTCGCCATAACCACAACATCACAGTCTGTTGCATCAAAAGACAAACCTCTGTTTTGCCACTTCTGGCCAACCCAATTCTTCTTCGCCCACTCTGTTTTTCCTTTCTTTCGTTCACTCCAAGGAAACTCCTTTCCCCTCTTTGTTTTCATCTCTGTTCTTTTTCCCCCACTACCTCAGTGTTTTGCTCTTTTGATGATACTGAGGTAAACCTGAGGCTTCGAGGGAGCGCTTCCTCGCCATCATTTTCTAGTTGTTGTTTGGGTTATTTAATATGTGGAGGGTGGATGGTGATGCTGTTGAGATTTTGAAAGCCAAAGCCAGGCTTTAAAAGAGAAAAGAGAGGGCGTTGGTGCGCTGATTCTGTTTTTATTTCGCTTGCTCTTTTTGGGGTGAACAATGGGTAGTGGCAAGATGGAATCTTTTGTCAAGGAGAAGCTCAGGGACCTCTGTTCCAGCAACAATGGCTGGTCTTTTGGACTCCTCTGGCGCTTTGATCACCGAAATTCCATGTCAGTTCCTTCTTCTTGTTCTTCTTGGCATGCTTGCTTCATTGAATCTCATAGTTAACCTAGTACTTGAAAAAGATCAAAGCTTTTGGTTCTTCTTTTGGTGGGTAATCTTAAACTTTGTCTACTAATGGAAGGGAAAGAGCAGAATAGTAATTTAATTTGTCCCATTTGAAATTTTGTCGCTTGGAGCAGCCAAAGGGGGGAAGAAACAAAGCTTGAAATGGGTTTGGGGGTACTGATGACCTTTTTGGTTAAGCAATATAGAATACATTAAAAAAGAGGAGTTAACAAAAGTTTTCTCATCCTTAGAATGATGTCCAAGATCTAAATTCCTTTCTCCTTTCCCCTTCTTTCTCTTTTAATTTTGTCCTGTTTTGTCAATTTGAAGCATATTCCAGCCATTGACAATGTAACAGCATCAAGCTTAACAGTAGCTACTGGTTGCATTTAACAGTAATTCTGGCAATTATGTCTGATAACTAAAGTTCAGCGCTGTTTCTTATTTTGATGTATGCTTACCAGGTTGCTAAAAATGGAGGATGCCTATTATGAAGAGCAAATGAAGACAGTAGTTAAGGATTTGCTTCCCCATGTCCACATGCTTGGTGAAGGGTAAGCCAATTTGAAGAAAACTAGGCTCCTGTGTTAATAATTGCAGACAATTTGCTTGAAAATTTCAAGAATTCTACTGTAATAATAATTGCTTTATCCAGGCATAGAAAAACAGTATTTGACAGGATGATGGTGTTTTTGTTTTGATGCAGAATGGTTGGCGAGACAGCTTTTAGTGGGAAGCACAAATGGATTTCCTGTGATGCTGATGATAGTGGATGGAGTGACTCTGAGATTACCAGATTGCTGTCTTCTGGAATTAAGGTGCCTGTCAAAGAACACTACATGTGTAATATGTTCATGTGTCTTGTTCTGCTTTCTAATGTTAATGAATGTTATCAATTCTTGTCTACAGACAGTTTGCATGATCCCATTGGGTTCACAAGGTGTCATACAGCTTGGATCCGTGCATAAGGTTTGTGCATTTCGCATTGATGCCAAAAAAATCTGATCATTAACTTTCTCATATGCTGAATGAACAAGCAATGTACTCTTTACTTGTTACAGATTTCTGAGAGACAAGAGATTGTGGATCATACCAAAAGATTGTTTAGTGACATGGAGAACGCTGAATCTTTCGATCCAATGACCACCAGCACTGCTTCATCTTTGACCTATGATGCTGCTTCTTCTGATCTCAGTGACTGGTTTGCTTCCTTCTGTGCTGGAACCATCTCACCCATCCATGGTGGAAATTGTGATGAGCTCGTAGAATTCGGTTTTACTTCATCAAACTTCACTCGGTCGTCTGCTCCAACATCAGATATTGAACAAGAAAGGATTGTTCCTTCACTTATGAACTCAAACCGTGAGCATGCTTCACCAGAGTCAGCAGGCAAAATGGATTGCATCAGTACATGGAGCAGTGAAGGTTCCATTTTGACCTCACTAGAGTCACAATTGGCTTCAGAGATCCAGGTCTGTGATTTTCCGTGGATGCTTTCGTCTGGTGTATATACTCCAATGTCTCATGGCAATTTGCAAGAGAGTGCAACACTTGCTCCATGTTACAATACAGGAGTGTTGATCGATGTGGACAAGTCAAGTCAAGTATATGCTGAAAGATCTGGGATTAAGAATGAGCCTTCGACTGTCATTAAGCTCGAGGAACAAGGAACCTTATGTGGGTTTCCTGAAGAGTTTAAGCAGGATGATTTCTCCAACTTTTTCATGTTGGAGGACCCATTTGAGTGGACTCCTTGTTCACAAAGCCAAAGCATTAATGTTATGACTCCACAAGTTGAGGCGAATGTTTCACAATCGGTAGGCTTTGGTGCACCACCTTCTAGCCTGCTTGAAGACGTTTGCAGTGAACAACAAAAACCTGCAGTCTCCTATGCTGCTCAGAGTGATCTGTTCGAAGTCCTTGGTCTAAAGTTCGCTGATGGACAAGTTGGTAAAAGGGATAATTTGATGGCACCTTTGGTTAGTGGTATTCAGCCAGGTACTAGCGCAGAAGTCTCGAAGCTCAACCCAACATTAAATGGTATCTGGAAGCAGAAGGGCTTATTCTCAGAACTGGGACTTGAAGAGCTTCTAGGTGGCCATAAGAGTTCAAGCTTTGCTAGTACTAAATCCAGCATTATCAACTATGGGCTATTGTCACCTAACAAGAGAAGAAAAATGGAGAATTCATCATCACTCAGTGTTAACCAACTTCACTTAGGGAATGTCTCCTGTTCAGCTAGCAGCAGCACAAGCATGCTGTCCGCTAGTGGTTTCGACAAGACAAAGTCGCCAATGGCACAATTTATTGAAGACAGCTTCAGCAGCATCAACTCCAGAGGAGGTATTCCAGGAAAAGCTAAGAAGCCAGACGATCCTGCTAATAAGTCGGGTGCCAAGAAGAGGGCTAGGCCTGGTGAGAGCACTCGGCCAAGGCCAAAAGATCGACAGCAGATCCAAGACCGTCTCAAGGAGTTGAGAGGCATAGTTCCCAATGCTGAAAAGGTATCATACTGTTTTCAGGTCTTGGACTCTTGGTATATTTTAGCAATATCATCATGCTAAATGTTTGGAAGAGAAGCTGCTAGAAGAGAAACTAATGATTCAATATAAAAATAAACCTATTGTAAAGAGTTGTTTCTTGTTAATGGAACCAAAAAAAGCTTAGAAGCTACAGAATGCTACTTATACTTTTAACAGAAGCAGCTACTGATATATGCTTTCTTTGGTTGATATCACAGGATAGCATCGACAATTTGTTGTACAGAACCATCAAACACATGCTTTTCTTGCAGAGCGTGGCAAAATATGCAGACCAGCTTAAACAAGTTGATAAGCCAAAGGTAGTAAGTCATAATTTATGTCCAACATCTCTTGCTTCAGATAATTTTATACATGGCCAGTTACTGAGACAATTAAGGTTGAACAATTTGTCCAGATTTCAGCGTGCGAAGGTGGTTGTGGAGCTACCTGGGCGTTAGAAGTTGGCGATGAAAAAGTGGTTTGTCCCGTCATAGTTAAAGATCTAGCCCCACCTGGACTAATGCTTGTAGAGGTTAGAGACATACTTCAACTGTTCACTAATCTCCTTAGGATGGAAGTAAGTCGAACAGCTACTAATGTCATTCTGTTTCTGATATATTATTTGCCAGATTCTGTGCAAGGACCAGGGATACTTTCTTGAAATAGCCGAGGCAGTGAGGGGATTCGGGTTGAACATACTGAACGGAGTGATGGAAGCTCAAGATGATAAGATATGGGCACGATTCGTGATCGAGGTGAATTCGTCCATGACAAGGGCAGATGTACTTTGGTCCCTTGTCCCACTTTTACCCCAGAATGCTAGTAGTGGGATGGACCAGAAGTTGTCAAGTAATGTTGCTGTGTCGAGAAGTTACCAGCAACCAGGGGTACTGGTTTGTCCCATTGGCTTGGCAGAGACAACTCAATGATAGCAGCAGTACTTCTTCTGGTGTAGTTGTAACACCTTGAGCAATTCATGATTCTGAGGCTAAATGCTGTGATGTAAGAGGAGATCAGTAGTTAGAATAGAGTAAGTGGTGATAAGATAGAGTAGAGTAAGATGGAAAGTAGATGAATGATACTGAATGTGAATACTTGGTTGTTGATTATAGTCACGTAGACCTTAATTAGCTGACTTGGACGATACATTTCACTCGTCACCGTCTCAAACCAAACTCGTTGCTACATCCAACTCCACCCTAAACATACTAGAACAAACTCTAGCGACCCATGATTCGATGGCAATTTACGTAATTCAACCTTGATTTTGTTCGAGCTCACCGTTCGTTCACAGATTCTTAAAGCTAAAGCCTAAGTCGTAGTAATTTCATGGTTCTTATTGTTTCCTTGTCATGCAAAGATCACTCACCTTTCTTCCTTCTTTTTTGTTTTATATATTTTTGCAGGTTTCCAAGTGGTTGCTGGTGTAAACACACTAACCATCCACTTTCTTCCACAAATCACCATTGCAGTTCTGTCATCTTTTTAAGCTAGTTTTCAAGCTGTTATTTGATGGCAAAAGTAAAGTAACTAGTAAAGGAACTTATCTTTTGTCTTTTTAAAAATGCCAGCTGAGGAAAAGGAAGAACAAACCACAGAGCACTAAATGATTCTCTAAGTTAAAAACTGGCTAATTAGGTAGCCGAAACTGATTGCTGTCAGCAAAACCAGATTAATGTTAGGAGAATTAGTAAAACCTCAGAAAATATTAGGTATTTATGCAAGTGATCCTTTTTCTAGGAAGGATAACAGATTGTGCACCATGACATGATCTACTTGTTGCCCCCACCATTATTCACCAACCAAGCTTGCAGTTTCAGTAAACGGTGGCAACTGTTTTTTTTTCTTTCACTTGGACCATTGGATGACAATCTACTTGTTCAATCTCTTGGTCTCGGGTTCGAAACTAGTTGGATACGATGATGAGCAGCAATGAGCGAAGAGGAAACGAATGAACCAATCAATCTCTTGGTCTCGGGTTCGAAACTAGTTGGATACGATGATGAGCAGCAATGAGCGAAGAGGAAACGAATGAACCAAACTTGTAGAATTGTGAGAATATGACTTGGGATGGATGCAAATGTGTAAGTAGAACAAAGGACACGAGAGCAATCATACAAGAGAAGAGACATGAAATTTATGTACGTGGTTTAACACAAGGTTTTTTATAGCGTATTTCTCTGTGCGGACAAATAAACATAGTGTGGAAGGGTGTCAAATATATTTGTTTCAGCTTTCCGATCAACCAATCCCTTTTTATTGAGTTACAATTACACTAAATAGAGTGTATCCTTTTATAGAAAGGCTTAACTCTAAATAATTGGAGTTCAAACCCTACATGGAAAAGTATTCACTATTTCTAGATGCATGCTATACTCCGGTGATCTCTTTCCTACCGAGGCATGCAAACTCCCATCGTGTCCCAGATCACATTCCGATAATTGCTTAGTCTCCGTCATTGAGGATAAACGAAGTCATCCTTCAAAGAAGGTAGCTGCTCGTGGGACGAGAGTGGGCCGGAAAGAAAAGGGCTTCTGAGGGGGCTCTCTCGTCTTTAGTCTTTCTCGGCGTCAATCGTTCCTATACCTTACCTTATAGCCAAAGAAGAAGAGTATCAAAGTCTCTCTAGTATGGTAGACAATGAGGAAGGTTAGAACTTGTCAAAACTCCACTCAGCTTATACCTTCTTTGTTCTTTTCTGATTTATGTTTGGAGGTACTAAGATGGTACCTAAGGAATAAAACAAGAACAGGAAGTAAAAAGCCAACCTTTTTGTGATAGTTGAGTGTGCTTTTCAAATCAATGGACTTTGTGGAAAAAAGGGTTTCCATCAACAGGAGATAAGTGCTGTATCCATTCAACCCAGATGTAAAAAACTAAGGGGGTCGTTTGGAAATTGCGATAGTTTTGTTGAGATTGTCATTATGCATGTATTGTTTACAATGCATCGTTTTTTTGTTTTTTTAGCAGAAACAATACATGGATTGTTTCTGTGATGTGACAGAAACTATCACTCATTTTGAGTGATTGTTATATCTCAACTTTTAGTTGTGATTGTTGAGATAGTTGAGTTGAGATTGTTTTGTCTCAGCTTTTAGCTGATGCGACATACACAATCACACATACCAAACGTTGTATTCTACAATGCATCAAATTCGACAATACATGTATAATATTATACATGCATTCTCAACAATACATCTATTTAACAATAGCAACTTCCAAACGACCCATAAGTACACAAGCCAATGGAACCCTACCCCCCAAAAAAAACCCTTCTCTCATTTTTCTTTTCTGCAGTGATGGAAACCTAATTGTCCCATTCATGACCTAATTAGGTGGTGGGAATCAATAGACAATAGTATATACTTGGAAGTGCAAGATCTGCAGATTCTATATTATGAAAGACCAGCTGGATTGGTATTTCAGCAGAACCACATGAATGGCAAAAAAATTGTCTAATTCACCCACTAGGAAGTGAAAAATACCAGAATATTCCTGCAACTTTTGGTGAAGATCAGTGTTTAACGGTTCAGGAATTCAGCTAGTTTAGTTGAACCAATAGGGACATGCAGTTGCTTTGCCTCAATTGGCAAAAAGGAGGAAATGGTGCTTCAGAGGAATTAAGAAGTATGGGAAAGAAGGGAGTTGTAGTTAGTGCAGAGCAGGGGAAATGAAGTGGTAGGTGTCCTTATAATATAGGGTGAAGGGACATAACTAATGTAACCTACAGTCAAGCAGATGAAAGAAGGAAGGGGTTGCTCCTCAAATGTTCTTGGGGAGGGGAGGGGAATGGTGAGGACCACAATGGCAATTTGCCAAATGCAGAAGGTGGTCCTCCATATTATCATCAGCTTATGCATAAATATCAATAATATTTTATTATACTTAAGCAACTCTTGGGTTTCCCTACTTTTCTTATCCAGAGGGAAACAGATCAGAGAGGAAGCTGATCACATTCCCACTGAGAGTAGTCATGAACAGTACCACAATACCAAACACAAAAAATTACTGCCTATTCTTAGTCTTATCACTCATGAAAACAGTTGATTAGTGGAGTGGATTAACATGCAAGAGGTTTGCCTTCAAAGTCCATAATTGAGTATATGTTCAGTGTTCGCATGGTGCGAAAAGATTGGAATAGAATGCGGTGCAAAACAAGCATGTAAGACAATATGATCGAGAAAGAAACACCGTAACGTAATAGAGGTACAATGCGATCATAACGTCTCGAGCTCGTGACAACGAGAAATAAATGAACAATGGTCATGAGAATATAATATGATACCTGTGTGGCTGCGGATTTCATCTTATCAGCATCAGCATTCAGCAGCAACAACACAATCTGCACAAGAAAATTGGAAATCTGTCCATAATCGTCATCAGTCATCACACAACTTTACCCACCATATAAAACAAAAAGAGAAAATAGGGCACGATGGAATGACCATCTAGAGCTTCTATTCCATTGGAGATTTTTCTTAAAATTTCCATTTTAATGGGTTATGGGATGCCAATCACTTCTTTTCTGCATATAAATAGAGCAATGGTCAGCATACAATAATCGTCACCAGTCACCTTCCTTCCTCCCCTCCTTTGCATGGAACTAACACCACCTTGGCAGCAAATTAACACCTTCTTGCCAAGGCACCAAAACCTCAAATACACAGGTGCTGTTATCTCAACACACGTATCCAAACACCAGAAACTAATATTAACCTGATCGGAGAAGATTAACATGGAGTGGAGGATAAATGTGGGAGATGGTTCATCGAAGGCATTGGCCCCAAAGGCAAGTGGTTTTGCTTCAAAACTATGGGTAGCCCTAAAGGATTTCTTCATGGCGTTCTTTATCAGGATTAGAGGGTTCTTCCTGAAAGCATGGATGATAGGGGTGGACGACCCTAGGAAATTCGTCCATTGTATTAAAGCAGGAATGGCTCTTACACTGGTTTCACTCTTTTACTACATGAGACCTCTGTATGAGGGTGTTGGTGGCAATGCCATGTGGGCTGTCATGACTGTTGTAGTTGTCCTCGAAAACACCGTAGGTAAGTACCTGACACACAAAGCAATCAACACTTAATCAATTGGGATTCATGAAGTGAACAAAATCTTATTATTCTTTGTATTTGTTGCTGCTGCTGCAGGTGCAACAATCTATAAATGTTTGAACAGAGTATTTGCTACTTCTTTAGCTGGATTTCTTGCCTTGGGAGTTCACTGGGTTGCTAGTCAACCTGGACAGAGATTTGAACCCATCATTACTGGTCTCGTTGTCTTCTTGTTAGGTAACTAACACACAATTAGTGGTTCTGATATCCCTTCTTTGACACTATTGACTAACTTAATTTGCTCATGAAACTGTATGCATGCAGCTTCTGCAGCAACTTTCTCCAGGTTCATTCCAACTATAAAAGCTAGGTTCGACTATGGCTGCCTGATCTTCATCCTCACTTTCAGTATTGTGAGTATATCGGGATACCGGGTTGAACAACTGTTTGATGTGGCTCATCAAAGGATGGCCACAATCATCATTGGAACTTCCTTGGTCACCATCGTGACCATGTTCATCTCCCCCATTTGGGCCGGCCAGGAGCTCCATACCCTCATCATTCGCAACATGGACAAGATTGCCAATTCCTTGGATGGTAAGTAACTCCATATTAAAATTTTCACTATGCAGTTAAGCATTTTCAACCTTAGGCTCGTGATCAATCCTAACTGTGCATGTTTTTCAGGATCTATGGACTTGTATTTTGGCCAGAACAAGGAAGAAACTGATCCTGACAAACAACTTGCCAACAAGTCGCTTGGTTACAGATGTGTACTTGGCTCCAAGGCCTCTGAAGAGTCCTTTGTAAGTGACAAACACTTGATTATAAACACAAAGAAATGATGATTTTTTGAAAACGGATGAAGAAGAAGAAGAAGAAGAAGAAGAAGAAGAAGAAGAAGAACTGACCTGGTCTGAAAACCTTCCCCTCTTTCTTGCAGGCGAATTTCGCGAGATGGGAGCCAGCACACGGCCGATTCAGCTTCAAGCACCCATGGCAGCAGTACCTGAAGATCGGGGCCGCCATACGAAGCTGCGCGTATTGCATCGAGGCGCTCAACGGCTGCATCAATTCAGAGAACCAGGCTCCGGACCCAGTGAAGAAGCACCTGAAGGAGGCTTGCGAGAGAGTGAGCTCGACTTGTTCGAGCATCACAAGAGAGCTGGCCAAAACCATCCAAACAGCGACGAGATCGGCCGCCGTGGATCTCCTGGCGAAGGAGATGAGCGCCGCGGTTCAGGAGCTCCAGAATTCGCTGCAATCGCTTCCCGACGCGCTGAAGCAGGAGGAGTCGGAGGATTGTGAAGCGAAATCAGGGGGGATCGTGCCTCTGATGGAAGTGATTCCGGCGGCGACATTTGCGTCTCTGCTGATTGAGATTGCTTCTAGGGTTGACATCGCGGTTGGGACGGTGAAGGAGCTGGCGGAGATGTGCGAATTCGAAGTCGGCGGCGGGAGTGCGAGTGAGAAGTCGGCGGCGGATGGGGGAATTGCGGTTGAGATGGAAACAGTGAAGGTCCTTCAGAGGGTCTGAGTTTTCTTCAGGATGCGGGAGTGGGGGGGAGGGGCAAAAAGGGAACAGTAATTAGTAACCCGAATCCTAGGATGATTACGATTCATGTGGTCATCTTGTAACTTGTAAGGTTGGTAAGATCAACGTTTTTTTAACACTATTTTCCTTTTGTCACGGGATACTAATTCGTCGGGAAGGATGAATTAGAAGTCTTGAAGTTGAATGATGCTCCAACAATGTGTTCGTACGATTAGTTGACTTATGAGGAACTAAAGACACCACCAAATAGATAGTTTTTTTTTGGGAACATTATTTTATGATGTTGAAACTCAGTCTAGCATTAAATTTTCCTTTTGAACCCAAAGTTGGATGATAATGATATATAGAAGGAGCAGAACGAATGTTGAGGCACGCTTCACAGTTCGTCATCCGACTTCAATTACTATACTCCTCATTTGTCGAACTTGTGCTCCTCGTCAATTTCTTCACTCTACAATTGAAACATATAATCAAACAAGTAGCATATTATCACTCGTCATTTTTTCTTTTTGTTTTGTGACCTAACTTACCAAGATCTTGTATATTTCGTATCGAACTGTTTCCCCTCGGAATGCTTATGGCAAAAACAAGTAGGGCTCAAGTGATACAGGCCTTCGGCCCATGGGACGCCTATTGATCCAATTTCAAGCCCAAGCTATCGACTCTTTTTTTTTTATTACGATTAAACCAAGCTATCGTCTCTGCTAAACTGAACTTTCAAATTTCCTGGAATTTTCTAGGGTTCTGAAACCTTCCATGGAGAGTTCCAAGTTCTGATAAACGTTTGAGACTCGTTCGGCTTGGCGTTAGACCTTTAGAGATGGAGCAGCCGGTCATTACCTCGGAGGAAGGAGCGTCTAATGCCTCGCTTCTGAATCCACCTTGTCGCATAATCTGCCATGTGTGCGTCCTTGCTTCTCTTTATTCCAGTTTCCAGCTTGATTTGTATAGAAATTGCTCGTCACCATTCGTGAACTTACTTTTGTGTTGTTCCCGCCTTGCAGATGCCAGAAGCAGTTCTCGCAATACACTTGTCCACGGTGCAATTCACGATACTGTTCTCTCCAGTGCTACAAGGTAAGTTACTGCTCGAAATTGAAAGCATGAATCTCTCTTGTCCACCAGCAAAAGTTGGGTTTTCATGCTCTTGTTCGGTTTTTTGTTTCCATCAACAGTCACATAGTGTGCGGTGCACTGAATCGTTTATGCGGGAGAACGTAGTTGAGGAGCTGAAGCATTTGAAACCTGGCGATGACAGTAGGCGGAGAATGGTGGATATATTGAAACGTTTTCATTCTGAGGAAGAAGAGATGGGGTCTATTGATGAGGATGAAGGTATGCTTTTCGGTTCTTTACTGGGCTCTGTTTCACTCAAATGTGTGTAGTTGCTTAGAGAAGTGGTGTATATAGGCTGTAGTCCAATGTGTGATAGTTCTTGAAGGGGTTTTAGAAGGGTTCATGAAGCAGAGAATGCATGTTGAGTTAGTGACGCATGACTTTTTGAAACCGAACCTTCTGAAATTGAATTTGGATACACCGTGTTTGGGAAATGAAAATTGGAGATGATATTTGCACTTTTGGATAGGTTTATGGAGACCCGTTTGTTAGGTTCTTACTGGATCTCTTTTGATGCCTTGCAGATTCATTTCTGTCTGAGCAGACCATTGAAAAGATGGTTTCTGGTAATGTTACTTATCCTTACTATGAAGCTAGATTATTATATATGGATTCCTGATGTACTCCTTTGTCAAAACCTTCTAAAATTTCTCTCTTTTCTCGTCTTCTATAGGAGGTCAAATTACTCTCGATGATCTTTCTGTCGAAGAGAAGAAACGATTCGAAAGAGCTTTAGCATCCGGGGAGCTTAGCAAGTTCTTCAAGCCATGGGATCCTTGGTGGTTGAAGCCTTCTGCCAGAGCCATCTCACTCAGTAAGCAAGGAACTCAACTCGTGCAACCAATTACTGATATGGATCATGAACCATCATCATCCCTTCAAGACAATGGTGCACAAGACGAGTCATCCATTGATATCCCTCCTGGCCCTCAAACCCCACTACCACCATTAGCAAAACTAATCACTACAGAGCCCTCTCCACTTCTAGCTATCCATCTGGTAGACATCATATATTCGTACTGCTTCACGTTGCGACTCTACAATGGAGACTGGAACTCCGATGCCATGGGATCAGTGACCGTCTTGTTGAGCGTCTCTCAAGTTTTAGGCCAAGCCTCTCAGCCAGAAAATGTGATGGAAGCCCTGTCTTATTGCTTGGAGCAAGCTTGCTCTCCCGAGTACAAGCACATTGGGGGTTCCCGATTCGGACTCTCCATCATTGAAGACGTGATCACGCTGCTCTCGCTTGGTCGTGGTGCTCTAATATGCATGCTTGCTGACCTGGAGAGGTTAATTCGAGCCGGGGTGAAGGAGCTGAAAGCAGAGAGACGCCGGAATTCGAGCTCAGAGATCAGAAGCAAGTTGAAGCCCGCAGAGAGGAAAGTCTACTTTATCATGTGTTGGGTGAATGAACAGCCTGATGAAGCTTGGTCTTCTCTAGCTACCATTGTTAGAACAGAGCAAGCCTCTGTCTTGGATTGTTGCAACGGTGGTCATAAGCTTGTGAAGAAATCCAAGGACAAAACTGGAGGGAAGGCTTTCATTGAAGAGATTGTATAGATGCACCTTTGTTCTTGTTGTAGCCCTCTTGCATTTCGAATTAAGAAATTCTGTTGATGGATACCTGTGCTCAATCGGAGATTGTTGTATCACCTTAAACGGCGTCGTTAAGCATTCGATCCAGGAAAGTGGCGATATTGTAATTATGTCCAACTTCCGTGGGCTAGTAAGAGATTTTCCGTCTCTTTTGTAAAACCAATTCAGAGAATGGAGAAGGAACGCGAATTGTCTTCTTCACTCTTCAGACCACATCCATAAACCCGCCCGCCCCTCATTTCTCCCCTGCGGAAGATTCCAGTAGAAAGTAGCGGGAGAATTGGAATCGGCGAAGCAACTGTAGCAAGAAAGGGAAGAAGCAGACTCATCACCTGCTTCTTGAGGTCAGTTTGGATTGGATATAGAGAAAGATAAGAGCGATAATGGTCGATATAGCCGATAAATTGGCGTATTTCCAAGCGATCACGGGCCTCGAAGATCTGGATTTGTGCACGGAGATTCTTCAGGCTCATGGATGGGACCTGGAGCTCGCGATCTCCTCTTTCACCGGCGGTGAGGCTAGCCACGACGAAACCGCCGGGGCGGCTTCCGCATCGACTGTAACTGCCACCGACACTGGTACTGCGCCCGCGGGGTCGTCGAATTCAGCTCCTCCCGAGGCGTTGGAGCGTTCCGATTCCGAAGTTGGTGCCGTCGCCGCCGCTGCTCCTGGTTTAGCATGGAAGCTCGTTACCTTGCCTATATCCGTGATTTCTGGGGGACTCGGGTTAGTCTCCGGTGCGGTAGGTCTCGGTTTTTGGGTCGCCGGTGGTATTTTGTCGTACTCGCTTGGAATGGTTGGGATAGGACCTAGTGCAGGCAGGAACGGCGGTGAATCTTTGTCCCGGTTGGTCTCGGTATCTGCGTCGGCGAGGGAGGCTGTGGATTTTGTGGCAGCGTTTGAGAGGGAGTATGGTGCTGGTGGGCCGAACTTTGTGACGGAGGGTTTCATGGATGCTCTCCAGCGTTCCAGGAACTCGTTCAAGCTACTGTTTGTCTATTTGCACTCTCCTGATCACTCTGACAGTCCCGGATTCTGCGAGAGAACTCTCCGTTCGGAGGTTCTTTCTGAGTTCATTAACCACAATTTCGTCGCCTGGGGAGGGAGTATTAGGGCTAGTGAAGGGTTTAAGATGAGCAATAGCTTGAAGGCTTCGAGATATCCGTTCTGTGCTGTGGTTATGCCTGCTACTAATCAGAGGATAGCGTTGCTTCAGCAGGTATGTTCTATGTCCTTTGCCATGTCCAGCATTCAATTTTTTGTTCTTATGTCACTTGAGGAGTTGGAAGTGCTGTGTAATAGGTCGAATTTAGTTGAAAACATTTCGCTTCCAGTTCTGTGATTGAGAGTCTCATACTCACGATTCTCGGTTCTTATTTTCAATTAGAATGTTCTGTGAGTTTCCATCAGCAGAATTGCTTGATACATCTAGTAATGTATGCAAGAACATTTTGGTTTTGAAGTTAATGGAAGGATTTGATGGGTTTACCAGGTTACATATGTGCAATTTGATTTTCATGGACTATCCCGACTATGTTTGCACTTAGAAGAACTGTGGATGTATATTGTATAATAGGTTGTTTTTGTTTTGGCTTGGTAGTTGCCCCAGCTATGGGGAGAAACTGAGGCTTCTGTTGTATTTCTATTGTTAAGTTTACTCATGTGGTTTGCTATTGGATGAAGAGTTTGAATGTTTCATCCTGTTGAATTTTATAGAGCAAAGCTGTTATAGTTACCAATTTGTTCCGGTGATGTCTAATTATTCAGATGACTGTTCTTTTGTGCCAACTATTCACACACGATTACTGATTCATCTTCTTCATTTGCAGATTGAAGGCCCAAAATCGCCTGATGAAATGCTTACACTGTTGCAAAGAGTGCTTGAAGAAAGTGCACCTGTTCTTACTGCAGCAAGGATTGAATCAGAGGAAAGAATAAGCAACATGCGGTTGAGGGAGGAGCAAGATGCTGCTTATAGGGCTGCACTTGAAGCAGATCAGGCATGTTACATTTTCTGATCTCTTATGCACGAAGTCTTCTTTGCCTTTTGTGCTTCTTGATGTTTTTTCTTCTTTTCCGCTTTAGGCTAGGGAACGCCAGAGGAGAGAAGAAGAAGAACGAGTTGCAAGAGAAGCTGCGGAAGCAGAGATGAAGCGCAAAGAGGAAGAGGAAGCCCGTGAAAGAGCTGCACAAGAGGCTGCAGAAAGAGAGGCTGCTCGGGCCAGAATGCGGGAAGAGAAAGCCTTAGCGCTTGGAGCCGAGCCTGAGAAAGGAGCTGATGTTACCCAGGTAAGAACTACCAACCCCCTGATCTTGGAACCTTTGACCTCATTTGTGAGTGGATGTGTGATCGCTCATGTCATGCATTTTGGAGCCTCATAATAATACTCCATCGGGAATATCTTCTGTGACTGTGACTAGGTTTTGGTTCGTTTCCCCACTGGAGAACGCAAAGAGAGGAGGTTTCACAGCAGCAAAACCATCCAGTCCCTTTACGACTATGTCGATTCTTTGGGTTGCTTACAAGTGGAAGATTATAACCTTGTCTCCAATTTCCCACGCACTGTTTACGGGGATGAAAAGCGACCACTGACCTTAAATGAAGCAGGATTGCATCCACAGGCCAGCCTTTTTGTGGAGCTCAACTAGCGAGAGGGTTGACAGGAAATTCTGGTTAGTAGCTTTTGACAGGGTGAATCCTATTTCCAGGCCAAGCTGCATAAAAGAAGCAAGTTGCTTCAGATGGTTACTTCTACTGTTCTCATCTTTAACAGGAGTGGAAAACTTGGTTAGGCAGAGAGAATTCTGTGAGATATTTGTTCAGGAGGAATATATGTTTCATTTTCTCGTTTTGTTGTAGCTAATTTTTCTCTTTTGTTATTTCTTGGAAGAAAACGAGCTATTGGTATTTTACCATAGGTTTCATCCTGGTAATGGTCATACCATACCAAAATTTTTCACGTCGGATTGTTGATAGGGTTTCACAAACATTGGGACAAAATGAATAAGTTTTTCTTGGAAGTTGCGAGTTACCACATAAACATAGTTATAACTGTGTTTACGAAAATTATTAGTTTGTATTTGACTAGAGCTCGGCTCATCAATTAGATCACGATTCCCGACATCGAATTCTGGTATTATGTTATTAGTTTACGATATCGGACTCTGGTATCATGTTATTAGTTCATAACTTTTGATTTATATAATAGTAATTAGTATTGGAACCATTTATGATATAGAATTCATCTCTTAGTTATTCATGACGTGTTCAAATTCTTAAGCATCATATGTGGTGAGATATATGATCTAATAACCTAAAAAATATCATCAGGCAAATGAAAAGTTGTTAGTTTCTCTTTTTTTATTATAAATTATTAATCTCTTCGATTATAAGTGGCACTTGCTAGTTGAGGTGGCTCGCTAATCCATAGACACGAAATGAGCTATCTCACGAGATGAACTCAATAAACTATCAAGTCGAAATTGGCTCACAAACTTTGCCAACAAAATAAAACTTAACTCAAATTTGACTCGTTAATATACAAAATCAGTATCAAATGAGCTTTTTTCGAGCTGAATGTTGAGACTATCATAAATTCTGTAGCTCATTTGCAGCGCTAAGCCTCTGCTGAGAAAATTATGGCCGAGGCCCGAGAATGGTATTTTCTTACAGCCTCAAAAAACCACACCATATAAAGTGAAATCCCTCCACGTTGAACGTTGAAGGGCACTTTCTTCCTCAACATTATTTTATTTCTCCTATCTGTATCTCCGCTTTCTCCCGCCTCCATTACTGATAAAGCCAAAAAACCCTAAACCCTAATTTCCAAACACATATGGGCCGTCGAAAGAACAACGCTAACAGCAACAGCTCCGCGAGCTTCCCAACATCCCAGCAGCCTCAGGGCTCAAAGATCCGTTTCCAGGACGCAGAGGAGGTAGAGCCGGCCATGGACACTTCTAATCTCGACGTCTCTAATACTGTTCCTAGCGACAAAGCCATTGCTATGGATGATGACTCTATGTCCGAAGCTGACGCTACTTTTACCGGTCCCAATCATGGCGACGACGACCAAACCAGCGCCGATTACTACTTCGATTCCTACTCTCACTTTGGTAAACTTCATTCAAATCCTTGTTTCCCTTCTTTTGTGCGGTTTTTCTTGCATTAGGTTGTTGCCCTTCTTCAATAGCTAATCAAGTTTCTATCTTTTTGTGTTTTTGCAGGCATTCACGAAGTAAGTGTTCGGTTCCGAGCTGTTATGTTGTTTGTCAGCTAAGTTGGGTGTGTTTAGAAATTAGTACTCTGTTGTATCATACCTCTACCTTGTGGTTCTTTTATCTATTCCATGAATGAATGAGTTGAACGCCATGAGTAGACTGCTTTGATTTGTTTTGCTTGCTTAATGTTAGTTTGCTTACTGCTGGTCGATGTTCCAATAGCCAACCACTGTGTCTGTTGCAGGAAATGCTGAAGGATGTGGTGAGGACTAAGACATACCAAAATGTCATTTATCAGAATAAGTTTCTCTTCAAGAACAAAGTCGTGCTTGATGTTGGTGCCGGCACTGGAATTTTGTCCTTGTTCTGTGCCAAAGCTGGAGCAGCCCATGTTTATGCGGTATGTATGCCTTGCTTATTTATGCGAAGGAAAATCTTTTGTTGCTGTATACTCAAGTAAAGCAAAATGCTTTTGTTGGTGTCTGCACTTGTAGGTTGAGTGCTCAAACATGGCTAACATGGCGAAGGAAATTGTTGAATCTAACGGCATGTCAGATGGTGAGTCTGTTCTTTCTTTTACTCATGTGGAAATATTTGGCTATTCTTCTTGTTACTAACTCAACTTTCTGTTTTGTCACTCTACTAATGGTGCAGTCGTAACGGTTTTAAAGGGAAAGATTGAAGAGATTGAGCTCCCAGTTAAGAAAGTGGATGTTATTGTTTCAGAGTGGATGGGATACTTTCTCTTGTTTGAGAACATGTTGAATACTGTATTGTATGCGCGTGATAAATGGCTTGTAAGTCATCTCTCTATATTTGCTTGCTTACACAGATTGCTCTGTATTTTACAGTAGAAAGCCTTACTCTCTGGAAACTTGAATTTCGTTTTTGTTGCTTCCAGAGTAGATTGTGCATGTTAGAGTCATCTCATCACTTGGACAGTCATTTATCGTACAGAACATAAGAGAATAATAAATTGTTGTTGACATCATGTGGTCAACTTTTTGAGTTGGTTTTTGTTTAAACTCTATGCAAAACATTTATAATTAGCATATATGAGTATGAAATTGCATATTAGCTTGGGTCGAACTTTAACTGATACAAGTAACCTTGATCTAGTTTCCTGTTTAATCTAATTTCCAACATTCTTTGCTTCAGGTCAATGATGGCATTGTGCTACCCGACAAAGCTTCCCTCTTTTTGACTGCCATTGAGGATGCAGATTACAAAGATGATAAGATTGAATGTTAGTTATCTTCATGCTTTTTGCTCTTTTGTAAAATGACTTTGGTATCTACTTGCTCGTACTTCTCAGGGATTCAATCGAGTTCTTCTTCTCGTGATAGCAATTCATTTGTTAATCTCTTTAATCAATGCATTATTTTATTGGGATTGTGACTTATTCATTGCCACTGCTGCAGTTTGGAATAATGTATATGGCTTTGACATGAGCTGCATTAAGAGGCAAGCAATCGCAGAACCTTTAGTTGACACCTGTGATCAGAATCAAATTGTTACAAACTCCCAACTACTCAAGGTATTTATTAAGGGAAGAAGTACTGTAACTTAGTTTGATCAATCCTTTTGGGCTGCACATAGTATATGTTAAACGTGTGTTCTCTGCCTATCACGATTGCAGACGATGGACATCTCCAAGATGACTTCTGGTGATTGCTCGTTCACTGCTCCCTTCAAGCTGGTGGCAGAGCGCAACGATTTCATCCACGCATTGGTTGCCTACTTTGATGTATCATTCACCAAATGCCATAAAATGATGGGGTTCTCCACAGGTGACCAGCTTTTCCTTTTACCCTACTTGATTCCAGTCTCGTTTCTCACTGCTCTCTCATTTAACTGGTGAACATGCACTGCAATACTTGCAGGCCCAAGATCGAGGGCTACACATTGGAAACAGACGGTGCTGTACTTGGAAGACGTATTAACAATATGCGAAGGCGAAGTGCTCAGTGGAAGCATGACGGTTGCCCAAAACAAGAAGAATCCTAGAGACGTCGATATAACCGTCAAATATTCACTGAATGGCAAGCGCTGTGTCGTCTCGAGAACTCAGCACTATAGGATGCGATGATGATGATGATGATGGTGGTGGTGGTGATCGAGCTCTCATCTCATCAACTGCTTTGCTTCTCGTTAAAGGATGAAGAAGAGCCAGTACTACTCTGATTGTATTGATTTCAATCAATCAGCATGGATTGTTAAATTGTAACCTGCATACATTCTCAAAATTTTGGTATTGTATTGAATGATTTTTTATACCTATTCGATGGTTTCTGGGAAGCAACTGTGGCTGCTATGCAATCTTTGATTCCCTCGACAGGTCACTGGATTGTGTGGTGTTCGAAACTGAAGTTCTGGTTGGATCCGTTAGTCGTTGGGCTTTTTAGTTAAACATGGGCTTGGGCCAGTAAATTGTTTTACTGGTCGGACTCGGATCTGCTTTTACCGAAAAGGAAAAGGAAACCTTTCGTTGACAACAACAACCTCGTGGCTTTATCTGATTGGACAGAGAGAAAGTGAAAGAGAGCATAAAAGGGGAAGGCTGTGTTTCCCGTTCCATTCCAACAACTGGCAACTACGACTTTCCCAATTCCGCTTTCGAATAACTTTCCTTTCTCGCTTTTCGCCGGCTGCTCCTAATTAACCGCCGCGCTTTCCTTCCCTCATTCCTTCATTCTCCACCTGCCCCGAAAATTTTCAATTTAGGGTTTCGGATTCGCTGAGCTTTTCGCCGTTCGAAGTTAAGATTCAGTCGAACCTCTAGAGCCAGAGAAAACCAACAAACACAGAGAGAGAGAGAGGGAGCTCCTCCTTGCCTCGAAGGATGTGGATAGCGTTATGGCTGAGTCTAGGGCTTGTGTAATAACCGCGGCGAACCGGATTCACCAGAGGCAGCAGCTGTCGATCTCCGTCGCCGAATTCCAATTGCGGGGGTCGAGTATCATGATTCTTTTTGGGTTCGGGTGTCGATTCCGCTTCCAGTCGGCATTCGATTCGTACTCCGTCGCTTGTGAGGCGTTCTCTGAACATCGCCGCAGCCTGCGCCAGCTTCTCTAATAGAGGCCATCCCCCCCTCTCCATCTTTCTCCCTTCTTCTTCTTTGCTCACGTTTTCTTTGCTATTATTCGTTTCTCCCCCTCCCCTTCTCGTCTCCTTTTGGTTTGGATCATCTTCTCGTGCTTGAATTGAGTATGGGGGATTCTGGTTCGTGTGACGATGGCCTGGTTGTGGAAAAGGATCCGTCGGGTCGTTACGTTCGGGTAAGAACTTTTCTGAGCTCGAATTTAGTTTGTACATATATATGTTCATCATGGATCGCTAATCAAGCTGAGTTTGAAGTAGTCTATTTGTCGAATTGTGGAATATATTGTCTAGATTAGTTAGTATGTGGGCTCAGCTCAATATATTTTCTTAATGTTGTCCGTTTCTTTTGTTCTCAATGAACTCGGGTTCTCGATTGAGCTAAGTTATCTGTCATTGGAGTGGATGTATATTGGTGCGTTGTGGGTGCAGTGTAGCTTATCTTGTAGCTAAGAATGTTTCCTCTATTCACCATGATGCTGATATTTACCTTTCCATTTTTCTTTAATCTGCAGTATGATGAGATCTTGGGCAGAGGGGCATTCAAGACTGTGTAAGTTACCCGTGCTTAGCACTCTGTTTATCTATTTGTTATTCGCATTCCCTGTTTTTCAATACAAGAGAGACACATGTACTGATTTCTTCGTCTCTTGTCACAGATATAAGGCATTTGATGAGGCTGACGGAATAGAAGTTGCTTGGAACCAAATGAGCATTGAAGATGCATTACAGACACCGGAACAGTTGGAGAGGCTATATTCGGAGGTTCATCTGTTGAAGTCACTGAAGCATGAAAACATCCTCAAGTCCTACCACTCTTGGGTTGATGACAAAAATAGAACTATCAACATGATTACGGAGTTGTTCACTTCTGGCAGCTTGAGGCAGTGAGTATGCTCGTCACATTTGTTTTTGTGTGTTTATGTCTGTGTTTAGCTTCCATGCATATTCTTACTGTTTCTGATCTTTTCCTCCCTTCTTCTGATTCAGGTATCGCAAGAAGCATAAGAATGTTGAATTGAAGGCTATAAAAAACTGGGCTAGACAGATCCTTAGAGGTTTACACTATTTGCACAGTCAAAGCCCTCCTATCATACATCGTGATTTGAAATGTGACAATGTGTTTGTCAATGGGAACAATGGGCAAGTTAAAATTGGAGATCTTGGATTAGCTACTATCATGCAACAGCCAACTGCTCGAAGTGTTATAGGTACTACATCTGTCCTCAGAGAACCATTACAATTGAACCATTACAATCTGGATTGGTTATGTGTAATCGTGATATTGAGTAATTGGTATAGGGATAATGGTGCTTTGGTGTGATTGCTTGATAGTGCTGCTATCAAATACTTGTATCTATTTCCCATCATGAGATTTTTTTTTTCTCATTGTTTTATACTGGCAACATTGTGCAATTTGTATTACTTGAAAATTAAAGTGCAAGGAACACCCATGTGCACGTCAGTTTGATAATTATACTTATTCCTCTCTTGTTGTGCAGGTACTCCTGAATTCATGGCTCCAGAGCTCTATGATGAAGAGTACACAGAACTTGTCGACATCTATTCTTTTGGCTTGTGCATGCTCGAGATGGTTACATGTGAATACCCATACTGCGAATGCAGAAATCCTGCGCAGATATACAAGAAAGTTTCTTCAGTAAGTGTTAATTAATTGCCTGGAGCATTATATTATTTCTACTGTGGTTGGCTGTTTCATTATTGTTGTAATAAAATTATTGTTTGTTGTTTTGTTGCTGCAGGGTGTAAAGCCAGCTTCCCTTGCTAAAGTTGATAACCCTCAAGTTAAGGAGTTCATAGAGAAGTGTTTAGTCCCAGCACCTGCAAGACTGCCTGCTATTGAACTGCTAAAAGACCCATTTTTAGCAGCATCAGTCAGTACAAAGGAAGCAGTTATACCTTCTGATTCTCTGGAATTGTCAAGTCTGATTCTCGGGCAAGGCAACTCACTTCAATCAGAATCATTTCCCATGGAAATAGATATTAATAGCAAGAAGTCGTCATCAAAAACTTCTTGCATCGAAAGCATGAACGAAGCCATGCAGCTCTCACCTCTAGAAGTTGAGAGGTGCACCGAGACAACTGGGTTCAGGTTAAGAGGGGAGAAGAATGACAAGAATACGATTTCAATGACTCTCCGCATTGCTGATTCATATGGTGAGTCATATATTGGTGCAAGTTTTTTTATTTATTTATTTATTATGGTTATATTGGTGCAAGTTTATTGCTTTTGCTTGAAACCACTACAGATCGTAATAATTATATACTAATTTGCATTGATGGGTTGTTTGAACAGGACGGGCTAGGAACATACACTTCTCCTATTTTCTGGATTCGGATACTACTCTCACAATAGCAGAGGAGATGGTTGAACAACTTGAATTGCCAAGTGAAGATGTTGCTGTGATTGCTGAGTTGATCGATAGCTTGATAATGAAGCTGCATGGTGCTGATATGGTGCAGCAGAATGGTTCTTTCGGTAGTAACAATACTCAGCTGCTGTTCGACAAAGATCAAGAAGAGGGCCGGGCGACAACAATCATTTCCGACATCTCTAGCTCTGAGTTTTATCTCACCACAGTGTCTTCCTCAGATGATTTCATTAGCAACAACCAGCAACAACCTGTGATGTTGTCTTCTTCTCCTGACTACTACGGCCTGGGACAGGATGCAAGTGAAGAGATCATCAGCTCAGACTGTATTGGTGTGAATAATAATAACAATATGAGCTGCTTGTCCAGCATCTGCTCTCTGTCTCTTGGAGAAGAAGACAAGCAGCAGCAAGAAGGTGACGAGCTGCAGCTGGAACTGGCTGCAATTGATATGCAGTACAGTATGCTCTTCCAAGAACTGTCGAGGATGAGGGAGGAAGCAATGGAGAATGCGAAAATGAAGTGGATGGCCAAGAAAAAAGTAGCTAGTGTTATGTGATTATGATTTGTATTAGTTGTAGATTGCTCCTTTAGTTCTTGTTTTGGTTTGATTCTTTTTGTCCACAAATCTTTGTTTGCATCCAGTGATTGAATTTTAGTTGTGGCTGGGGCAAGTCAAAGAAATTCTTTGTTTTTTTCCCTCCACCTTTTGTCTTTTGTGGTGGCATTTCATTGTTCGTTGAGTTTACCACTTGATCATTGAATTCTACTCTCAGATTTTTCTGTGTACATAACTGGATTAGTTGCTAAGTATGATCCCCATTATTCTTCAAAGAATTTTTTGTTATATGATGTAGTTGAATTATTCCGCAAAGTAGCAGGATTAAAGGGGAAACTGATTATCGTGTACGCCTGATTATGGTGACTTGAACCAGTCAATCAATTGATGAAAGTTGCCTACTTGAGAGATTATTCATGATTACTTCAAGCAATAATGCCAATTAATTCATTACTATTATCACATGTCAACGACTTTATTAGATGAAACTATACTTTACTGTATTCTAGTAGTGCCTTAAATAATCCGTTTCTTCTTCACATTTCGCATGTTCCAAAAGCAGAAATACCGAGGTTGGGAAGATTATTAAACAATGTAGTTGATCAGTAATTGACTCCAAAAACAGGAATTAAAAAAAAAGGTGGATGGAACAAATGATCAGACCGTTTCTGAGTCTACAACCAACCTTCCTATCTAACTCGAATGCATAGTTGTTGGATTTCACCAAACCTTCAAAGGATTCATGTTGAGTAAAGTAAAGAGATCGAGGGTTGAGTTCATATCCATATTTCGGACGCTGCTATTGAAATAGCTTTCTCCAATTAACCAGGGTATGAATATCACTATTGCTGGGAACTGGGAGCAGGTCACAGTTTAGATGATGAGCCAGGAAGATCTATCTAGTAGTCTGAGCAGAGCAGTACCAGCTGTAAAGACTCCCGTAGCAACCGTTCGGAGGGCAAGGAGCACCGATACAAAACAAATAGACTCCCATTTTTCGGAAATGATTTCATAAAACACGACTCCACTCTTTCGAGTCACTCGTTTCAACTCTTGATTTCACTCTGAAGGCCGTATGGACATAAGAGTCGAAAGAGTTCTACAAAGAACTTTGCAAAGCCTTCAAGGACCATTTCTGTTTCTAAGAGACTTGACCAGTTTAGCAATGCAGTAATGCTGGAAACACTTCGTACAAAAATCGATTCCAATCCATTCATTCATTTACCAGAATCGAAACAGGGCGGTTAACATTCAGGAGGTAACTGAGGCACACAACATAAACAGGGAGAAAATCTAACTGCACATTGCTTTTCATGGGAACAAGGAAGTAAGGAAGCCGATATTTGCAATTAGTGAGCTTCCTTCCTTCCTTTTTGTTCTTTCTTCACCTCCCACTCTTCTCTTCACATAGAAAGTAACAAACACATATATAACTAGCTGATATCAGCAGCACAAGGAAGGAAGCAAGGATATATATAATACAAATGATGATTTGCTGAGAGTGGGGGAGTGCTACCAATTCTCCTTCACGATTTTGGACTTCTCAAGAATGAACTTGCCTTCTTTGTACTTCTGCGTCTCTTCGTAAGCTCGTTCGTATTTCCAACCAAGCACTTCTCGGCAGTCGCTGCAGTGGACATCAGCAACCGTGTGGAGGCCAGTCATTAGCTGCCTATCTTCCTTCGCCCCGACCCCAACATTCATCGCGTGCGAGAATAGAAATGCTCGTCCATGTCTTCCCTAAGAAGTAGATAAACATCATTGGACACCAGATGTACATATCAGCTTAGCAATTCATCACTCAAGCACTTGTCCTGTCAAGGGGACCAAAACCAGGAGGATTGAAGAAATTCAACCTGAAAAGCCTTGGAAATGACATCATCGTGAAGGGCAACATGGTTCCTGCAATTACAGCAACTGTACAACCTTGGCCCAATCAATTCCGCCATTTCCTTTTATGTCTTACGTTGCAGCAAAACCACCCAATATAAGCTGGCTCTACGATGGGTTCCCTGAAAAAAGAACCCAAATTTATCTTCTTATTTCTTTCCCTGGGAACATACAAGGAAGTAGGAACGAAACGCAACAAAACCAACATCTTCTATCAATCCATGGAGCTGAAAATTCCACCGAAGGAAGGATCATTCACATAAGCTTACTTCAAGATCAGTTAATAAGGTCTAAGAATACTCTTCCTTCTCAGGCAACAAAGAGATTAACCTACTACTAGAAACACAGAAAACGAAAGCAACAACTCTCGAATGAGTCCCCACGTTCAACACCCAGAAATTAGAACCCTGATTTTAAACATGACAATCCCCCAAGCATAGGAATTCAGCAGAGAAGTGAGGAGATCAGGGAATCGGCAAGGCCAAGGGCAAAGCAAGCTGGAAACTAAAAAAGAAAAGAAAAGATGACAAATTTCTGCGGCAAACGAATTACTTACCAATTGGGTAGTAACAGTTCGAGATTGCGAGTCCAATTGAATCAGGAAGGAGGGTAAAAAAACCCTTGAAATGTTTGCGAATTAAGCTTCTCACTGATCAATCGCGTGGTCTCTTTCGACCAATAAACATAGGGAGGAAGGAAGCAAAGCGAGTGGAGATTGCGAATTGGAAAACAGTGACTGTTCTTCGAAAAAAATCAATTCTTGTGATTGGGATTGTGTAGCAGGTAGCTGGAGGATGAAGGAAGGAGTGCCGTTTGTGTCAGAATTTGGAGGATTACTGATCAGGAAGATGACAAGTTGCACTTGCTCTCTGACTCTGCCCTGCCCTGTTTCTGTTGTTGGGACTTGGAGTTGGGAGACAGCCTTTTCTCTCTCGAAAGTTTTCAACCCGCGAATTAACCCGGACCCGATCGAACTAGTGGGTCAAGGATTAACGGGTCACCTTTTTTAACTCGGAAATATGAAAAGAGTCATTATATAGTACTTATTCTGATAAATTATATCAAATCTCATCTAACATATGAGTAATAACATATAATATTACACCAAAGTAACATGTCGTACTTAGATCCAACATATAGTGAAAATTTACACACACTTATATAACTTCAATATTCAAATGTTCAACTAAGGATTCCAAATATTGAGTTAGGTGAAAAGAAAAATCGATAAATAAGCACATCTCGCAAACCAAATAAAATAATACAATTTAACCTCCAACCCTGTACGTTGTAGCGGTGGCTTGCGACTCATTTTTCTCACTGAATCAGGATGAAAGTGGGTTAACCCGCGGGCTGACAACTTTACTCCCGAATCACACTGCTTTGCCCCCTCGCATCACTGAAAAGCCACCCAAACCCGCCATTGTTGCTCCATTATTTCTTGGGCTGGGCTTATGGTTTATACTAGCTGGGCTGGTCTAGGCTGCCTTCGAAATGCTCTTTCGGCTTCTTGTGGATATGGGCCGCGCAACCATGGTGGGTGACAGCTTCTTGTGATTTTTCAGAGCCCAACAGGAGTAGTTAACTCATTTTAGTGGGCTCTCCTCTCCTCTCCCTCGGCCTGCTTATATAGCTTGCTTGGATGAGACTGGATTGTCTTTGTGTTTTTTTTTACGTTTCTCGACGTTATATGATACAAATTCAGGATGCACCTACATATTTTCATATAAATTTCTTATAATACAAACGGAATTTTGACATTTTTCGTACAAATTCAGCGTGAATGGTGGTATTTTATATGTTGAAATGGATAGAGGATTTTAATGAGTTATACTTGCTTGGGATAGGATCTCCAGAAGGAAGTTGCCTTCACTTCTTTCTCCACATTGTTTTCATGACGAATATTAAAACTGTTATAATAATTAATAATAATTATATAATGAATTGGTATTGGTATTGGGAGCAAGCAACAACTGCTATTTTTGTCTGCTTATACGATAAGAGTATTATTATCATGAACACAGGTAGAGAGACTAGAGACGCGGACGCCACGTGGGCTTTGTTCTATGATCTCTTTCTCCCTTGGCATTTTATATGTCTACGGCCGTCAGTTGGAGGTCCAAACATTCTATATTACACATTTCAACTCCAATTTGAAAAAGCAAAAAAAAAATGGCGAACCCTAAAATTTACATTGTAGAATATTGTTCAACCAATAATCCGCTGCCAAATGGCATTTGACTATCCGAGCAGGTCAAAATCCCACCCAGCTTCCAGTTGCAGGTACGACTCGATCATGCTCATCTTACTTTTCTTCCCCCTTGGTGATTCCGTTTCCGTTTCCGCTCCCGAGAACGACAACAACGGCGAGGAGGAGGACGACGACGACGAAAACGACGTCGTGCAAGGCTCTGCGGAGACGCGCTTCTTACTATTGGTCACCCTAACCGGCTCGTAATCGGCTGATGATCCGACCAGATGTGGGAAGTTGAGCTTGGCCTTGGAGCCGCGCATCCGGAAAGCGGCTCGGTCGTAAGCCAGCGCCGCATCCTGCGGAGTCTCGTAAGTTCCGAGCCAGATCCTGGAGCCGTTCTTCTTCGGATCCCTAATCTCAGCCGCGTACTTTCCCCACGGCCGTCTCCTCACTCCCTTGTAATGCGCCTTCTTCGGCAGTACGGCCGCTGGCAACGGCGCCGTATCTACCGTTTCCGACAAAATATCGGTCCAATCAGCGGCCGAGATTAGACTGCTTAGAAAGCTCTCTGTCCCGACAGGCGACGGCGCCGTATAGCTATCTGCAGCCGGCTCTGTCGTCGGCGGCTCGTCGTCGTCGAGGAGGTGCTTGCGGATGGATTCCAGTGCGGAGAAAGGACCGTCTTCGAAGAAGAGAGAGAAGGCGGCTTCATCAATCTGCAGAGTACACATTTTTCCTTTCTTTCTTTCTTTCTTTCTTTCTTTTTGGGCTGTAAATGGAAGCTAGCTCTTTTCTTTCAAACTGAGATCTGTGCCGATGGACTGACGAGTGAGGTTTATATAAGTGAGCTTTCAGATTCCATTTTCCCCGGTCGGTTGCTGGAAGGAAGCTTCCGTTGGCCTATTTCTCCACATTTTTCTTATTGCCAATATTTAAATTGAACTGACCATATACAAAATATTAAATTAAGCTCTCTCACTGAGTAAACAAGAACTGATTATGCTTTTTTAAAATATTTTTGACACATGCGAATATTTTATGTATAAACATATATATATTTTTTTAGAAATGTGGGTAGCCATGTGATGACTGATGAGTAATGAATAATGGCCATAACGTATTTATATAATAGAAAATAGCAAAGTATGCATTGGCCAAGTTTTCATCATGCAATTTCTCTTAAATACCATGGTAGAGTCTAATTCATGGAATTATGTCACACTTGTGAAAACTCAATCTGGCTGACTGGCTCATAAAATGATATTAGAGAGGGGAATGCCATATTGGTTTTGTTAGTAAATAATATATTATTCGTTATTTAACTTCTCAGAACAACTTGTGTTATTGGAATCAATTGCTTCTTGACATGATATTATAGCATTCTGTGACTGAGGGGTATTATGTTTGAATCCCGATGACCCCATATATGTTTTTTCAAGTACATGATATCTGAACCTGTTCAAATTTCAAATCCTTCTGAATTCATGAATTTCGTTTGAGGAGATGCCAGATATGCGATAGTAATTGGTTCCATTATTAATGAATTATTCCTTGTCCAAGAAAAAGGAATTCTCATATATATTAGAATTCCTATTTAATTTAGAGTAAGATTCCAAGTCAGTTTTCTAAACTAGGTAAGGATTCTTAATTATCATACCAGGAGTTGAATTTCTAATATTGGTAATATTGTATTGCAATTAAGGGTTTGGTCACCCTTATACAAAAAGTTGTATATTCTACTTGCTTAGGATCCTAGAAGCAAGATGCCTTGAATTCTTTCTCCACATTTTTTTCATGATTATTGGCATCATTATATTATTATTTGGGGGATATATATTATACAATACAGAATCAATACCCATGTGATAACACGTAACCATGCATTATTCTGATATTATGAATATTGGTATTGGGAGGAACAATATAATTGCTAATTTTGTCCATTATTGGATAAGATAATATTTACCGGGAACACAAGTACATACTAGAGATGCGGGCGCCATGTGGCTTCTGTTCCACAATTAGTGAACACCATAAATATTTTCAAGAAATAAATTATATTGGTAATTCAAGTCATGACAATTGTGTTGCAAGCATGAAGCATCCCATAAAATTTTTTTACTTCTCATATTAAAAAAAAAAAAAAAAAACTAGGTGGGGATGTGATTCCATTTATGCTTAGTTTTCTAAACATTTCATTTTTTCACAAATCTATTCCTCATAGGATAATTCATCTCATCCAAAAGTTTAGGAGCACTCAATCTATCGATCGGCACATGTATTTAACTAATTATTGGGCCAGATTTGATGTGAATATGTTATAGAGTTTACCATCAGAAAGAGTGATCAGCCAAGTTACCAGAGGCAAGATGAAATAATATTAAATGTATGAATCCAAGTTGGTGTGAAGAACATCACGGGTTAAGACTTAGCCACCCAATTTGCTTGTAGGTACTGAATTGTAGTGGTATGTAACAAATATCTATCAAAAGTTCTTGTGAGCTAGGGCATTCTTCATTGGATGATGTCACGCTCGACAGTCTCAAGTCCACAGTGGATCCTGAAGGTTTAACAAGGAGAAGGCGATCAGTAAGGATAAGAGAGTGTAAACCCGATGCTTCTGACAGTTGGCCAAACGTGCTTGACTAACAAGCACACTAATTTTTACCGCTCTTTAGATTCACTAAACAGGAAGGCGGATGCGCTGTAATCTCTGGGCCCTTGAATTTGTGTCCATTGTTTCCTTCTTCTTCTGTGAATGAAAAAGCGTGAGATCGTACACCTGCAACACAATACTGCCATGGGCCCATCCGTCATTAGTAATCTCAATCCGCTTTTCCTAATCCGACCAAAGTGGGCATCCTCCATCTGGATCTCTAGTCTTTCTCATGTTTTCACTTTCACTTTCAGCAAAGAGGTTTCAAGCAATCGAAGGAGCAATCCGTGGCAGCTCACCTCGCTTCTCACCCTAGTTACAAAGTCCTCTTTTTTAGGAATAATAAGAAAAATCTCAGGGCAAACTGTATCGAATAATTTTTTTTTTCTTGACACTCTCATGACAGTTAAACCACCAAGAACGTTAACCATCGTTGTTCAATTTTAAAGGAAAAAAAAATACAAAGCGCAACACCAAATTATGTGAATCAAATTGCACTCATTTTAGAAAGACTTCTAATTGCAACCATACAATTAATTTGTCCATCAAGTCTCATATTTGTATGAGTATGGTAGCAGTAGAGGTTTGATTTGAAAGAGAATCAAATGTTCATACTACCGATAAAAAAAAGCTTAATATCAATGTAAAATCACAATATATCTCTACTTCGCTGCAATCGAATGCTCCGCAATCTTTGATCAATTGAAGGTCAAGTATTATTTTTCTTACTCTTTTCAACTCCAATTCGAAAAACGGAGAAAGGGAGAAATTGGAAAACGATAGACAATCACATTACATTGTGCAATATTGATCAACCAATAGTCCGCTGCCAAATCCATCTTCCAGTTCCAAGTACGACTCAATCATACTCATCTCATTGCTCTTCGCCGTTGGCGATTCCGCTTCCGAAAACGACAGCCACGACGAGGAGGAGGACGACGACGACGAAAACGACTTCGCGCACGGCGGCTCCGGCGAGCTGCGCTTCTTGCTATTAGTCACCCTGACCGGCTCGTAATCAGCCGATCCCACTAAATGAGGGAAGTTGAGCTTGGCTTTCGAGCCGCGCATCTGGAAAGCGGCTCGATCGTAAGCCAGCGCCGCATCCTGTGGAGTCTCGTAAGTCCCGAGCCAGATCCTGGAGCCGTTCTTCTTCGGATCCCTAATCTCAGCCGCGTACTTTCCCCACGGCCGTCTCCTCACTCCCTTGTAATGCGCCTTCTTCGGCAATACGGCCGCCGAAAACGGCGCCGTATTTACGGGCTCCGCCGTCGATGTATCCGACAAAATGTCGCTCCAATATTCAGCGGTCGAGAGTAGGAAGCTCTCTGTCCCGGCAGGTGACGGCGGCGCCGGGTAGCTATCTGCAGCCGCCTCTGTCGGCGGCTCGTCGTCTAGGAGGTGCTTGCGGATGGATTCCAGCGCAGAAAAGGAACACATTTTTTCGGGTTTTGGTTTTGGGATGCTTTGCTCTTTTCTTCTTCGATCTCTTTCGAACTGATGAGTGACGGTTGATTTTGATGGGTACTGAGGTTTACATATATATACGTGACGGGAATCAGTTGAGTTGAGTGAGCTTTGAGCTTCCATTGTTGCTCGGAGGAAGCTTCGTTACACTATGGCTTGTTTCTCCACATTTTTCTCATTCTCAATATAAAATTTGAACTCTCTCTTTGAGCAGATGAGTATTTTTTTTTTTATGGTTTAAGTAATTTGTTTGACCATGCGAATATTTATCATTTGATTGTATAAATACACAATTTTTTTTAGGGGGGAGATATAGATTCTCTTTAGAAATGGCCATAACTTAATTATTGGTGTGCTTATGTTGACTTTCATTTGGAAAAACTATTTGTTTTTGGCAGACCGTCGATTGGATGACACACCACTTATCTTGATTCATGAGACTACAACGAACAAAAAAAAAAAGAGTTAGTTGCTTAGATTCTACAGGTCAACCGAAATCAATGTAAATGGCAACCTCAATAGGACTGCTTGGTTTTGTACTGTATGTCATATCGAGGTCGACCGGAGAACCCGTCGGGTCGAACATTTCGTCAAATAGGCTGACGTCTTGGTTTGTAGGTTGACCAGATTGAATATGATGACATGCACACTAATAGGGTTTTGATATACTAGTCAACCGTCTTCTCATGTAGGTTCAACGTTATTTTCCTTTGTAACTGTGGTGCGTCCCAATACAGCACATAAACTTTACTAGTAGTGAAATCATGTTTCGTGACTGATAATGTAATGGTCAACTGATAGACCCTTCCTTGATCAACCGTTATTATAAAAAGTATCTTTGTGACAAGGTAAGTGTATCATCCGGATTGGTCATTTGTCGGAAGCCTTAGATGGCTTTCTCCAAATGAGAATAACTCATAAATCATCGAAGCAAAGTTTCGATTAGTATTGTCATCATAATTCTTTACAAATATAATTTTTTTTATAGATACATGGTTGTTTCGCTTTGTAAAATATCAGATATCAATAGCCATACCCATGTGATAACAAGAAAGGAAGCATTATTAATTTATTTTTATATTATGAGTAGGTATCTGGTGTATTAACTCGAAAATTTGTCCATATTCGTATGATAATATTTGTGACTGTCAACACAGGTACAATCAAGAGATGCGGACGCCATGTCCATATGGCCTGTGGGTTCTGTTAGGGGTGGCAGTTCGGTTACCGATTACCGGTTAACCGGTTTGTTAAACCGATAACCGTTCGGTTATCCACTAACCGGTAATCGAAGTAACCGGATTTCGGTCGGTTGTCGGAGTCTAGCCGAAATGGTTTTTGGTCTTAAAAGTGGGTCGGTTAATCGATAACCGAGATAATCGAGAAACTGAAGCCTATTTCGAGCGGTTTTCGATAGGAAGAGTGGTTATTTCGGTTAACTGATAACTGGCCGATCGGTTATCGGTTATAACCGAAATGCCACCCCTACGACTGATCAGTTTCTCCCTTACCATTTAGCGGCAATGGTTACGGGACAATAGAATCTTACAATTATGGTAAGATATTTATCTATTTAAGCAATGATTCATAACATAATTAATATGGACGTCTTAGTTCTTAATCGATCCATTCCATAGCTCATCACAGTATAATAGATGTCTTTAAACAATATATTACATTGGTTAATTCAAAGACATAACAACGGTATGGTCTTACTTCTTAATTGATCAGCCGTTCCATTCCATGGGGCGGGTAATGATAATTTATGCTTAGTTTTCAAAACAATGATCACAAATCTCCACACAATATAGTTCACCCAGCCAAAGGTTTAGCAGCAGTTGATTCTCATATGTTTTTTATTGGGTAGGATTTGAAGTGACTGTGTTTACCAAAGTTTGCAATTAATTCGAATTTGAAATTTACAAAAAGTTGAATGAACTGAACTACATATATATACACCTCTAAGAATTCCAACTCGACTATTTGCTACCTAACCTGCAAGGTGCTCTGCTTCTCTCTCTTGCTCCGTCATTGCCACGTTCATTGCGTTTGATTTTCCAGACTATTTGATACGAAATAACTGTTGTAAAACCATACCGTAAATAAATGGAACTTCAAGATGTTAAAATCACAATCTCTCTACTTCTCATTACCTGTAATCAAAATATGTACTGTCAACTGGAGGTGAAAGTATTCTATTATATTCTTTCCTTGCTCAAATTTGAAAAATGACCCAAATCTAAATTTTACAATGTGCAATGTTGATCAACCAATAGTCCGTTGCCAAATGGCATTTGACTATCGGCGAAGGTCAAATCCCATTCATCCTCCAGAGTGAGGTATGACTCGATCATACTCAACTTATTTCGCTTCGCCATTGGAGATTCCATTTCCGAAAAAGACAACAACGACGAGGAGGCCGACGAAAACGACGGCGTGCAGGGCTCCGGCGAGCAGCGCTTCTTACTGTTGGTGACTCTAACTGGCTCGTAATCAGCCGATCCCACTAAATGAGGGAAGTTGAGCTTGGCTTTCGAGCCGCGCATCTGGAAAGCGGCTCGGTCGTAAGCCAGCGCCGCATCCTGCGGAGTCTCGTAAGTCCCGAGCCAGATCCTGGAGCCGTTCTTCTTCGGATCCCTAATCTCAGCCGCGTACTTTCCCCACGGCCGTCTCCTCACTCCCTTGTAATACGCCTTCTTCGGCAGTACGGCCGCCGGAAACGGCGCCGTATTTGCTGATTCCGACAAAATGTCTGTCCAATCAGCGGCGGAGATTAGGCTGCTTAGGAAGCTCTCTGTCCGGGCCGGTGACGGCGCCGTATAGCTATGTGCGGCCAGCTCTGTCGGCGGCGGCTCGTCGTCGTCGAGGAGGTGCTTGCGGATGGATTCCAGCGCGGAGAAAGGACCGTCTTCGAAGAAGAGAGGGAAGGGGGATTCATCAATCTGCAGAGTACACATTTTTCCTTTCTTTCTTTTGGGGTTTGGCTGCGAATGGAAGCTTTGCTCTTTTCTTCGATCTTCTTTGAAACTGATCTGTGTTGATTGATTGATTGATTGTTTGATTGATGAGTGAGGTTTTTATAAGGAACGTGGATCAGTTAAGTAGTGAGCTTTCAGATTCCATTGTCCCCGGTTGCTGGGAGGGAGGAAGCTTCACCACCTTCTTTCTCCACATTTTTCTCATTACCAATATTATATATTGAACTGTCTCATTCAGTAGACCAGTATATTTTTTTTTTGATTTTTTTATCTATTTTTTAATCATGTGAGTATTTATGATTAGATTGCATAAATACTATTTTTAGAAAAGGGCATGGGGATGACTTATGAGTAATGAATATATAATAACATAATTTATAATTAAAAAAAATGTAGTATGCCTATGGTGACTTTTTAGTCATTGTAACTCTGGAGAAAATAATTGTTTTCGACAAAACGGTCAGTCAAATGATACATTCAGCTGCTTGTTGCATGAGATTATTACAGAGGACGGAAAACAAGGGTCAATCGCTTGCTGCAATAGGTTGACTGATTTCGAAACGGAAATACATACCTTAATAGGATTGCTCGACTTTGTATTATATGACATATCGAGGTCGTCGACCGGAGTACCTATTGGTCGATCATTCTGTTAAAAAGGCCGACATCTTGGTTTGCAGGTAGACCGAATTGGAGATTGCATGCACAGTTGCACACACTAATAGGTAGGGTATTGCTATAACGGTCGACTCCCTTCTCGTACAGGTCTATATATAATTATTTTCCTTTGTAATTGTGGAGCCCCAATACAATACCAAAACTTTTCTAATAGTGAAATCTTGTTTCGTGTGATCAATGGTCAGATCTTCGCTCTTGGGACTGGTTCTGTCTCGATTTTTATTTGGTCTCTGTTCTCGGGGCTCTCACAAGTTGATAGCTAGGCTGCCTGTGTTGTGTTTTCTTTTTTTTGCTTTGGCCTTTTGCTTATATTCAATTTGCATTGTAAAAAAAAAAATTCTATGTTACATGACTAATAAGGTAATGATCACCAACCAATAGGTTGTTTTATTGGAGCAGTCTGCCATTATTTTTCTTTACAATGACGAGTCCTGCTGTTGCAAAATAAAGTGTATCATTTGGTCAATCATTTATGAGAAGTGTTAGATCGTTTTCTACAAATAACGGTGACTTATATGATATTGTAGCAAAATTTTGAATATTATTATTATCGTTATTTTTGTACGTATAATGTTTATATAAACGGAGTAGACACGTGGTTGTTTTGCTAAATAAAAATATCAAAATATCGAAAGCAAGCATTATTATTATATTATTATATTATGAATTGGTATTTGGAGTATTAACTGCAAATTTTGTCCATTATTCGTTCGTCAAATAATACTTATTAATTGTGAACACAGGTAGAACCTAGAGATGCGGACGCAATGGCCACGTGGGTTCTGTTGTCTGATCTGTTTCTCCCTTACCATTATTTAGCGGCAATGGCCAGGAATGCGTTAGAGTGGTTACTAAATTTTGAGTAACCACAGTGGCTACTAACATCTACACCCTTAATTATATCTATTTCATCCTATTTTTAAGTTGACAATGAAGATTATATGAAGGATAATTTTGGAAACGAAAATAATACCACACCTGATTACTATTCTTTACAAAATTATTTTTATATATTGTACCGCAAACCCTAATGCAACCGCCTCCTCCCTCTCCTCCCTTCTGCCTGCCGGCGGCCCTTCTTCTCCGGACAAGAAACTGTAGCTGCCTCCTCCCTCTTCTCTCTCCCACCCGGCGACAGCTCTTCTTCTCCCCAGCCTCCCGCCTTCTCCCCTCCCCCTGCCGTCCCCACACCACCCCTCCTACCCCTCCCCCCGCCGTCCCTCCCTATCTCCCCCAACCACCCCACCTCTTCCACCGACCCTCCCTCCTTCCTCCTCCTCCTCCTCTCTCTCTCTCTCTCTCTCTCTCTCTCTCTCTCTCTCTCTCTCTCTCTCTCTCCTCGGCAACAGTAAGGAGTCGATGGACAAGCGATCTGGACCGCGGAGGTCGTCAAAACAATCGGCGATGCTGGCCATCCTTTTATCTCCGATCCTCTGGCCTCAATGGTATTGTTTTTGTTGAATTGGCATTGATTTTGTTGCATTGGTATTATTTTTGTCGCATTGGTATTGATTATCATGTAATGACAATAATTTGTATGTACTGGTATTGATTAATCTGCAATGATATTGATTTTTTGTGAAATGGTATAGATTTATATTGGTAGTTTTCGTGTAATGGTATATATTTACTTCTGCAATGGTATTGATGTTTTTCAAAGTGGTAGTGGTTGTCTAATGGATTGGTAGTGATCTGGCTGGAGATTACGAAAGTGAGAGAAGGAGAGACTTGTGATTCATAGATTTTTGTAACTACCTAAAATAAAATTTATTTAAAAAATTTATTAATACAATTTATTTTTCATACCCAATTTACCTTAGTAACCATGGTGAACAAATAGAGTCTTACAATTATGGTAAGATATTTATCTATTTATGCAATGGTTTTTCTAGGGATATTTATGCAATGGTTTATAACACAATAACAGACGTCTTACTTCTTACAGTCTATTTCATGGTTCATCACAATAAATGTCTTTAAATACTATATTATGTTGGTAATTCAAGACATGACAACTGTATGTGTTGTAAGCATCCCATAAATCAAACTTCATCATCTCAAAAATTAGGTGTGGTTATGTTGGTTTATGCTTAGTTCCCATAAATCAAACAATTCTCACAAATCGATCATCTCCACATGAACTAATTCATCCCATATCCAAAGATTTAGCAGCAGTTGATTGTCATATGTTTTCATTGGGCCGGATTCGAGGTTATAGGGTTTACCAAAGTCTGTAATCAGCTCGAATTTGAGATTTTCAATATTGCAATGAACCGAACTATATATACAACTCCAAGGAATCCAACTCCAGCTATGTGCACCAAAACCTCAAGATGCTCTAAATCTTCTCCCTACTCCACCATTTCCAAGACCATTGTGGTCAAGCGATAGTGTTGTTTCTCCAGACATCTCAAAATATCCGATCTAAAATAGCTTCTTTAACACCATACATCATAAAAATTTATAGGATTGTATTGCAGATGAACCCTCAACTATCTTTCTGAGTTTCATACTTTATTCCTGATCCACCTAGCATCAATTACTTAACAAAAAAAAAAAAATAGAACAAAGTGCAAGCCGTGATTGTAAGAAGCACAATACTAACTTTGTTCTTTGAACTTGTAAATCTCCATATAAAATGTTGACAACTAACCCATAAAAAAACCAAACTTCACTGCTGAAATAACTGTCTTTCTACTTCTCATAATTATAAGATGTAATCAAAATATGTGCCACCTCTTCATCCATGATAGTTTATTAGCACTGTCAACTGGAGGTCAAGTATTTTATTCTTTCTTTTCTACCTCAAATTTGAAAAAATGACCCAAAGCTAAAAAATTTACAATGCGCAATACCGATCAACCAATAATCCCTTGCCAAATGGCATCTGACTGTCGGAGAAGGTCAAATCCCATTCACCCTCCATTTCCAGGTATGACTCGATCATGCTCATATAATTACTTCGCTTCGCCTTTGGAGATTCCGCTTCCGAGAACGACAACAACGACGAGGACGAGGAAGAAAACGACGGTGGCGTGCACGGCGGCTCCGGCGAGCCGCGCTTCTTACTATTGGTCACCCTAACCGGCTCGTAATCAGCCGATCCCACCAGATGAGGGAAGTTGAGCTTGGCTTTGGAGCCGCGCATCTGGAAAGCGGCTCGATCGTAAGCCAGCGCCGCGTCCTGCGGAGTCTCGTAAGTCCCGAGCCAGATCCTGGAGCCGTTCTTATTCGGATCCCTAATCTCAGCCGCGTACTTCCCCACGGCCGTCTCCTCACCCCCTTGTAATGCGCCTTCTTCGGCAATACGGCCGCCGGAAACGGCGCCGTATCTACCGTTTCCGACAAAATATCGGTCCAATCAGCGGCCGAGATTAGGCTGCTTAGAAAGCTCTCTGTCCCGGCAGGCGACGGCGCCGTATAGCTATCTGCAGCCACCTCCGTCGGCGGCTCGTCGTCGTCGTCGTCGAGGAGGTGCTTGCGGATGGATTCCAGCGCGGAGAAGGGACCGTCGAAGAGGAGATGATCAGCTGAGAGGGATTCATCAATCTGCAGAGTACACATTTTTTTGTTTTTTTTTTTTTGGGTTTGGCTGCAAAATGGGAGCTTTGCTATTTTCTTCGAACTTTTTTCCAACTGATCTCTGTGGATTGATGGAATGATGGGTGAGGTTTATATATATACGTGACGGCAATCAGTTAAGTGAGGTTTGAGCTTTCCATTTTCCCCCGGTTGCTCGGAGGAAGCTTCGTTGTTTCTCCACATTTTTCCTCATCATCAAAAGGGTATTGTTTATTTATAAATATATTTTTTGTTGGTAAAATATTTATAAATATATTTGTTAATCGTAGCCATGTGATGGCTGATAGAGTATTAATGAATAATGACATAACGTATTTAAACAAAAAAAATAATGGCGTGCTGTTTACCCACCATTTATTTTTTATTTTTTATGAATCACTATGTATTTTGTCTGTTATGGTTAATTACTAAGAAATATAAATTGGAACATGTGGAGATGGGAAAGAATCATTCTCTGCGCTTCATACACTATGTTTTTAAGGATTCCTGGTCAAGTTTTCGCCATATGTTTTTTTTCCTTTCAGCACCATGATTGAGTGAGCCTAATACATGCCCAATCTAGTTCAATTTCATGCTAAGATATGATATTAGAGTCATGTTGATTAATTTGAGCGTGACAGCCTAACTATTCCATAAATTAACGAATCCAAAATACCGAATAAACCACTAATATAGTGAGACGAAATATCGATTTTATACTTGATTGAAGAGTCGAGAAGCATTATATCAAAATATGCTACTAATACAGAGTATACGATGTATGAAAAATGTGTGAGACCATTATAAGAAATTTTTATGATATTTCATACTAAAATCATACACCCCCAACTATTGTGCGTATATACGGAGCCCAACTCTCCAAAATTATGTGTTCAAATTATTTTGAGTTAATTTTAAAACATTTATCGACAAATATAAAATAATAACCACTTGAACAAAAAAAAAATTGATTAAGGTGAAAATTGTATTAAAAAGGAACTAAGAAATGTACAAAGGGAAATACAGGGGAAGGGAAGAGCGGGGAAACAAAATCAATACTATATATTTGTTTGAACAAAAAATCAACGAACTCTATATATATCTTAATATTTGTCATGTAATGTTTGATCCAAATGTAACGAGACAGTGAAGTATGAACATATAAGCACTGTGCGCAAAAAAAAAAGAGGAAATTTTTAGTCAACCAATGAACATAATATGCGCTGGGAATGATCAAAAAGAATTTTCTAGTTTGATTAAAACAAAGGAGACCGTCTAGGGTTGCCTTTCCTCCGGCGCGATGGGTTTCTAAAACTTCCCGACGATGACGCCGCCGTCAACTCTCTCGCCGCCCTTTCTTCTTCAGTCTCTTCTACTCCACCGTCCGCCTCCGACGCTGTTCTCGTTAGCACTGACGCCGCCCTTTCTTCTTCAGTCTCATCTTCCCCGTCGTCCGCCTCCAACGCCGTTTTCGTTATTACTGATTCTTCCTCCATTTCATTGTACCCACCGCTTGTTTCCTTATTCGGCATATGGAGGAGAATCCCATCCTCTGACAATGACGACGGCGCCGCCGTTTTCCTTTTCGGTGTACAAGATGCACCTGATGTTACCTGGACAATCAATAATCGATAAACCCCACTTAGATATGGTCAATATGATTATTATTCCTCTGTTTTTTGGCTAAAAGAAAGTCACCATAAACAAGGTTGGGTTCAAGGTTAACACAAGTGCTTTTGAACAGGGCCACAGGCAGAAAGATAATCAACGTTTAGAGAATTCGAATTGGGTATAATTTCATGAATTCTCTTGAACTACAAGAAGAAAAAAAAATGTATGGAATCAACGTTTGATCCCATCCATATCATGCCTATCTTTTTCTGCAACAAACTCTTCCCCAAGATAAAATTCGAAAAACAGAGGATCCTCTGCCCACATATTCTAAAAAAGCTCACATTTTCAAAAATAACGTGGGTCAAACCATTAATCTAAGCACCGTGTAAGTATCTAAACATCATCGTAGCTATTCAATCAATCTCCAATGTATCAAAGTAATGCATTTTAAGAAAGGTGGGAGGGAAAAGAGGGGAATTTTTACCTTGCAGGCAATGGAGCAGTAACGATTATGCTTGTCGTTCATGGATTTCCCGCAAACCTCACAAGGTCGCCCAGATTTGGTTTTGGTTAATGGGTTTGCATCTCCATGGACTGGATTCTTGGTTGATGGCTTTGGATTCAAATGCACCGATTGCTCCCCGTTTATCTTGTACGTCTGATTGATAGCAGAAATTCCATTACACATTGGTCATCTCCTCGGAATCAATGGCGGAAAGGCATACTTCCGAATAAAAAACAAGAACAACAGGGAAGAAGAGAATTTGGACTCGTTTCAACCAAACAAAGAAAAAGGCAAGAATTTGACTGTACAGTCGAGTGGGGACTGATCGAAACCAGCCAAACCCACGAATCCGTCATGGATTGATTCTGGGTGATCGGGGAAATCAGCCAAGGTAGCAAAGTAATACCTGGATTCGTGAACAGTCGAAGTACTTCTTGGTTTCGGAGACATAAACGACGTTTTGATGGCTGTTCTTGTAAATCGTGAGATGGCGGTTGGAGCAGGAATGGGATTCGAAGCAATACTTGCAGAATACGCCGTGGCAATCCAAACAGAAAATTTTCCTCTCGTTCTTCCTCAGCTTCTCATGGATAGCGCAGACGTCGAATAACTCAGTCGTCAGTAGGGCTTCCACCCACTGCTTCTCTTTCTCGTCTCTGTTCCTTTTGCGTCCCGCCTAATTCCCCCAACCCAAGAACGAAAGAAACAAGAACCCATCGTCAAATTGGTTGTTGGAACTAAACTCAGTATGCTGAATATCGAGAAAAAAAACAGAGCTTTCTTCCCCCCCCCCCCCCCCCCCCCCCCCCCCCCCCCCCCCCCCAAAATTTCGTAACAGAGAAGAATTTCGCAATTCGTGAAGTTTCGGGGGTACCATTTCTTCCCGCGAAGCAAGCAAGAGTAAGGAGGAGTGGGATCTTGGTGGGTTTCAATGGAGGAATTTGGGGGTTTAGGCAGAAAGCGAGAATATACTTTAGTCGTGAGCAAGGGAGCGGTCAATTCTTGAAACAGAGAGCTTTTGAAGGGAATGTGAAAGATCAGTAAAGGAAATAGATAAAAAGAAGAGGAGGAAATCTTGGTAATCTTTCGTAAATGGTAGAAGGAAATGAATTGAGGAAAAATTTATATAGAGGAAAGGAAAATCTCTGTTGCAGTGTGCTGCGGAAAATTGACAGAGAGAGGGGAAATGGAGTTCCAGACGGCGGGAACTGGGATATGAATATTCCACATATTTCCCTCTTTTTTTTTCCCCCGTTGAAAAGGGAATGTTAAATAGTGAATTAGAGGGATAATTGAACTTATTAATCATTTCTCACCCTAAGCTCAATGTTAGCTTACTAGCTATCTTCCTTCACAGAACCTGATTAGCTATTTCCCCTTTCTTCTCCAAATCAAACGAGAACCTTTCTCTGCCTTAGCCGTCTTCCCGCCCGCCTAAGATTTCCTCCCCGCCGTCGCCTCGCCGTTCTCTCCCTAGTTCGCCTTCGTCGCCGTTCTCCTGTTCGCAGCTGTTGTTTCTGACCTCCTATCCGCCGTCGATCTCCGCCGTCGCCGTCTCGTGTCGTCCTCCTCATCTCTGCAACGGAGGTGTGTTAATTTGTAATGAAGTAATCGATCTGGTTTTAATGGTACTACATTGCTGATACACATGATTGTTGTCAGAAACCAGGTTGACTACTTGTGACTCACTGACTTGTGAGCTTGTTGGTGGATTTTAGAATTAGCTTTGGGTGTGTAATTCCATTGAATCAAAAGCACAGCAAGGACCCATGGTTTGCATACAGTATTGGGTTTTGCTGAAAAGTGTAACTTGCTGAAACTATGATGTGTTATTAACTTATTATTTTGCAGTTTCTGGTAAAGGAGTGAATTGGGTTTGCAAGTTTTTGGTTCCAACAAAATTGGAGTTTGATTTGTCTACTTATCATCAGTTACTGCAGGAGTTAGGGATACATAGAAGCCATCTCCAAAATAGGGGAAAGAACACAACTTTTAAAGGCATTGCCATTTTTCAAATGAAGGAGTTACATTAGCTAGCCAATTCCACATTGCAATTGCTTTGCTTTTGTTTGGCGAGTTGTATTGAACATTTGATTTCCCTTTGCAGACTGTCCTTTTCTGATAAGCAACCATCCATTGGCCTTCTGCATTCCCACTGTCTCTCTCAACGCTTTTTTGCTGTGTGAGTGAGTGTCTAGCAATGCCTGCAAATATGGTCTCGCGAGCCTCTCATCCAAACCCTCCCTGTCCTTCAACACACAGAACAGTCATAATCTCCCTCAGTCCTCTGTGTCATCAAGTGAGGTCCTTTTCTTCTATTGCTGCATTCAATTTTCTCGGCATTTGCTGTTTATGGCATTTCTTGATGTTGCTTTAGCAGATGTCGGGTTTGTTGGCACCAGGAGAAATGGGTTAGCTATCAGATGTTCGGTGGTGGCGTTCCCTGAAGCTGCTTCAAGGTTTGTCGATTCCAGTAGGAAGGGGACTAAAAGCCCTGTCGTTGTCATTGACAATTATGACAGTTTCACTTATAATCTTTGCCAGGTTTGCTTCTTTTTCTAGCCACATTGCTGAATTAAGATAATGGCAGTTGCTGGATTTGAGTTGGTTGAGTTTTATCTACTGATCTGTTTCTGGGCTGTGGATTGATTTCTTCTTAAATCATTTAGATTAAAAGAAGGCCTTGAGTTTTATCCACTGCTTGGATGTCAGGAAAGATTTTGGAAACTCGCAAGGGTTTTCGAAATTTTCTAGCCACATTGCAGAGTTAAGATAATGGCAGTTGAGTTTTATCTACTGATCTGTTTGTGGGCCGTGGATTGACTTCTTCTTAAAACATTTAGATTGAAATAAGGCCTTGAGTCTTATCCACTGCTTGGATGTCAGGAACAGGAAAGATTTTGGAAACTTGTAAGGGTTTTCGAAAATTTTGTCTACTTGATCAGTATAGTACTCATCTTTGGATATATTGAAGGAAAGTTCTGTTTTTTCGTAAGGTTTGGCTTCATTTCGTTCCAGTACCAGCAATTGGTTAATGTGCTTTGGTGTAGACGTCTCTTTTTGAAGAAATGCACCTCTTTACATTTTTTTCTTTGTGGATTTTCTGCAGCCCTTTCAAAGCTGGTAGATATCACAGCCTAGTTATTGACTGAGATATGTTCCCGATTGATGAACTTGAGATCGCAGCTTGGACCGAGGATGGGTTAATCATGGCTGCACGTCAACGAAAGCACAAGTATCTGCAGGTGAGATTTATGTGCTTTGATGTCACTATGATGCATCATTGCCCTTCACCCTGAAGTCTTATGGTTCTGTTGATGCTTGAAAATCTTTCTACTTCTGATTGCTTGAACACGGTTTAGTTTAACTCTACAGGTAACAGTTTCACTTGAAAACATCTTTCTTTCCCCGCGACCTCGAACCCGAGTTTTTTTTTTTTTTTCGTGGGTGGAAACGTTGCAGGGGGTGCAGTTTCATCCAGAGAGCATCATAACCTCAGAAGGCAAGATCATCGTTCAGAATTTCCTCAAGATGATAGAGGAGAAGGAAGCTGAGTCAACAAACTAGGCGATGCATTGCTACTATCCATATGCTGAAGCACAGAACTGCACTGGAAGCACCAGATTAGGTCGTTTGCAGAAGCTTTTGCTGTCCTAGTTTATAGTGGGCACCTATTTTTAGTATGGTTTTTTGTTTAAGATGAACGTGAAAAAAGGATGAAAATGAAAGCTGAATGTCAGAACATTATTATTGTCACAAGATGGGCTTTTTCGTGCCCTTTCCTTTATGTTTTCTGGGGCATGGCACAAGTCTTGTGCCCATTTCCCATTGCAGATTATAAACGTCACTGCATCATGATGCCTTACCACCTTCATGTGAGCCCAATAACTTGTTCGCCTCCATTGATAAAAGTCCAATTCATGGGGATCGATTAAACCATACAGAGCTGCTGGAAATTGGAATAGATAACCTGGAAAACTACCCCACTTGATCGACATGTTCTTCTCTGGAAAATTAAACAGCCGAAGGAGATGAATGACAGAGAGAGCTGCAGAAGGGTGTCTGCCCAAAGATGAGGAATAGCTGGCAAACCTGAATACACAGTTGTGATTTGTGAAATGAATTTAATAAATGCAACTGGGAAGGAGCATGTCACGCCATCAGGGGGATGCTGCTGTGTGTAGTCTTCTTTTTGTTTTGGCTTCCCATCTTTTTCATTCCAAAGTCTGCAACTTTTCCTAGATAAAGGCTACTGGGTTTGTTCCCACTGCCCGCTTTTCTTCGAAAGCACCAAATATCACTTTCACTTTTACCCTCACAGAATCCTCTGTTTTGTCTCCAGAACCCAAAAAAATATGTATATTGACCAGTAAAATTGCACAATAGGAAAATAAAAAAATTAATGATATAACAACAATCAATCAATGCTCGCTCAACTGCATCATCTGGGCAGTTTAACTAATTCACAGGATTCCCCTGACCATAACTCCAGAGACCAATAATCCAATAATGACTGAGAATCTGGCTCCCACTACAGAAGAAGAGGAAGTAGAAGGGGCGACTGGGATCGAGCCGAATGCGATTGGGGAAGAGGGAGCAGTGTCAGCCAAGGCACCGCCGGGCCCATAATTAGGAGCATAAGCAGAGGCCGATGAACCATTGCCAACTTTGATATAAAGCTTCTGCTTCTTCTCACAGTGCCCTGGCTCCCCGCTGGTGAAGTACAAGTCTGCATCCTCGGTGATGTTGAACAACGAGTTGCCGTTGTTCATGTACAAGATCGGATCTTTCAGGTTGCAGGAGTCGAAGTTTTGTGGTGTGACTTGGATTACTGAGTCTTGGCTTGGTGGGTACAGGAACACTGCCAACAAAATGAATGGAATATAAGACAAGCTTGAAACAGGACTCTGGAGAGGGAATTACAGAAGGAGAAGGTAACTTACAGAGGGAATCTCCAATCCTAACGGAATGATACTTGGACCAGTAAGAGTAGACTTTGGGGTTTGCTGCAGAGGGAATGCCCCAAGAGGATAAATCTCCGACCTTGAATGTGTAACCTGAGACTTGGGATTGAAGCAAGGCAAGAAGCTGGCAGAGACAGAGAGCCATGAACAGGGGACTTCTAAGATTGGCCATCTTGATCTTGCCTGTCTGCAGAAGCTTGGAGGGGTTTCTCAAATTTAATTAGAAGTTGGGGGGAAACAGTGGTATAGCACTGTAGAGGGTGGGGTTGAAGTTATTATAATATGTTTGATTGGTTGTACATAATTGTATCAGTTGACAGATTGGAGCAGCAGAAAAGAACAAATAATGCAGCTGATAATAATGGGCACATGGGGCTTCTGTGTGTGTAATGAAGAAGATGCTTGCAAGGTTGCTACGAGGTTGAAGGGACTAGGAGGTGGTGGTGGGATGTTTCTTCTGCACATTGGCAAGAGTTGGGGGTTGATTCCCATTTCTGGCCACCACATGTGCAGTTGCAGAAACTAGAAAGAAAGGTAATGGATCTGTAATTAACTTGTTCCTTGAAATTTGAAAACCTCTGCAAATATGAAATGTAGACTTTCAGGAAACCAGAATGTTGTTTATATGAGAGTAAGAACCAGAATATTGCAGGAGACTAAGTGAGAATCTCTTTGCTGGTAAGTCTACCAATGAGCTTCTACCCTAACACAATGTCATTTGAGAATCGAAACTCCGAAGTGTCGAGTTCGAATAGAAGAGGAGAAGGAAAGAAGATCGGAAGTTTGCAACTAAATAGTGTATTAATGTATGACACCAAATATGCTATGGGACATCAACTCTTATGTGGAAGTAGTACATACAGCAACGAATAATATGATATCCTTCCAAGACATTTTAAGTGTATGTTTTAACCCAAAACAAAATTAAGGCCAATAATCAAAGCTCTAATGAAAAGTTGTCCAAAAAGCCTCTTAACATTGGCTGTTAAACCAAAGGTTCGTTCTCCCAACTATACTCTCAAGCAGCAGAAAGATAAAAGATTGTGGAAAGCAGTACTACTATCCCACCCTAGTTTTACAGAGGCTGTTGCTGCAGAAAAAAAAAAAAAAACAAGCATCTAAGTTGGTTTTTACTCTAAGAACCCTTCTATACTTCTATTACCCACTTTCTTCACTTGACCGTCATCATGTCTTCTAACGTCCTTTCAAAATTCTTCTGTCAGTATGTAGTGGGACTGAATCCATCCTTTTCTTATTGATCTAGTTTGCAAACCGGCGAAGCAAGCGAGGAAGCGGCAAACGATATTTGAGGGTGGTGTTAACGAGTACTCTTGCTTACAATTTCCAAAAGAATATCAAAACGCTTCCACGAATCCAATCAAGCGTTTAATGGCTCTTCCTCATTACCCAACTCCCTCATTGCTGTCCAATCTTGTGATTCTGCAATCAAACAGACCAAATTGAGCAATATCAACAAGATGTGTACAAATGAAAAGCTATCCCTGAAGACGGATTAAAGGGCATTAATGTAGGATTTTAATTCGAAATGGGAGTTTGAAATTGCACTCATCAGATGCAATATGACAGTTCAAGTGCATCTGTCTAGGAGATCAGATGTGAACATTTATAAGTCGGTAAATATGCTAGATTTTACCGCCCCCGGGACGAATGGAAAGTAAACTAAGATATAAGCTTACTTGATTTTTGAAGCTCGGCAATGAACATCAGCCTACGTTGTAGAAGAGAAGCCACAAAGAGGAAGATAGAGCACATGCCAAACATGACAATGATTGGGAATGCATCAACCTGCACACATTTGAAGACACAAAAAAGTTCAAAAGAGGGAGCAGCAACTATATATATATATCTAGTGAAGGACATATGGATAAACCATTAGTGTGTACAATTATTGCAACTAGGACGGATAATCAATTTTGAGAACATAACGGGGGAAGGTTGTAAAAGAAACTCACATTGTACAGCACAACGCAAACAAAAATGTTGAGTGGAATTCGGAAGAAATTCATGATTGTGCTCCTGGCCTCCTCTGGGATGTATTGGGATCTCATTTTCATGATGGAGGGCCAGAATATACCCACACAAGCCTCAAAGGCACAGAAACCCATAAGCTGGATGCACCCAGAAAAAGAAATTCCTCCACCCTTGACTCCAGTAGGTACCACCAAGAACTGTTTACAACCCACAATCAATCGTGAAGTTGTGTTTTTACAAGAAAACAGAAGAGTGATAGAACGAGAGGGATGAAACAGCATACACTTGTTATGACAGGAAGCATAAGGGCAGCTGCGGAGATTAAGAACACTATCTGCATATAGCTCTCAGCTTTTGGGGATGAACGAGCAAGCAGGCGGGAGGCAACTGAACTTCCCAACATTGAAGCGAGCATGAATGTTGCAAAAATGAAACCATGTGGAATTTCCTCACCGCTCGGGCTCAGAGCAGGAGTCCACAAGAACACAAAGGTGTACATTGATCCTTCAAATAGGGACTGGATAGCGCCCAACAACGCAATCTTCTCATCTGATTCACGCACAGGATAACAGAGTAAGCATGAATGCAGAAAAAATCCAATGAGCAAGGAAGGTGTCCCCCCTTTCTGATAAGCAACTAATTTTCTCTCAGGAGTTGCCATGGCATAGCATTTGCACAACTCAGTGAAGTAACTTGAAAAACAGAGACCCTTTAAAGAACATAGAATATTGATCCGAAAAACAATGGATTGGCTCAATTCCAATTTCCGAACACAGACGGCAGCTACAAAACCTTCTCAGGATAAACAGTAAGCATTGAGACAGAAAGGTCTCCCCTTTCCAATAAGCTTCTACTTTTCTCCTAGGATTTGCCACAGCATAGCATTTACATAACTCAGTGATGTAACTTGAAACAGATAAATTTTTAGAGAGTAAAGATCATTCACCCAAAAAAACCAATGGATTTACTAAATTTCCTAACCCAGACGGCACCAAGAAAACGACACTGAGATAATGGAGAATTTGTTCAGTCAGATTATGGTCTCACCAGAAGCAATGGCTACAGCAGCAGCTTTGAATTGTGACAACAAATCCTTGCCTTCAGAAGCGTCTCCATAATTTTCTGGCCAAGAAGACATAATAACCGCCATTCCAATTGCAAGAAAGCATGCAGCAGCATCGAAGGGAGCAACAGGACCAAGTGCCAGGGTATCAACTAGTACATTTCCAAACAATCCAGATAGAATAGCAACTAAACCATTGCCAAGAAATATGGCCTTGGAGAATGTAACGGAGAGCCACTGTTGATCAAATCCTCTCTGAAGATCCAAGGTAGACAAGGTAAGAACACGATAACAACTATCAGAAGAAATCTCAACATATGATGCATATCACAGAATTTGCAGGGTGAATCCAGTCAACCAGATAATTTCCAATAAACTCTATTCTCTTCTGTTTAAGGTAGACAATACTCGATTCCACTAAATTTACTCCCACTCAAAGTTTCCAAATTAAAGTTGCAGCATAATTGAACACAGCTAACAGTCTTTGGAATATTTGAAAACTATGAAGCAAAACCATCAAGGGAGAACAAGATCTCAAACCCCATGACAAGAATAATTCCATCCAAGTACAAAGTACAGCGCATGTAGAACATAATAAGTTAGAAATTCCATATCGAAAAGGACTCCCACGAGAGCAACAAATTCAAATCTCAAAGCAGAGGAAATGAATATAGCACCTTAAAGTGTTCAGCAACAAGCCAAGACTCGAAGGCTGAAAAAAGCAGAGAAGTAGCAATTCCTCCCAGTACACGACCAAGCATTAAAACCTTGTAATGAGGAGAATGCTTGGTGATGCAACTCAAGATGTAAGTTATGCAGTAAGTGACACACGCTCTCTTGCGGCCCCTGAATAATGCAGAGTAGCACACACGTTAGCAGGTAGCACATTTGTACTGCTTGTTATCCCCACAAACTGAATTCAATTCAATTCAATTCAATTCAAAATCAGGCACAAAATGAAAAATAGTAACGGGATCTTACTGCTTGTCAGCAAGAGAACCAACAATCGTCCCGAAGAGCATGGAGGATCCAAACCCAGCAATGAAGAGCTGGCCGATATCTCCCTTCCCATAGCCATACTGACTGTACAAGTAGTAGACGTACGGACCCTGCAACCAATCTCCAGCTGTTCTCGCCACAGATTCCAAAAATCCACCCAATCAATAAAGAATTATCAGTCGGAAGAATCCACAGATCGAGTGACATTTGAGTTCCAACTAACACAAATCGACGTCAATTTAAACAAATCGACTCTAACATCACTTCAAGCACGTCAAATCTCAACATTCCTCATCAAACGTAAGACCCCGGATCAGGTGGTGGAAATGGACGAATCAAAGCTGGTTCGTAAAATCCAGATCTCAAGATTAGCTCGCTTCTTAGAAAGGAAACCTAAACTAAACAAGGAACCCCATACGCGCTCAGATCGAACGTAGAGAAGAAAGGCACATTATGCATGCGAGCAATAACCAGAGGGAGGAGGATAATGTCGAAGTGAAGAGATGGAGAGAGATGCGCACCCATCATGAGAGAGTAGACGACGAGGTAATTGTTCTTGAAGGAATTGAAAGCAGTGGGAGTGTTGACCCGATCTTTGTTGCTTTTGCTGAATTCCAGCACGGCCACGACGGCGGCGAGGCCTCCGAAGACCAGGAAGTAGAAGATCTCCATCGCTCCGTTGTGTGGGATCGGAGATCGGGAATGGAGACGAAGAAGAAGAAGGGGTTGGATAAAAATGAAAGGAAGGAATAGCTACTTCTCTTATACTGCTGCCACTCGCGGCCACTCGCCTCGCCAACGATCTAACTCCCCATCCGCTCTCAGCTCGAGCCAAAAAAATAATAATATAAAAATGAAAATTACTGAAATGAACAGTTTCATCCCTGGGCCCACGCTGTTGGGCTCGTTTGTTACCTGGGCCCATGCATGGACTTGTACTTATGGATATGAAGTGCAATCTAATCTTACTATGGTCGTAACTCGGGATAGTTGGATTTACGCGATGGTAATTCTTATTTTATGGATTCGAGCATATGAGTAGGATGGCAATAGGTCGGGAACCCAAACTCAAACCCATGAGCTTATTCATGAAAAAAACTCGGGATAAAATTCAATGGGTTTGAAAAACTCAAACCCAACCTAACCCGCTAGGTATCCACGGGTTCATGGGTACCCCACGGGTTTTTGTCGTAAAAAATTACAATAACAAGTTCCTATCAAAATTAAAACCAAATATCAATCTCTCAATACAAATTATTCATATATAAAATATCATTCTAGAAATTCAAGCAAATCACAAATTAACTATACAAATTGTTCAACACCAATCAAGAAAACTCAAGAAAATTGAAGCAAGTCATGAATTATCCATAAATAACATGATTAATTGAAAACTTCTTACTTTCAATTAAGTTTCTTCACTCTCCACTCGATAACATCAACTTCGTTCTACACAATTAGAAAGAAAAATTAGACATGCCTCCACAAACATAAATAAGATTAGTTGTTTAGAATATTAAATATACCTAGAAAATTAATTATATGGGTGTGGGCGGGTACCCATGGGTCGGGTTTACCTAAACCCAAAACCAACCCAACTCGATGAATAGTGAACGGGTTTAAACCCAAACCCGACCCAAAACCCGTCAACACAAATTTTACCCGCGTTGACCGGGTTGAGTCGGGTGGGTACCTGTGGGTTCGGGTTTTGTTGCCATCCCTATTATGAGTGCTTCATTGCTTCCTCACTACTCCATGTCCTACTTTCGTCGCTTCACTTAGAGCGGCCGACCTTTTGGTTAAATTCGGTATAAATACGCCTAATCGTTTAGCTAGTACTTGTTGCTTGTTAGTATGGTCCAACAAAATGTAATACCAAAATCAAACTACCATGATTTCATATCCGATCTAATCGAATCCCAATGGAAGTGGAACCAATGCTAAAGCTATGGGGATGGAACTAGAGCGTTAAAGTGGCAAGTGGATCGGGGAAGCATAAAGAAAAGCCCCACCGAGTCACCAATGCGCATTTATTTTATTTGATTGATTTCCGATTTTACGGCCTCCTTGATCTTGTTAACCAAACCAAACGGCACCGTCCTTGAATAAACCCACATCCACGGCCCCACACACCATGTGGTATCCACTGATCCGCATCTCCACCGGCCCATGCCCACAGCAAACACGCAAAGGTAAGGCCCAGTCCGTTTATTCCTGATCCGGCCCAGCACGGCCTCTTCTCCTTCCACCATAGGGTGGGCTGGGTCCGTCAAATAGCCCATGTCCGAGGTAAGGTTCAGCGGGCCCATCAACACACAGGATTTTGCTTTCTAATTTGTTACGCAGCCTCCCTCTTCATATTTTTTTTTTTTTCATTCGATCTTCCAAACGTTGCGAAATTCGAATTGCTTTCGAAATAAATACGAAATCCAAACAGAAGGTCTGATGACAGTGAAAGGAATAGAGCGGGCTGTAATTGTATCAAAGGTTGAAATGGAAATATGGGATCAATTGTCTGTGTAAGGAAGGCTGGTACCGATGGTGATATCAAAATTTAGAGCTTGAGGGCAGCTTTAGCCATGGCAAGGGCGCCTTCATAGCTTTGGTTCCCTCCAATGAAGCCGCTCATGTGGACGAAAACGCAGGCAGGGATTCCGCATTCCTTGCAGAGATCGTCATCTCTCAGCCCCCGCCATTGAGCTGGGAGAGGTTTTCGGCTCTCGAAGCTGTCTGGAGACACCGCCACGGCTTGAATTCGCCAGCTTTTGCTCCGTTCATCCTGGTAGAGAACATATTTGATTGAAGGCTCAATCTTCATCTCCTCCTCAAGCTCGAACAAGTGAAGCTTCCACTGTCAACAACCAAACCCATCTTTGGATCAGGAAAAAAGGTAAACAATAAATGTGGTTAGATCTCTTGCACTGTTAGTTCTAGCATAGATGATACTTACAGGGCAAAATCTGGTTAGAACCATGATTTCTCCGCTAGGATCAACGTCAAACCTGGCTGCAAGACATCCCAGAACTACTGACCGTGCTGGTAACCATGACCTTGCATGGAAATGAACACTCTGCAAAAACAAAGAGTTGCACAGCAGTCATAAGAATCTAGGTCGATATGAAGAAGAGCCTTTTATTTCCATAAACTCGGCATTGCTCAAAAGCAAATAAACTGGGGTAATAAAAGGAACTGGGAAGTTGTTTTTGTGAAATCAAGTGAGTGGAAGGAAACTCACTTCTAAGAACTCGCCGCCAGCCAGAGCCATTGCTCTTTGGAAAGCCTCGTTCTCCTTCTCGGAGGATTGATCTGGATCAGTCCAGTCAAGGTTTAACCTCCCAACTCTTGAAGACAAGTGCGTGTTGTTCACATATCTAGGCGGTTTGTCAGTGTCATACCGGTTGATTCCATTATCAACAGCATCAATTGCCTGCCAATGAACCGACCAACAAGAGTTGCATAAATGAAGAGTGAATGAGATACGACCAACCAAACCATCAGAGAACAAGGGAAATTGATGGGAACTATTTTAACTGGTTTTGCTTTGGAGAACTAACCTCCATAAAGCTTTTATAAACAGCCAGGAACAAACAGAGAACATCTGGGTGATCTTCATCAACTTGTAGCTCCTTGCCTATAATCTCCTTTCCAAAATGCTAGACGGGGGAAGAGATAGCAAGCTTAGCAAAATCAGATATACCAGCTATAAATGTTCAAAAGATAATCCCTTGAGAATCCTTCACTGCCGGAGAAACAATGGGATACAGTCCATACCTTGTAGACAAGTCCAGCACTACTTAGTTTGGTGGAGAAGCCGTATCCAAACACCTCCTGGAATCCCTTCTGATGGTGATCATACCTATCACGACTCGGGTCATACACACCGCCAACATCAAGCACAGCATCAAGAGTCTCCAACACCTGCAAAATTCAAAGCCAGTTCATCCATCACAATGTTCGACCTAAAAGCCAGCAACCAACAAGGTCAAACAGCATATTCACCCCATAAACCAACCAGATGAAATACTATGAATCCAGCATAACCCTATTGATGCTAATCAGAAAAAGTTCCCAACTTCAGCTATGCTACACCATAGATCCTACTAGCTTATAGGAAATACTAGAAGTCAGAAACTTCATCACCCGGTTGAATCGCACTCAAGAAATTTCTGCATTTACTTGAAACCTAGTAGTGGCGAGACTAAAGGCGAACTAGCCATCCAGCTTCAGAAGGTTCCTAAAACTTCTACGAAGGTCTCATTTCAATAATGAATGGCAGGAGAAATTAGAACCTGCGGGTCGCGAGTGCGGACGATTTCAGCGTTGGCGAACTTATCGGTGAGGCGAATCATGAAGCAGCCGAGGGCCTCGTCGCAGTGAAAGCTTCCATTGTGAGTGCCGACGCGCTTGACCGGAGCGTGGTTAGGGGAAGCAGCAGTGGAATAAGGCGGCGAAGACACCGTCTGTGGAGTAGCCATGGCGATGAATTGGAGCGGTCGAGGTTGAACAAGGGTTTTGGAGAAGTTGAAGAAATTGGAAGAGGAGGAGGAGGAGACGAAGAAGAGCTTCTGCTTAAACCCTCCAGTTAATGCCAACATAGCTCTCTTGACCAAAGAGTAAAAATTAACAGAATGAAAAAGCCGCCTCCTTTCGTAATATCCTCGTTTCGCATTCTTTTTATTATCCTCCAAAGGAAGATGAGAAACGTTTCGGTTTTCAGGGTCATCAATCCCACAAGAGAGCAATCTCTTCTCCAATCTCCATCTCTGCTTGCTTACTGGGGAAAAAAATGGCGGCCAAGCAAGCGTTACAACAACAGTACTATCATCCAGTCATTTCAAGAAAGTGCACGGCCAAGCCCATTTTTACATTATTAGGCAACAAATTCCCATCATCGCCACCTCTCTTCTCTCGAGCCAGTTCTTCGTTTCCCAATAGATCGACCGTCGCGAAATGCAGCGGCGACGGCGATAAATTGAAGGATGCGCTCAGCGGCATGGTGGGCAAGCAAGTTGAGGAACTGCTGGGGAGAGAAGAGAACAAGGCGTTGCTGGATGAGCTGGAGAAGGCATCGGAGAGAGTGGAGATAGCAAGAAGAGAGCTTGCCGAGATAGAAAGACAAGAGCTTGAAGCTAAGCAAGTTAGGGAGTATGTCAAACAGCTCGAAACCAGAGCTGGCGAGGTCTGATCATGTCTTCTCCCCGCTCTTTCAATTGCTTTCTCTGAGGATAATACTTCTAACCTTTTTCATGTGGCTAACAGATAGAAGAATGTCTGCAAGAGATTTCCGCAGCCAAATCCATGGTGGAAGAAGCAGAGAGATCACTCTCAGCTGGTTCACAGAGTGAAGCAAGTGAGAAAGATAAAGAGAGGATCGAGTCCGTAAAGGCAGCTGGAGTCTGTGCACTTGTTGGGACACTTGCAGGGCTCCCTGTTTCTTTGACACAAGCGACTGGCTACGAGCAGCTGTTGCTTCCATTGGCAGTCACCTTCTTGAGCTGTGCATTGTTTGGAGTGACCTTCCGATATGTGGTGCGAAGAGATTTGGATGATTCCCACCTCAAGACAGGGGCCATTGCTGCATTTGGCTTCGTGAAAGGTAATCAACATTTTCTTTCTTTAAATGTTGACTGAATGCAGAAAGGTCGGAGCTTTTGAGTTGAAAGTGGAATTCTGGAATCACAGGACTTGGCAGGCTTTCTGGAGGAGCGCCATTGGAACTCAATCCAGCAAGCATCTTGTCTCATGGTATTGATGGTGCGGTTTATGTATCACAGAGCCTTTTGATTTTTGGCTTTGCTGCTGTTAGTCTGGATTACTGCTTCAAGGTTGGGATTATCAGTCCGTTTCCTTTGAATGGATCCCCATCAGAAACCAATGGAGAGTAAGCTCAAAGCTCCAAGCATTAGTGAAACTGGTAGCTTGTGCTGTCAGTGCTGAGTCCCACAGATGGAGAATATAGCAAGTTTTCTTGTGATGGAGAAAGAGAATCGACTGTATGTAGAAATCCAATCTGCCATTAACTAACTAGATGTTCAAACATATCTATCCATCCATGTGCGGAGACAATCAGGAGTACTGTTGCAGTTACAAGAAGTTAGTGCTGATTCTGAACTCTTGACATCGTCTTGAATTAGTCCCAATCACTGCGGGAATCATCATGCTTCTTCTTCGCACCATCCTGCTTCTTACCAAAATCAGATGGCAGGTTTCTGTACCCTTTCCTCCCCTGCAATCATGGTTCAGAACCCAAGTGAAATATTAATTACGGCATAGCAAGAAAGCTTTCGATGGGATAACATGACAATGCAGAGCAGCCATAGTAGCAGACCTTGGGTAGTCTCTCGTCGTCCATAACATCGTCATCTGTCCTTTCCTTTGTGAATGAAAGAAGTTTTGCAGCTTCATTGAACAATTGGAATCCTTGAATATCTCCATTCTTAATACTTGTTTCCAGCTGCCGAAAGAAAACCCAAGTGCAGAAGATATGAATAGGATGCCGGTAGGATCAAGGTTATTTCCTGTTTCACTTCCTCCTAATTGATCGTTCTTCTACCGACGTCCAACTAACAGTCGAAAGCTCAAAATGTGCACAGACTAATAGAATAGATGGCGATTCGGTACCTGAACATGAACGACGCCGAGAAAAATACTAGCAATTGGCAGCCAGGAATCCTCCGGTGAGAGTGACAGATTATACCTGTAAAGATTTATGCACAATTTCAACCAAAAAAACCCTACTACCATAAACCAAAGCAGCTGCTAAAGCGAAGAGAAATGAAGAACCTGAGGTATGGACCGAGGTAGGCAAGGGCGTAGACTGCATATCGGCGTTTCCCAGTGTCAATCCACGCAAACACCCAACTCTAAAGATCGTAAAGAACAACATTAGGGTTCCTGATAAGAGGCGAGCAAATTGGGGGAAATAGAGAAAGGGAATTGCTTTTTCTCGAAACGAACCAGCCAATTGAAGTAAGGAACGAAGCTAATGATCCCCATAACCGTCAAGCGAGTATCAGTTGTATCCATTCCGGAATCAGATTCTTCCTCGGCAGCAGGGTAGGGGCTGGGCAATAGCAGCGAGCTCAGTATACAGGCGCCGATCGCCGCCGCGTACGGCGCGTCCTGAGACAGCTCCGCCCTGCATATCAACACTCCTCCTCCTCTTCCTTCGCCGGTTCCACAGATCCTCTGCTTCAGCTGCGGCCAGTAAGAGAGTCCGATAATCAACAGATTCAGAAGAAGCAAACGGAAGTGAGAAAGATGTTAGGTGAATTACGCCGGAGGGAGCTTTTGAACGGCGGAGTAGAGGGCGGCGGTTGCACGGTGAAGGAAGAGAGGTGGAAGGTAAATTCGGAGCGAAAATAGAAGAGCGCAGGTTTGCTGGGGAAGGAGGAAGGAGGCGGTTGAAGGTAAAGGTGACCACCATTGACGCAGGTGGATTGAGAATGTTCTCCGGAGTGAATCTGATCTCTGACCAACCCCCGCAAGTTTCGAACTTCGTACTTTTCGGGGAAAGAGCTGCACTGCAGCGGGCAGCGGCAGCTGGCTGACTAAGTTCGTCACCATGAGTGCCGAGTATGCGAGTCGGAAACTCGGAACAAACGCAGAAGTACACGGGCTCAGTTAGTTAGTTGGGCCTCTATTTGGCATTTGGGCTTTCTGTCAAATCTGTGCACAAGCAGATGCCTAAACCACTCTTCCAAATTAGAATGGATGAAATAAAGTAGTGATATTGGTATACAATCTCAAATAGTTACAAATTTGCAAACCTCAGAAACCTAACATTTATACAGTCTTTGGTGCATCACAGCTTGTGTATATAAATAAACAAGACCATAGGTAGAGTGCAAAAGATCCTGCATAGGACGGCCTTCATGAAGCTATACAAAACAACGAAACGATAGTAACTCGGAGTAACAATAGGGTATCTGCTAGGCATATGATGATAGCATACATATGTTATGTGCATTCTAGGAAGATCATCTACTGCTTTGATGCATATAACTATATGATGAACATTAGGTTGAGCTACTGGCTCAACGGACTGGGAAACTGTTAAATTTCCACAGATGAGAAGAGCTCGTTTCCCGCCTGAAATTACACGAAATTGAATGAATGGCATCCAGATCTGCCCAATGTGTAGCTGCTGCACTGATTTGGCCACACCTCTGGTGATTGGATTGGAACAATTTACCGCTGTAACCCCCCCAGCTCATGAAATGTTAAATTGGATGGATCAATGGCTTCATGGTATGCCGAGCAGCTCGATATAGTTATCTTCCTTTTTACCCCCATCCAGTATACATAAAAATGAATGGCCAATGCTTTTTTTTGTTATCAGCACGCATCATTTACAGCTCTCCCCTGCATTTACAAAGTTTCCGCGGTACGAACAAAGCTTTCAGCTTTCTCGCACTGCTTCCCTCCCATCAGATTTTAGCTGCCGTTGCAACTGTGAAAGGAAAAAAAAACCATACCACCCGAATAAATCTTTTATTGCTTATTCACTTATAGCAGTCAAATCAAATTATCCAGATTTTCAGTCAACTCACTTGCTCGTATTTCAGCTTCTCAGTATTCAGCTCATCAAACAAACCCGACATCCTGAAATTGTGAAGCCAAACATCAAGTTAAGAAACTCCTATGGGAACCGAGCAAGTCATCATATAATGCGGGCTCTTCAAAATTATCAAACCTTGAGTGAAGGTCGGAGATCTTTAGCAACAATAACCGTTCTCTTTCCAAAGCAGCTGCATCTACCTGTTTGCATCAATCACAAAGGGTATACATGCAAAATAAGTTACCATAATATGATGCATCAGAGTTTACACTTTAACACGGAATTTTCATGAGAACAGAAATGAATTGGGTCCGGAGACGTTCCATAGAGAAGAAAAAGGCAAGAAACCTGTCAAGTTTCTCAAATTCTAATACATGATTTTCTGAATAACAGGAAAATTTTGTGCCGAGACCAGCATAGGAAAAGTTTCGCAGAGGAACATTATAGGTAAAGAAAATTGCATAAAGGGTTAAGTCTTACTGCTTCCCAGATTTCTTCATTTAAAACAAATCTATTATGTACAAGCGTCAGGCAGAAAACTTAAACAAATATGCCTCTCCCCACAACAAAATTTAAGAATTTGACTGGTACTCATGCCTAGATGAAAGCTCATGACCAATGAAAGACATCACAAGAGTATGCTTACAGTCCCATTATTCTCTGCACATCGAGGCAATGGAGGCAACTTGCCATTTTGTACAGCTGGCAGAAAAGAGAGCTTGATTTAGTGGCTGATCAAACAGGAAGGCAGCAGATAGATACATTAACAAACAACTAACCATCTGAGCCCTCTGCTGGTTGCAAGCTATTCAGCAAATTGAGGATGAGATCCTGGCATCATGACAATATACAATAAAAAATAACAGTTGAAAAATCTGTGCATAACGTGAACAGCCTAGTATAGAAAGTAAACGGCCCCATCTCGAGAATATTTCATGGTTATCTATCATTTACCTGTTGCATTGAGTTCTGCTGAAAAAGATTCTGGAGGTGAGTCATGAGTTGTGATACAGGTAAATTGCTGCCGCCACTAATCTCTTTTTGTGGCTGGACCACAGGCTAACCGAAAAAAAAAAAAAAATCAGTAGATATTATGACTAAAAAGCAGTCAATAAGATGTTCAATTAAATGCCCCACACAGGTTTGCAAAAATACAAACCATTGGTTTGGCCTCGTGTATCCAATCACCCACACTAGCAGACTTTCTCAGTGGTGATGCCTGAAAAATAGTACAAACAAAAACAAAATAATTGAGATGCACACAGCGACATGCATATGCCAAGGCAATTGAGATACGAGTAGGAGATTGCTGACCCACCTGCGAGGATCGACGTTGAACTGTACTTAAAGGCACATCCTAAGGCACAATCTTAAGTTAGTAATAGCCACATGAAGAACAAATATCCATTAAGACTTAAACATACCTTTGCAAGGTCCAAATTTTCTGATGTTACAGAGAACCGCCCTTTGATTTGTACCAGACTAGCCTTAGTCTTATCATCTAGAGAATCACGAAATCCTATCATTACAGTAAAAATTTGTTTAGAGCCCTATAATAATAAGCAAGTTAAAAGTCGGATTGTATTTGTTCAACATGCTTCCAGAACGCCATACCTCCAGATGACTTAATGGGAGCCGACAAACTATTTGCAGAAGCTCGGTTTGGGAGCATCAGAGGACCACTAAAGCTTGGAGCTTTTCTCGTGACTTTTTCATTTGCAGGCTGAATTTCACTCTCAAACCTACGGCAAGAGGCAAGAGTCTGAGTGAGTCAAGTTTGGAGCTATAAATGGAGAGATGCATACCACATTTAAAGTTTCAGACAAGACATCGCCATTTTATTTCCACAAACGATGCCTAGATTGTAAAACATAAGCTGGCCAAGCTAGGTTATACGGTACATGGCTAGCAAAATCGTGAGTTAATTTCATCAAGAATCATCTCAAAATGTTGTTGCAATGCATTACTGTACGTGCCTGAAGATCAAATGACAATGTAACAGACCAACCTTTCTGAAGTACGACCCCTTTCTGACGAATGACTGAATGCATTACCAGGCATGAGTGGCCCACTATGATTTTGGCGACTTTTGATTGATTTAGCCTTGGACTGCACCACATCATATTCTGAGGTCGATGGTTTTGACTCGGGGCTTGAACCATTTCTGTTGCTCCAAAGTTTATCCTGGTAGGAAGCTTCTACTATATCACTTTCCAGAGACTTGCCCTTCTGGTTCAAGCTCTCAGCTCGCGATGATTCAGTTGTAGACCCCAACTGTGCAATTTCGCTAGTCGAATAATGCTTCACCATGCGAGGCTGGCCGTTGGTTAAATCCTAATGATAGCAAACAAGATTATGGTAACAAATTAAGCAGCAAACACAATAGCTGGAATGCTATAGAATACATTCATAAATACTGGAAGCTATTGATACTACAGTGACAACCTTATCCCATCCATCGGATTTCAAGCTTTCGTCTTCGTATTTCGTCTCAAACATATCGTCATCATCTCTAACCTACCAGAACATTGGCAGAACTTGGTTCAGAGTTAAATTCTAAACATCAACCAAGAGGAAATACAATTCTTATAGCACCTTAGAGAAACAGAAAAAATATAACAATAGATTACCATTGATGCTTGGGCCTTCAAATCCGCAATATCGAAGTGCCAGGCACTAACTCCTCGCTGGTACTCGCTCTGATGGGCACAAGGAAAAGACATAACCAAAAAGATGAGAGAAAAAAACATAATTAATGTATCAATTTCGTTCCTAAAGTAGCTTACAGTCTGACATCTCCCTAATTCTCAACAATGGTACTAAGGACAGACAATGATATCCTCAACCCCTAAGGTTAACAACTGGAGGCTAAAAGAAGCTGTCATAATCCACATGTATCAATAAGCCACTCAAGGAAAATGAAAACTGGAATTAGGAAACAGTAAAAGAAAAGAAGGCTTCACAAACATCTTAGTTAACAAGAGCCATCAAGCATAAAACTAGATTCAGGTTCATTTGGAAATAGTTTGCACCTGCGATAACGCTTCTTGATCACCTGACGGCATTCTTTTTAGAGCTAGTTGTGCAGCATCCTTAAGCTGAGACATTTCAGTAACATTAATTATACCTCTTTCTATCTGGATAAGGCACCAAGGCAGAATAACATCAGTACAATTATTCACCTGAAGGGCTTTCACACGATTCCAAAGTGGGGGCAAGTCTGCAAACAATTTCTTCACAGATAGCTCCGGGGGTTTTGCATGCTTGAAAAATGAGTGTTTCATTAACTTCTCTGCAGTTGGCCTCTTTGTTTGATCTTTTACCAGGCACATAGCAACCATTTCTTTAAAAGACTGATGACAACTGGAAGTCCTCTAATTAGAATCCTCAGATATGAATGAGTTACGGAAAATATTGAATGGAAATCTAAAGCAGCAGTGGCAATCGAAATTATTCATATTAATACAATCTCAGAAATGAATTTAGCCAGAAAGATTCCAATACCTTGGAGAACTTTTTATCACGATCATAATCAAGTCCTGGAGGGGCATTCTGTATGGTCATTAGAAGCACCTACCAAGACGCGGAAAACATTTGAAAGATGCTTGGTTAAAATGAGAAGAAAGCATACAGATCAGGCTGTACCTCTCAATCCTGTCAAATCACAATAATGAGAAGTACCTTCATTGGTGGGTATTTTGAGAAAGGTGCATGACCATGAGCTAACTCCAATGCCGTAATACCAAAGGACCATATATCAGCCCTGTGCAAAAGAACAGTCAACAGATAATCCTACGTCAGTTGTTCTTACATTTCAGCAACCATGACTTTCTTATAGTTTTCATTTTGATTTGAAATTGATGTATAGGTGCATTTACTCAACCTAAGAGTTCCCTGCGTGAGTGTATATTCTATTGGCAACGGGGACCCATTACTCTTTCAAGGAGTTTGCAAAATGAGTACTTAATATCAATTTGCATGTTCAGATGTGGCCTATGTAAGGTAATCCGGGTATTATAATTGAACCAGTGAAAGATGGAGCAATTATCTAGCAAGATTGCTGGTGAGAAGGATACAGAGACATCCTACAGCTAGCAAAGATGTTCCTTTTCTTGAAACGTCAGGCATAATCGTTATATGATATCTGAAGAACTTCCATTAGTAATCAAATCAGCTTTAAAAGGTGCAGTTCAGAAGGGTAGTAAACTCACTTTGAATTATATCCACTTCCTGGCTGCAACACTTCAGGTGCCATCCTGAAATGATAAACAAACGCAAGAACATGAATTGGTCTAGCAGTCGAATTACAGGAGAACGTCTCCATAAATGTTTCAGACCTACCAGCAAGGAGTTCCGACAAAAGTATTTCTAGCACGTTGCCTGTCACCGGTATCGAACATGCATGCTGAGACACCAAAATCGGCTAGTTTTACTACTCCATTGGTATCCAATAGTATGTTTCCAGCCTGAAAGTACAGTAGATATAGAGGAAGAGATTCAATGATAAACTAGAAGATGAACGTAAGAATGCCAAATGATCGATTCAGCTAGTGAACAATACTTGTAAACTTACTGACCTTGACATCACGATGAATGTGTCCTTGACGATGTAGGTACTCTAAGGCCTTAAGAGTTTCTTTCAGAATTGAACCAATAGCAGCTTCTTCAAATCCATCAGGATATGCTATCTTCATGAGGTGCAAACAGGACCCCTCGGCCATAAATGGCATGATCACCCAGAGATTCCGATCAACGACAAATGAACAAAAAGCCTTAATAACATTTGGATGGTCTATCAGGCTCATGGTTTGAGCTTCTCTCCGTATGTCATCCTAAAAGGAAAAGATAAAGCAACTTCAGAGAACAGCATAGAATATCAATCAAAACATTGATCTTATAGTAAACTAATGCATGTGAAAAGAGGACAATAGGGAAATTCAAATACAAAACATTTTTTGACGTATAGAAGAAAGGGGTTTTACATTGATCAAGAGTTCACAAGCAGTAACTGGGAAGCATTGATAGACATGATTGTGGCTAGGATCAAAAAGGATCAATCAGCAGACTGAGGTAATCATCAATCCATAACCCCCTCGTTCTCTATCGCTCCCAAAACAGAAATAAAGTAAAAAGTGTAAGATTCTTCCAATTTCTGACGGGGCTGTTCAATAAAGTATTTGTAAGTGGATGTTACTACATCCAATGAATTTGTCATTGACAACTTTGAATGAAGCCAGTTCCATGTTCAACTTTCCAAGCCTAACAAATTATCCATAATCATTGGCAACGTAAAACCGTAGTATTTGGTCGATGGATTTACCAAAACATGCAATGTTTCAACTTCAGAGGCCAAAAGCACTCTGGGTATTCCACATTATCCATAACCAAGCTAATAACAATATGGACGAGTCAGGTAACAGAAATCTGAATCATACTATCTCTACACACTTCCCATACATTTCAGCCACAAAAAAAAACACCGAAAAGAATTCAACTCGAACCTCATAAATGATTAAAACCTTCAATCTCGACAGGTTGAAAGAGTACTGAGAAATTGCAACAACAACAAAAAAACAAAAGCTACATTCCACAAGTCGAGCAGTGAACAACTCCGGGCTCAGAATCTAATCAGACTATCAATTATCAAGAACTAAAACACGAATTCAATTCGTCCCTTCTAGTACCCATGCTGCGTCTTCTAAAATCCAAACAGTCAAATCAAGTCAAACGCTTAGACAAACAAACGGAAAAAACCCCAACGCTCCAAATTCGTCAATCAAATACAATCCAATTCAAACAACTAAGTCGATTCGGATCAAAGCAAAACAAATCAAGCCAATAGGAACCACTAACCAGGTTGCTATTGCATCGATCGAGATCCAAGCACTTGACAGCAATGACTTCGTTGGTTGGTAGAAAGATCGCTCTGTAAACGGTAGCACTGGCGCCATGACCGATCTCTTCCAGAAGCTTATAGTCTTTAGAATTGGCAGAGAACACTCGCTGACTACCTCCTCCCACCCCTACCATGCCTCCCGGACAAAGGAAGCGGCGAAAGAGTGGCTCGCAAATCGGGATTCGCAGCCCCCCGCGGAAGGTAATAGAAGAAGGTGTTGACTTAGTTTGAGGCGGAAGCTAGCAGGAAAAAGGGGTGATTGCCGATTAGAGGAAAGGTCGTTGAAAGGGCAATCCGTTGACCGCCATGGGAAAGGAAGGAAGGGATGATAAATGATGATAGATTGGAGAGGGACTTGAGTGTTTGAGAGACTCGGGGAAGGAGAAAGAAAGAAAGAAAGAGAAGGAGAGAAAGGACAGGCAGTGGGACGGAGGGAGATGTGCTGACGTGGCGAACTTGGGCTATGTATTCCAAATCGAGACACGTGGATGTACCAAACTGACGGCTTTCTTTTTCTTTTTATTTACGTTCTTTTTATTATGCTCTTTTTTTTTAGCAGTGAAGATGAATTTTAACTTATTCTTAAGCAAATATAAAAGAGAATAAGTTATAAAAATAAGAACAAGAATTATTTTCATATTTCCTGGAAAAAACAATCAAATATATCTGGCAGAAAAAAACACATACATAAATATGGATGCAAGTAGGTATTAGCTGGTTTTGATTAATAGAATTTGCTGGATTTGTGTATAATACAATTATCCATCAAATTGATACAATCCAACCACAACGATTGCTGATTGCAGAGTATCAAACACTTGAACAAAAACCGAATCGATATTTCTAATACGATTTTCAGCATCGTGTAAACAGTCATTTACACGAAGGAATTCCTTACAAGGTCACTAAGAATGGAAGTTCATCTTTCACTAGTAAGGCTACAAACAAGCAATTAACCAACACTGAAAGATTATCTCTAACTAGGTCACAACTCATTAGTGTCATTACTAAGTTTAGTCAGCATCTATTCCGGTAATTACAATTATGAACAAATACGTTCGTTTTTTTTTTTCTTCTCTATTTGGTCAGAGTATCCTCATGCGCCTAAGCCGCTTGGTTGAGGCCTTAGAGACCAAGTAGCCCACACCCAAACACATGACCCAAAGCCCAACATCCGCGGCCCATCCAACTCCCTCCAAGTCCATCTCCTCATCCGTGCCCTCACTAGCAGGCGAGCCCGGCCCACTCACTTCCTCCCACTCGCCACCGCTAGATCCGCCATCCGTACCATCGCAATCGCAGCAACACGGACCGTCCGATTCATCATCATCGTCGTCGTCGTCATCCTCCGCGTCCTCGGGGATCACAACCAGCCTGTCAATCCGCCGCCCTCTGCGGCAGCTCCCTTTCTTCCGCCTCGGAGGGGCCACCAACCTCACTCTCTCGCTCAACGCCGCCACCCGATCCTCCACCGCCACGCAGACATCCGCCGCCGCCGCCGCGCAACCGACGGCGGCGGCGTTCTCGACGCGACACCGGCACTCGAGATTCCACTCGTTTTCCTCGTCCTTGGTGAAGATCCCTTCCAGGAGTCGCTCGTCCCGCAGGTAGACCTCGAAGCTGACCCCGCCCGTCGATTTGACCGATTCCCTGGACCCGTAGACCGCCTCGCCGGACTTCGATTTGACGTCGACGAGCCTGTGGAGCTCGAGGAACGCGGTGGAGTCGGGCCGGGTCTTGGAGCCGTCGATCTGGAGCTCCGTCCCGTTGACCCGGGGGAGGAAGCAGAGGGTGAGGGAGTCAGGGAAGGAGGTGCGGCGGTGGAAGCCGGAGAAGCGGCAGAAGAAGGATTTGATCTTGAGCGGGTTCCTGGTTCTGGGCTTGAAATTGAATCCGTCGAAATCTGTTGTTCGGCACATCTTGGCGATTGTTCTTTTGCTGCGTAAACGTTTTCCTTTTTTTTTTGTTGTTGTTCGAGGTGGTAAATGGGGAAGAACGGCGGGATGGGTTTTGTAGTGGAAGGGGAAGGGGCAGAGGGTTGGCGGAAATGGCGGTAGGGAATTCTCAATTCTGGGGGTGGGGAAGCACGCGGGTTTTTGTTTGAGACCGGTGGCGGCGGCAGAGGGAGGACTAGAAGACAAAGTTGGTTTTGGGGGACCTTTTCGTATTTTGTCGTTTTGTTGGAGCCACCTGTTTACGAGTTTGCCGCGTGGTAAGGGGATTTCCAGCTGGCTTTGTGTTTGTTTCCTTCCAGCCCGGCCCATCAGGATTGTGTTTGACCTTTCAACACAAAAAAGTGTTTTGGGGGCCACGATTGGTAATAAATTATATTACTGGGCCTGCTAAGTTTGGATGGTTTCTTTTCACAAGTTGGACAGGCCCAGAATCAACCTACCATCCACCGCTTCACGGTGTTCTCTCAGTCCATGGGCTATCCAATAAATTTTCTTTACCCAAGCCAATTTCTCTCATTCTCACATCTTGTTCCACACTTTGGAATTTTGATTGTTCGTGTTATGCCTCACAAGTAAAGTGACAATCGGTATTCACCTGTAAATATTCATTACTATGGTGGATGAGTAATTAATATGGGTGGATTATTTAGTGAAAAATCTCGCACATGTACTTACTCGAATAGATGATAGGTGGTTTGCGAGTAAGATTATTAAATCTCTATCAGACCCCCAATTTAATCCAGTTCAACCTCAGCCGGGCTTTACAACTGCCTCTAGAAAGTCTTTCGGTCTCACCCCTAGAGATGAAGAAGAAGAGAGAGACAAGGGAGGAGGGGGAAAGAAGGAAAGAAGATAGTAGGTGAGTCACGGAGGTTATGTAGGATTTATTTTGTGGGAAATAAGTTTTTAATGGATACATGCAAAATAAATTTTATTTTAGTCTTTGATTTTTAATTACTACCTTATTTGTATATATATTTAGAAAACATATAAAACCACTCAAATCGATCGAACCCCAATCAGACCAATAAACCTCAAACCCCTCTAATTTGACCGGCTCAATAACTTAACCCGGTTTGACAACATTGCGAGTCACTTGAATTACCCGCTGCCAATTTTCACATTGCAAATACTTGTATCTTATTGTTACAAGTTTATCTCAATCAAACCTTCTTTCGGAAAGAAAAAAAAAACAAACCTACTTGCTGATATCACTTCAATTGGACTACATGTATTATTGGTTAGGTTTATGTTCTATGTTTGATTTGTAATTTTATTTTTTATCAGAATGGATTAGGGTTAGACCACATGGATAAGTATTATAAATACTTCTCATACTCTTTTGTAATTTGTATATCTCCTAAAATTATAGTGAAATTGGCTCTCTCTTACTCGTGGACTAGCTAGCTAACACACATCGTGGTAGTGAACCACATCTGCTTATCTTGTTTCATTTCTTTCTTTCGTTTTCTTGATCCGTTGATACTTCGGTTGCCCGATCCGTAAAACAGTCACCAGACTACCCTTGCTTAATTGGTTAATGTTAGAGCTAAACTCTAATTTTCCATTTGAAATTGTATTCATCGACATTTAATTGTTCAATATGATGAGATAGTGCATAATCTCGAATGACTCTAATATTCCATTTTTAAATTGTATTCATCGGCATTTAAACTACACGTTTTTCTTGTTTGCCATAATTATACAATTGAAACAAAAATCCTTTTGAGATGATCCAAACGACTGTTATAGGATACAATCCATATATAGAATCCATGCAAAATCAAAAGTGCAGCACGAAGTGTATTCCCATTCTTTAATTAGAGTATATATGAGTTAAAACAGATGGAGAAATAAATATTAGGTAAATGTGGTAATTTGAATTCAATCCGTCAATTCAATTTATAATTCAGATACCTAAATGTTTTGAAATGGAAAATATCATTCAAATTTTATATTTTGACACTTGAGTTTATATAATGAAATTTTAGTATCTAACTTTTCAAAATTTTCACAATAGAATTAGATGCCACATGAATCCATGAATTCACAAATACATATTTTTAATGCAATCAATGAATTCACTAGGAAGAAAATGTAAAATCCTTATCCATCCCATATTTGATGAGTATATACAAGTTGGATGACACATTAAACCATGATACCAATGAATTCCATCCTCGTAAGATTTTCCAAGCTCAATTATCACACTATTATAGCAGTTGGATCATTAATTATATTTCTAATTTCAACACGACATATCATATCTCGGTGTCATTCCACGTCATGTGGGAGTCATTTTTATTTTGAATCTCGCACTGACTCAGATTTCAATTTGTATCATATGTTGACGATCTCTGCCTGTTCATGTATGATTGAATTTGTCTTTGTACAAGGTCTACATGCATTATTGGTTCTTGGTCTTTGCCCTTCATCTTCAAGTCCACTTTATTTTGTGATGAATAGATAGAGGAAATAAGCAAGCTAGCTAGCCTGCTAACAATCATTCGTCGTTCTCACCAAGCAGATCAGTCTATAATTAAATGGCGTGCGTTGCATTCGTTGAAATATGAACAGCATAACCACTTGCAGAAAGTGACTGAGAAGAAGATCTCTACAAAAAAAGAAAACACAACTAACAACCACGAACACACAAACTAATGGCCCAAAACTGAATGATGCTAAGAGTCAATGATAGCAGCGACCAGGAGTAGCAGTAGTTGGCACATGATCAATAAATTATCTTTCCAGGAGCTAGTGCTGTCATACCAACAAATTACAATCTGTTTTTCTTCAGCAATTCTACTTCCTCTGTACCCCTTTCTTCTCTTTCTCATTACATGACACCCACTTAGTGTCACATTAATAAAGATTACTAATTAGTTATATATACATAAAAAAAAATCTTCTAACAATCCAATCTCGTCAAGACCAATTGATTCATGACAAGATATCGGCAGAAACTGGCCACCATTTTCGTTTGGGGGAAATAAAACAAGCTCATCAACAAAGGCACATGACCAACCACTTCCTATATATTGAATCAAATCCCTTTTTTTTATCCATTCCATCCACCATTTCCCTCTCTGAACCAACAGCAGATCGAGGAATCACAAACACTAGTCGCCAAAGGTAATCGTTGCAAGCTTCATTCACGCTTATCAAGTTGCAATTCATCAGAAGCTTTCATTTCCCCCATAAAAGATCATTGATTTAACACACATACTGTTATTGTTTCCACAACGTAGCTAGCCATGAACACTGAGCTGCAAGAACCTGCTTCGGCGGCCAGAGAGAAGAAAGAGAACGAAGATGCTGATAAAGATCACGATGAGGACGATCCATCGTCATTGAATGAGAGATCCTTCAGAGCTCAGCCATGGACACGGCAGATCACAGTCAGGGGACTGATAGTGAGCATCATGATCGGGTCAATGTACAGCGTGATCGCCATGAAACTGAACCTAACAACTGGCTTAGTCCCAAATCTCAACGTCTCCGCGGCCCTGCTGGCTTTCGTGTTCATAAGGGCGTGGAACAATTTGGTCGGGAAGTTTGGGTACGCGACCAGGCCGTTTACTCGACAGGAGAACACCATGATCCAAACCTGTGCAGTTGCGTGTTACAGCATCACGGTGGGAGGCGGGTTCGCTTCTTATCTGTTGGCGCTGAACAGGAAGACATACGAGCTTTCTGGGTTGCAGACGGAGGGAAACTCTCCTTATGCTGTTAAGGAACCTGGTTTCGGTTGGATGTTTGGCTACCTTTTTGTGGTTTGCTTTGTCGGGCTCTTTGTCTTGATTCCACTCAGAAAGGTAATTTGTGCTCTTTTCTGGGTTTCAGAAAAAGTTTCCTGCTTTGCTGATTCTGTTTTTTGTAATTAGTTGGTTAGTTGATTTCAGGTGATGATAGTGGACTTGGAATTGGCTTATCCCAGTGGCTTGGCGACTGCAGTTCTTATCAATGGATTCCACAATCGAGGGGACGAGATGGCGAAGTAGGTATTTTTATTCGAGAATTTTGATGACAGCCATGTTATTGTTCTGTAGGATTCAAGCTGCGATCTTTATGATATGTTACAGGAAACAGGTTCATGGGTTCATGAAGTACTTTTCAGTGTCCTTCCTGTGGGCATTGTTCAAGTGGTTCTATGCGAAAACAGAGCAATGCGGGTTCAACCAGTTCCCTACCTTCGGGTTAAAAGCTTGGAAGCAAACGTAAGCTGAAGAACTCTTTTGCTGCCTGAACTAGTTCTGGCTTTGGCTGAATTGGTTTGGTTTGTCAGGTTTTTCTTCGATTTCAACACGACGTACGTGGGAGCAGGGATGATCGTCTCCCACCAAGTCAACCTGTCTCTGCTTTTCGGAGCTGTGCTATCTTACGGGATCATGTGGCCGCTCATCGGCGGCCTTAAAGGGAAGTGGTTCGAAGCCGATCTGCAAGAAAGCAGCATGAAGAGCTTATATGGTTACAAGGTTCCAAATCCTCTTCTGTGAAAACAATGTTATGACCTTTTCTTATTTGTGTTATAATCTTTTCCTCTGTTTCTTTCTTGTGGCAAAAGGTCTTCCTGTCGGTTGCACTCATCCTCGGAGATGGGCTCTACAACTTCATAAAGGTTATGAGCTTCACAATCATCAACATCCACGGAAGGTGGAAGAACAAGAAGCTGAAACCAGAAGGTAATGAACGACGAGCGCCCAATTTTCGGCTGAGTTAGAAAAGTTTCAATCTTTGTTGCCTGAAAGTGGAAACTGTTTGTTGATATGGGCAGGGGAAGTTCAGGATGATAAGAAAGAAACAGAGCTTTTCCAGCGAGAGAAGATACCCATGTGGGTAGCAATGGCGGGCTACATAGCCTTCTCGATCCTATCCACGATCGTGGTTCCGACCATATTTCCACAGCTCAAATGGTACTACGTCGTCGTAGCATACGTGCTCGCTCCATCTCTGGCCTTCTGCAACGCCTACGGAGCCGGCTTAACCGATATCAACATGGCTTACAACTACGGCAAAATTGCTCTGTTCGTGCTCGCAGCTGTGTCAGGGAAACAAAATGGCGTAGTTGCTGCTCTGGCAGGGTGCGGGCTGATCAAGTCCGTGGTCTCCGTGGCCTGCATTCTGATGCAGGACTTCAAGACGGCTCACCTAACGCAGACGTCGCCGAGGGCCATGTTCGTGAACCAGGTGATCGGAACTGCAATCGGCTGCCTAATGGCCCCACTCAGCTTTTTCTTGTTCTACAAGGCATTCGACGTGGGGAACCCGTACGGAGAGTTCAAAGCTCCATATGCTTTGATATACAGAAACATGGCGATTCTCGGGGTGGAGGGCTTCTCGGCTCTGCCACGGCATTGCTTGCAGCTCTGTTACGGGTTTTTCGCCTTCGCGGTGGGGGTTAATATGGTGAGGGACGCAGCTCCTGGGAAGGTGGTGGGCCGGTGGATGCCGTTGCCGATGGTGATGGCTATTCCGTTTCTGGTCGGGGCGTATTTCGCCATCGATATGTGCATCGGAAGCTTAGTTGTGTATGCTTGGAGCAAACTGAAGCCGAGGAAGGCAGAGTTTATGATCCCGGCGGTTGCTTCTGGGTTGATTTGTGGGGAAGGGCTGTGGACTCTTCCGTCGGCGGTTCTCGCTTTGGCTAAGGTGAACCCGCCTATCTGCATGAAGTTTGTGGGCTCCTAGGCAAAGTAGTTCTTGATACAATGCTTAGCCTACTCACAAGCCCCTACCGAATCCCGATTCCTCGAGCTTCAATACCGGTGCATACTGGAATGAATCTAAAGAAACTAATAGAAAATTTGAGTGATTTACAGTAAGAATCATCACGCTTTGCATATTATAAGTCGCAGAAGGGCGACAAAATGACGAGCCAAACATTGCAGCAGAATGTAGGGGTAGCCAGTATGTCTCATACTTCATTGATGATACAGCAAAAAATTCACAAAAGAATCAAGCGCTGAAACAACGATTCTACAATATACAAATTTTGTTATTCCACTAGTTCGAATTGAGATGCACGAAGCTATAATTTCACAATGATGTTCTATGATTTTGGTGGACGCAAGAGAACTTCCTAGATCAGCTGGTTACGATGGAAGCTAGAACATCACTCTTACCTCGTGCATAGATCGTGTAGACGAGACGAATTGCATCAAGCCATCCATCCAAGTACTCCCATGAGTCGGCAATCTGCATCCAATGAAACAGAGAAAAAGATGAGCGATGCAGTTTACAGTTCAGTCATGGCAGAAGGAGGTTTACATATCTTACTTGACCTATCAAAACTTTGAACGAAGTCTGCCATTCTTTCATTAGGTTTCTAAATATGATTCAATATTGTTTTCTCAATGAGTCTGATGTTTGGTCCACACAGTAATGAATAATGATCGTACATGTTGCAGTAGCATGGAGCAAAGAGTTAATGACCTCCCAAACTTCTTTAACCAGCACATAGAACCTCTATTGGTGTTACATATGAACTTGGATAATATGCTTACCAAGTAAACAGGTCCGTGAATTGTATCAACACAAAGGGCGGGGCCTGGTGGCAACGTCAAATCCGCACATGCTGACACTGAAGTAATATCTGGAACTTCAACTTTGACAGCATTTTTACCATTGATAACATCTGCGGGTCTCCGGGACAGGCTTTGTGGCGATTGCTTTAGATCCGGTTTGTTATACTGCTTGGAAGAAAGGACCAAAGGAAAAGGTCATTTTTAAACAAATATCCATGTCAGACAACCGATCGACTATCAACACCAAGAAATCCTGTATCACTACTGGACCCTTTCATTATCCAAGACCCCGAGGTGACATTCTTCTTAGATAGATGAAGTAGTGATGTTTTGGTACCTGCTGAAGTCCTTCATGATTCAAAACGAACTGTGACCTTTTCCAATCACTATGAGGTGCAATGGGTCGTCCGGCTGGCGGGGCAGTGAGATATCCAACTTTAAGGTATGGCAGTGGTAACTGCCAACAATTAATCCAATGTCAATTTACACCGTATAAATACATCCTCGACTCTTCACTATCAATACCGAAACAGACTACAGGATTGCATGCATCACTAATTTAATAGAGACCCAGGAAATCAAGTTGTCAAGCAGTAGACTAGCAAAGCTTAGCAGAGCCATAAGGTGAGTTGTTAAGCATGGTTTATCGTTCATAAAGACATACAAAAAAAAGTATTAGGGAGTTTATATGAATAATGCCACCGGAAGACCAAACAATTAATAAGTCCATGTAATATAATGTGACTAGAAAATGGTATTCATTTAGTTACTGATTGACAGACGAACGATCACCCAGAAGCATCACAGAATAAACAACTGTGAGACTTATATTTTAGCAAAACTGTAATACTAACCATGGAACGGACAAGCCGCAAAGCACTGCTGTATACCTGTATGCAAAACATCAACAGATGATAACCATCATGCTAAAGAAGAGAGTACTAACGATTTGTAAAAGACAAAATGAGCTTCTCTGAAGAAAAATTAAGTGATTTAAGTTGACCAGTGAAGCTTAAAGTAACTTTCTGGTGGGTTTAAGTGCATAACTAATACCAAAAGCCTATAATAAAAGCAAAACTCCAAATATGTAGGTACTCACAGAGTAATTTGGCTTCAACGCATGTGCAGCTGCAATGTATATAGCAGATTGGCTGTACAACTCATTATGGGAAATGTCCTTAGGATTCGTTCCTGCACCAGCCCTCATCATGTCCTCTGCAAGTCCATACTGCAGAAAGAAACCACAACTAATTTAGCATTTTCCGTCATTCAGTTTAGAAGAGGATAATCAAAGATGGGTTCTGTCTTGTTTCCCCCAAAAAGGGAGGTGAACTAAAGAAAAAGAGCCAAAAGTTTAGAATAAAAACAATCCACCCATGGAAATAGTAAGAAAAGTACCAGAACAGTCCCAAGATTGTAGATTGCTCGATGAAAATCAAATTGCAGCCTTATTGCAGCTCGGAACTGCATCATAAAATGAGTAAGAGAAATCTTGAGAACGGATACAGGGCTACGACCACCCAGGAGTCATTAGATGCCAAAACTATTTTACAAATTGTTCCAAAATGCAACTTTTATAATACCTTACTGATTGCTGTTTTCACAATTGTCTGCTTTTCGCGAGCTGGAACAATTGCACTGAGCTCCTGAATTGTAAAATCACGATAGAATCAAATTTTGCTACAAAAACTGTTCTCAAAACCATTTGATGAATCAGAGGTAAGACTGGTAAATAATTCTGTGAAGTACGAATCTACATTCTACAGACGCCGTGTGTATGGCTAGAATTACCTGTAGAGCAAGTCCCCAATTGTTAAGCGCCTGAAAAGTATTTCAATGCATAATTACATTACTAAACAAACAGTAAACAAAACAAGCATATGTGGAAAGGCAGACATAGGCTTGAGGGGGACATTTACAGAGCTTTAGATGGACATACCTGTGGACTATTCCAATTAAGTTGAACAGCTTTTTCATAGTTTGTTGTTGCCTGAAAAATGAACAAGAATGAATTTTTCCAAAAACGTCATATGTATCCTTTGTACACTACCAGCACGCTGAAGAAATATTAAGCTGCATATGAAACTGTATTCAGGCCAGATCATAGAAGTTCAACAAGGATCAAGGCAATGAAACCAACACCACCAATAGCATTAACTAAAAGCAGCCGTTTATTTTATCACTTCTAGCATGTTCATTGGTGAGACTATTTGCACGGAGTGTTCTCTAGTAATCTAGTTATTCCCAGATCGCCTACGAAATATGGTGAATTAGTTACCCCGATCTCAAGTGAATACTTAGCCTTTGACCAAACACCGTCATATGTATGCAGCATTTCCAACTTGACAAGAAAGTGATAGTTATAATATCAAAGTTGTGGTCAACCTGCTTCCAGAGTTCTTCAGCCTCCTTTGTACGGCCACGCATTTTTGCTCGATCAGAAATTGCTATAGCCCAATTGTAGAAAGCCTGTCCAAAAATCATACCACAGGATTTATGGCTGCAACCATCAACAGGAGCAGCATGCACACGTTGAACTCGTAATCTGATACCCCATGAATCAAATTACTCAAGTTCAGGAAATAACCACCCATACATACATCATGAAGTGTCGGGCAAAGACGTGTAGCCTCGTCATACTTTCTGCAAGCTTCCTCAAGCAAAGCATCTTTTGAAGGTGAGGTTGATTCTGGGTTAACATTGTCAGCACTTTCCTATGAATCAAATGAAAATAACATCAATGGACATCATCTAGAGATTTCAAATGCTACTGAATTGGAAAAATAAAGAAAAGTCTCAAAACCTGAAGAACCAAAGCCCAATTGTAGAGAGCATCATAGTCATCCGGGTTTCTCTCAATCGCAGTGGCATACCTATTGAGTTGTTATTAAGACGATGAGTATGGACAAAGATTATCCCAAGAAAAGAAAAATACCGTAAGTTAAGTTCGTACTATGGTGGACATCAGAATGAAAATCCATTTCTATCCATTTTAATCCAAGTCAGTACATTTGGCCAAAACAAATTCCATGATCAGGGTTTTGAGAACAGCACATGGGGAAGAAAGAAAGATGATTGAGATGAAGAAGGCATCACCTTTTTGCAGCAAACGTCAGAATTCTTTGACGCGACCGACCCTCCTCGTCGACACCAGTGATACTATTTATCAACTCCATGGCAGCATTGGTCTGCTCTGCTGCATGTTGTTGTGGGGTTTCTTGACTGGAACAATTAACAACGAAGAAAAAATACAATGAGCTACTGAGACAGTAAGGACAAAAGAGCATGCTTCTCATTACATTCCACTCAATCACCAGAAAGGAAAATAACATCTTCAGATCTTAATGCCATGAGTCTCTCATCACACCACCAGTAGGCTCACAATCGATACTAATTGCCAACAATCATGATTCCAAAATGAACAATTCCTATGTCAGATTCAGAAACAAGCAAGGGAAAGAGCGGCATGGATCCAATCGTGTACACACACTGACATCTTCAAGCATGCATCCTAAAAGCCAAGATCAGGGACAAGAAGCAGAATCCAAGCAGTAATTGAGCGGTGATTGAATAGAATTTCGCGTTAATACAAACAGAAACCCCAAACCTGTAAGGGGAGCCAGCATCTTCTCCTTCCTCGGTTTTCAACTCAGTGAGCAGTTCTCTCATCGTAAACGTCCGGTTCCCTTCGTCTTTTCTCATCTGAGCTCGGTCGTTTGACTGAGCTTCTGCATCTCCATTGGAATGAATTGCAGCTTCTTTTGACTCCTTCTCCTCGTCAACCTTGGAATCCGAATCGGCCATTGCTGGTGGAACTGGAGCTGGTGCTGGCTCAGGTTCATACTCGGCCTCTGTCACTTCTGTCCCCGGTTCAGATTCTCGATTCGCTAGAGCCTCGGATTCTGGCTCCCCAACCGAAACCTGCACATTCTCCGGTGAAGATTCCTGTTTCTCTGTTGATGTAGATTCTGTAGCCGGAGCCGGAGCCGGGGGAGGTTCTATCGCATCTTGAAATTCAGGATCTTCGTTCGTCGACATTGCAGGGTTTCACCGGAAAGAGAGAGCAGAGAACAGTACAACGGGAACGAAAATGGAGAAATGGAGGAGATACTGTTCAGTGACAACCAGATCGAGAGACAGATCCGCAACGAGGGAATTGGGGAGCCTGCGACGAAAGCAACCGAGGAAAATTCAGAAGTACGGAAGATGAGAATTTTTTTTTTCCCCTGTTATCTTTTTTCCCGTTGGGCGAAGTGAAAGTCCAATCAGTTTAATTGGTGTGGCCCGGCTCGCATGACTTGGCAATATGGTTCGAAAGCCCGCCTACGGGATGTTTGGGTCTGTTTGCTGTGAATTAATTGGGCCTTAGTGTGAAACAGCAGTGGATGATGGAGCTGGGCCTCGGCCGGCTAAGTATACTTAAAGGCCCGATGAAGTAAAGAGGGATTGCTTTTTCAAGTTTAAACCGACCGGTTGAAATATAAATTTAGGATTAATTTTTGTCAAGTATTTATCAAATTCACAGGATAAAAATCGGGTTATATTATATTTACTAGCTCATTGCCCGGCCCTTGGCCGGATGTAGTCTCGGAAATTGACTTTTTGATTGTAACTGATGTTACTCGTTAACATGTATGTGGCGATGACAGGAGGTAGGTCAACAATACCATAATAATATGATGGAAAGTCATTATTCCATTGCATTACAAAAGAAACAGTAAAACATAAACACTATAATAGACAATCCAAACCAAGCCATTAGCCTTCAATATAGCCACTATTGCCATGCACCATGATGCACCTAGAGTGAACATGAAAAAACTAAAGGAATGTTTACCTGACTCCAACTATCGATGGTAAAAATGGAAGTCACCAAGAGATTTCATAAGAAAAATCCAATATAGATTGCCCTTAGACCAAAAACCACAGTGATACAAAATGCGATGAATTTCTGGCTGAGAAAACAAAAACCAGCAATGTCTAAATCAACTCGATGGAATGCGTCGGTCAATTTTTTTCTGATAAATAGTTTTGTTAATTAAAATGACAAAAAAAAAAAAAGAAATACAAAGCATGCAATCTGCTTTAGAAATGTCATATACAAACAAAAGAAACAGGCAAGCAATATATGTCTGGAAGCACCAACAGATAATAACTTCTGTCAATATACCTCCCCATTATTACGATTCTTATCCTTCTCTACAGCAAACACACTTATTGGTCCACTCTTACTCCTTTTTCGTGGAAGCTACATGACATTTTGCATCATTGCATATTAATTCAAACTACCATTCCTTGCTGCAATTTATGGCTTGGGATAATATCATTTCAGTCGTAATACAAATTTACATGAAATGAAAGAAATGATCATTATAATAGTCTTGTAAAATTTAGAGTACCAATGGCGATTCCTCTCTTCTCCTCGGTGGCTTCTGCAATAAAATGAGATTGATGACTATCTCTACCCACGTATTTTATACGATCATTGTATGACCTTTTGTATAAACCATTTTTGTCTCACCCATTTTCGCATCACAACTCCAAGAGCTAACTTGTTGGGGTTCTCTTCTAGGTAAGAAACTTGTATCAATATCATGCATGAAAACGAAAATTGCTTTGGTTGAGATACTATAAGGATCTTGTGATGCGCTGAAGAAGGCTAAACCGTTTCCCATACATTGTCAACCCCCAATCAATTTGATGTAAGTCATTGCTCTCTTACCATCTAAATTAAATAGGAAGCTCAAGTTGACCTCTTTTATAGCTTCACTTGACAATTTCTTAGAGGAGATAAAATCATGATTCACAATTCTAGAACAACCACCTCATATAATACAATCTTATGGAAACAACACTAATGAAGCACCCAAATTACAATTCCGTACATGTTTCCTATGAGGGTGTGCATCTGCAAATTAAGAAAAATATAATGATTAAGGAGAGAGCTTACTTGGCACCCGGCTTTGAGGAGCAAAAATCCCTTCAATAATATTCTCAACATGCTATACTAAAAACACAAAGAGTTCGGTTTGTCCTTCCCATGACAACATATTCTCATAATGTATTTATTCCTTGCAGAGAGAATGATATCAAACCATCTTCTATCTGCTCCAATTATGGTTATCACTCGTATTTTTATATTGTAGTAATTAGAACACCACTTTTAAATCTGGAAGCAAGTGACACTGTCACAAAACATCATATTGTAAATACTTATATGCAATCATGAGGTTATTCCACTCAAAAGAAACCATGTTTTATATGTTGAAGATTAGCATTATAACTTGAATAGTTTAATTTGGAAATGATCTCAACTCTTACATATAAATTTTGTGTAAAAGTGTTATGATTGAAGCTATTCTCTATGTTAACACTAATCAGAATAGTCATTGTTTACTAAAACTAACCACAAAAACATTTCAAATCGGAAAAATGATGGTACTAAACAGGGGTATCATAACAAAAGCAACAAAAATTATAGCTATTTATCTTTAATCATCTCAAAAGTCAACGTAGAAGATCAGCCATATGAACTGATGTTAAGAGATCACACTTTGCTCTCAAAGAAACTAAATAACCCATCATTCAGCTCTCCAAGCAAGAAGACTCAACCTTTCGATATTTACCCCTCCGAAAATTGCTTTGCATAACAGTATAGGTGGAGAAGGTTAGGCGGTTGTCGAGTCCGATTTAAAGGTTTGGAGAGACGACAATGGTTGAGCGTTTAGTAGGCCGAGAGCCCGGGACACTGTATATCTTTAATCAACTCAAAAGTCAACCTAGAAGATCAACCTAGAAGATCAACCAAATGAACTGATGTTAAGAGATCACTCATTACTGTCAAAGAAGCTAAACAATCCACCAGACAGCTCTCCAAGAACACTCAAACTTTCCATATTTATCCCTCCGAAAATTGCTTTGCGTAACAATATAGGTTGAGGAGGTCAGGCGGTTGTCGAGTCCGGTGGGAAGGTTTGGAGAGACGGCGATGGTTGAACGTTTAGTAGGCCGGGACACCATTTAGACCCATTTACATTAGTTGCGTCTTTTCAATCCGCATTCGACAAACCAGCATCACTCAACCTTTCCATATTTAACCATCTTGTAAAGACACATGTGCCCCCTATTCAATCAAAACTTTTATGTTCAAAAATATTGTTGCTTTATGGTAGTTATATTATTTAAGTCTATGTCAAGATTTTTGCATCGCTTCTACACATTCAATACTGCAATCCGATGTGCAATATTTGCACCAATGACATTAGGCTTGCGATTTAAAATTATTCTCCATTTATAAGATAAATAGAAATAGAAATAATTATTAAATTTGAATTAAAATAATCAAAGTATGAGAATAGAAGTATCAAATACCAAAAATATATTTAGGGTAGAGTTAGTGGCTTAGCTAACTATGACAAAAAATTCCTATGATTTTCCAGATTTATACTTTCTGTATGTTTTAATTTAAAAATTTTAAACAAAATTTTTTAGTGTAACTGATTATGTTTCTTGTCTTTTCTCAAAGAGATCACGATTCAAATCTCATCACCAATGTATTTTTCCTGTAAATAATAAAATAATAAATGAGTGTGAAGACGAATCTACCCTTCTTAATTTTGCTATGGATGCAAGGATTTTCTAATGGGGGAAACACCTTTCCCATTTCACTATTATATTAGGTTTAGCGAAAGTAACCCGGGTGGTTGAGCTTTTAGTGGGTCGGATACTATTTGGGCTCGTTTACATCAGTAGCGCCTTTTCCATCCGCGTTGGGCAAACCAACAACACTCAATCTTTCCATATTTACCCATCTAAATTGCTCTAGCGTAACAATAGAGGCAGAGGAGGTTAGCCGGCTGTTGAGTCTAATGGAAAGTTTGGAGAGACGACGATGGTTGAGCATTTAGTGGGTCGGGGCACTAATTGGGCTCGTTTACATTAGAAGTGTCTTTTCCATCCGCGTTCGGCAAACCAACATCACTTAACCTTTCCATATTTACCCCTCTTAAAGACACATGTGCCCCATATTCACTCAAAAGTTTTGTGTTTAAAAATATTGTTACTTTATGGAAGTTATAACAATTAAGTTTATGTTAAGAATTCTACATCGCTTCTAGACATTCAAGAGTGCAATTCGGTATGCAATATTTGAATCAATGACATTTCGGTTGCTAACCATGGTGGAAAAGTCCTATGATTTTTTTGATTTAAGCTTCCTGTATGTTTTTTATTGGAAATGGTCCCACAAATGTGTTTATTGTAACTGGTTATGTTTCTTATCTTTGTTTGAAGAGACCACGGTTCAAATCTCATTAATGATCTATTTTTTTTCTGTAAATAAGAAGTTAATAAATAACTGTGAAGACGAATCTACCCTTCCTACTTTCACTCTGGATGAAGGAAATTTGAAATGGGGCTTCAAGTTTTCTCATTTGGCTTTTATTTATTGTGTAGATTTTGAGGTAATTCTATCAAGATGTTTATTTGGTTTGTACCAAATAGTTGCACATCCTACAAATGGGCATGGGTTCCTGTGCTTAAGCCCAAAAGCTTAAGCATATGCTTAAACTAATCCTATTGGTTGTTAGTAGATTGGGTGGTTAATTAGTAGTTATTAGTTGATAATTGGTTAAGGGTATTGAGGTAAATTGTGTATTTTATTTATTTAAAATTTAACATATTTTCATAATTAAATAAAAACTTAACGTAAACCCTAAAACCAACCATAGAGCTGCTGGTTAGGTTTTTATTTTTTAAATTCGTCTTCTTCCCAGCCGTGTTCGACGAGACCACTTCCGGCCACGGCCAGCGCAGCCAGCCACCGTCGTCTCCTTCCTTATTGCCACCGGCGTTCCTCTTTCCTCCAACACAAATGATAGGTAATCCTTGTCGGGAAAAAGCTGCAAACCCTTTGGTTGTCGTCTTACTTACGATTTCACGTTTCTTGTTTATTATAACTACCGGGAAAAAGATGTCGGAGTTGACTTGTGGTTTCGGGTACCCGCCGCACGGAAAGATGGCATGGCGGCCTTTTTACTTTGACCTTGGTCGTTTGTCATCGTTAAACCTTGTCTTCGCCGGTCTTCATTGTTCTTTTTTCTTCTTACGCAGCCAGGAACCGTCATCGTCGGCGTGGAGGTATGTTACTGTTTTGTTTTTGTTTTTGGTTTCAATGGGTTTTTTTTTACGATGCCAGCAACGGTCATCACCGGCCCACGGGTAGGTATGTTCTTGTGCTATTAATAAATCCCCATTTAATTGTTAACGATTTTGATATGTACTTGTCTTACAATAGTTTCAACGTCATCAAACTAGTAATAGTTTTCTGTCCATCCGCGTGATTACGATATTTGAGTTATTAATAAATCCCCATTTAATTGTTAACGATTTTGATTGGAACTATCAATTTTGTTATGGTCGAATGGTAAGCGGCTTATGCATGTATGTGATTAAGTCATGTTTTTATTTCCGACCACTATATAATCATTTTCAATATATTTATATGCCTTTTTTGTAATTATTGACAGTTTTATTATCAATCTCGTTCATTATTAACAATTTTAAATCATGTTTGACTAAATCAGACATTAGTAACAATTTTATCTATGTTTATTAGCTAATTTGAAGGGTGTGTTAAAGTTCTAGAATATATAAACTTGAAGCCAATCACTATTAATTATCAACTGGATACAACCTCGTTATCAATTTTTTTGTGTTTATTGACAATTAATGGGGAATCAAGTATTAGTAACAAGTATTCTTACATCATCAACGAAACACATATAAGATATTAAGGATTTACAATAGCATTATTAACGGTTTGCTATCGCTAAAGAAATTAAGCAAATCCTTTTTAATGTTTATTTATTTTTGTTTGAACGGAAACCAACAGTTTTTTAAAGAAATTGATGGTACTTGACACTTAATATTGCATCGATTCATCATTCATGTTAGTGGTTTGACTATTATCAATTTTCAATTTCGTAAGCAATAATTTTTTGTTACGTTATTAACGGTTTGTTGCATCTCTATCAACTTACAAGCATAGTTTATTACATGGTTATTGTTACATAAAATCTAGTTGATCGATTATGTAATTTTCACAAATTTGTTGTGCATCTTTCTTTGTGTAGTTTGACGGCATGACATGAACACGTCATGTAAGACTGTTCTACCTGGAAACAAGCCCAAGATCGAGCAGCCATAAGTTGAGGGCAATAATTGCAATAGGTCAAATCACATATCCATTATGTAGCAAATGTCAAAGTCGCAGATGGTGAAGAATATCAGTCCCCGTCAATATGCAAGATCAATATTTTTTATATGAATGTAATTGCTAATTATAGAGAAAAAAAATGTTAATGTTTTCCAATTTGCATGTGAGGTTTATAAACTCGTTGATATAGTGTATTATATGTTTTTATTATTGTTATCAATCAAAGGTAATGTTACCAACTTTTCTGCTTGAATTATCTATGTTATACAAAAGCATTATCATCTTCTCATAAATAATTTTGTTGTTGTTTGTTTATGATTTTATACTCATTGTTAAAGATATAAAGTAATGTTATCAACCTTGATGTAATGTAATTGTTATTAGCATTAACAATAATGAAAATTTTAAATATTAACATTTTTAGGCTCAACGTTAACAATCTGATACAATATTATCAATGCTAATGAGATGTATCATTAACAAAATACAAAATCATTATTAATGCTACATTAATAATTATTTACTTATGAAAACATTGTTAATGGTATATCGTCGTGTTTTTTTCGTAAATCATATAAATTTAACATTTACCAATAATTCAAAGATTAAGAGTTCATTGCTAACAATCTTATGTTCTCTTATCAATGTTTCCGGGATGCATCATTAACATTTAACAAAACAAATTATTAGTATTAATGTTAAACTATTATTTACAATATTAGCAACATAAAAAATCATTGAAAATGTTAATAATCACCTGTTATTAACTTTTCTTAATACACCCGTCAACAAAATACTATGAGTTATTATCAATATCATGCACTATAATTATCAACACTTTAGCGACGTATCAATAACGCAATGCATAACCATTGTTATAATACGTAAATAATAAATGCTGAACGTTCGCAGGACGTGGGCTCCGTCAATATAGCGTCGGGATGGCGGCGTGAAGGGTGACACTCTGTGTTGTCGGGATGCTGGTGTCGGTTTTGTTTCAGGAGGTGATGAATTACTCGCTGTCGGCGGCGGCTGGGGCCGGGTTCGACGAGGGGACGACGGTGTCGTTCGATGATGCATTTGGTGGAGGAAAGGGGTCTCTGCGGCGGCAGGGATGGCGGAGGAGGTGGAGGATGGAATAATGGAGGGATGGCAGCGGAGTGATCTGGTCACTTTTCGCGGACGGCTGGATATGGAAAAAAATATGTTAGATTTTTATTTTCTCTTTCTATTAACTATTATTTTTCCCCTTAATACCTAGTTTACCCTTACTAACTACCTAACTAATAACCTACCATAAACAAACTAAAATTATTTTAGCCAATAGGAAAGCTTTAAGCATATGCTTAAGTTTTTAGGCTTAAGCACCGGATCTGACCCGCTACAAACGAGGGACAACTCAAATTTGTGAAAGAATAGGTGAGATGAAATAAAAAGGTAGAGTCATGCAGTAAGTATGTTAAAATACTTTTGATCAAAATCTTACATGGGAAAAATAATGAATTTTGAACAAGAACATGGGAGTGAAAGGAAACCATATTGGTTAAGTTGTGTGCAAGAGGTCCATGTTGATTCACACAGAGATTGCACGTGCCTCATGCTACTTGGATCAGACTGTACGCAGGTTAATGATGCATTTGGACTACTTGAACTTTCACAATTTTAGGGTGCGCATGCAGTAGTACTCCACCACCAGCTTCGTCTAGTAGCACGACTCGTTGTATCGCGCTCTCCCAGCAACCACATTTTCCATGGGTCATCATGCGCTTCCATTCTGCTATAGTCGATACTACGTACGTACGAAAGAGATCTCATTCCCAGACGCTAAATTTTTTCATGCAAGTTCACCACGAGATCATGTGCATCATCCAAAAGCTTCCACACATCCAAGTTCCCCGCCATGCCATTGCACTCCCTCATGATCTCCTCCATGCAATCAAACCTCTCGATGATCATCTTCCTCCTCTGCAACACCCCCGCCGCTATAGCATAAAGCAACAGATCATCCGTCGGAGGCGCTCCGAATCTCATCATCCGACCCCAACCAGACTTCCCAATCCCCGCCCTGATCGCCGCCTGATCCGCCCACATCACCTCCCACAGGTTCAACGTCTGCTCGAAGCTCAACTCCCTCCTCAAAAGCACCACCACCATCCTATAAACAAAGAAGCAATCCTCCGCCTGAAGCTGCTTCAGGTGCTCATAAAGATGGCCGTCCTGACACCGGATAATCTTCGACACCATGTCGAGCTGCCTTCGTATCCCCATCTCATCGAGGCGGAAGTTGTGTCGGGCTTTCCTCATGAACCCGACGAAGCACCAGAATGCTTCGAAGTCGTCTTGGTCGTCCACCACCGCGATGATGGGAGTGAGTAGATCGCTCATTCCCTGACAGTACCCGATTTCGGGGTCGTACAACGCGTACGCCTCGAGGATCCTGACCAAACGTGCGGCGTGGTGGATCCTGCACGGCTCGAGGTGGTTGTAGTCTCTCAACCTGACACTCTTGGCCAGTCGTTGTGCTCTTGATTCGGACACCGATGATGCTTGAGATGGCGAGTAGGTGATCCATTCTCCGTTTGCTCTGACTGCATCGACGCGCATTGTTCTCTGCCATGTTACGAAGTCGGACTCTTTGAAACCCGTGGAGGTTTCCGATGGGTTGCTGGTGGTGGTGGAGAAGGAACATTGTTGTCGTTGGGAACAGCTTGGATTGTTTTCATCTGCACAACCATTCTCCCTGCGATTGCCCACGTAAACTTCTTTTGGCTTAAAGCTTGTATCGTGACGCTTAAGGATTTTTCGGCACTGTCTTCTCAGATCTTCATACTTTTTTCTGTAGGAATAGTAAATAAAAACACACATTATACTTCAAACAATATGTCATAATTAGTCATTACTCAAACGAAAATCGCTCCTATAATCTTAAAATTCGGTCACAGAATGCTTTGATTCAGTGTCGAGAACAAGCTAATCCCAATAACTCGATTTATTAGAAAAAGTTCAATTACAAATCTTATACCATGTACTAGCAAAAGTGATGCAAGACAATAATTAAAGTGCATCATCGCACTTTAATACCTATTATGAGCTCTAACTTTATCTCTCTCTTCTTTCGAGCTCCTTATATCGTATCTGTAGAAAAGAACTTATTTTGAAATTACAATTAGTAGATCATAATCATTAATCATCATAAATTGCTGAAGCAAACAAGTAGTAATAGATTTGACAAAGCAATCAAACAAGTATTTGATATATAGGCTTTTATAATTTAAGAAATCAGGAGAAATTACACGTGAATATGGGAATTAATATCCTTACACGCCCAGGAGAAATGGCCAAACTTCCGATCTGATGCTTGGATCTACACCCTGAATAAAATTGCAGAAATGTCTTGTCAACGTCAACTACATAAGTTAGGGTTTTTTTCTCTAAAGAACTTATTGTCTAGAACTTGAGCCTAGCTCATTTCAATGTTCGGAAAAAGATATAGAAATTCCAGTAAAAGTCGAAACATACTGCAACACGAGCTTTCTTCAGGAACTTAACACCCCCATCGGAGAGTTTGCCATCCGGTGTAAATAAAGCCCTCCATTGTTGTGGTAGGAGAGCAGCTGGTTTTCTCCTCCTACGATATACCAATGTGTTTTCAGACTACCATTGAATACATTAAAAAAAACCCTGATCAATGCAGTCAAAATGTTTAATTCTATGTAGAACTGTTTGACGACAAAGATGCGTAAAATTGTAAGTTTTTTATTCATTGAAAAACACTTTGTGACGATGCCGGTGGTGTGAAGAACCAGTTGCTCCCAATAATTCGAGTTGTTGGGAGAGGTTCAATCGTGGATCATATACCACAGGGCACAACACTAACACGTCCCCTCAAACGAAAGTCACTCACAAGTGCTTGAAGTTTGCACAGGTCTGAAGACAAGAATACCATGTGCTTAACAAATGGAGGCAACCGGAAATCGAACACAAGACCTCTCGGTCACAGATATCATGTCATAAACCAATTGGTCCCAATAACTCGAGTTGTTGGGAGATGTTCAATCGTGGATCATATACCACAGGTCAAAAAACTAACAGTTGGACCTTGATTTCAAAGAACGAGGAGAAGGCAATATGCAACGGAATATATATAGGGGGGAATGATTCATTACCTACTCGTATAAACGAGGGTAGCAACCACGGCGATACCAGCCACGGCCGTCACGGCAATGGCTAGTCCGACATTAGAAGGAGAGGCATCAACGGCGCCCCAGAATATTTCACGGGTTCCGAGGAGGAACGAGCCATCGTCGCCGTTGGTCCTTCCGATGATAACTTCGTCGGCAACCATGATTTATTCCCCAATTACATGCACCACCGTTGCTACCGACGGAGGAAGAGAAGGAGAAAAAGAGAGCATTGGGGAGGGATGACAGATGAAACAGACACGACAAGATATAATGTATCGTGCGTTTTGTTTCTTTGTTCTTCTTCGTCGATGGTTTGATCTTCCACAAAATCATCACCAAATTCACAATCCCTAAGCGGACTCTTTTTATGTTCTCTCTATACCTCCATCATTTGTTTTGTTCAGAAAGCTACTTACTATTTTTTTAGCTCGTTTTAGCAAAGAGCTTAAATTGTTGATTTTATAATTATCCAATTATTCCTCTCTAAATAGTTTCTAAAAGATTTTATTTTAGCATGCTAATGTTCTATGCTTTATGTGTACTACTACTCCATTCGGCATTATCTCCAACAAAAATGATAATTTAACTAGCACACACATTTATATCGATTATGAAAATCTCGAAAGTAACTAAATTCGCTCATTCAACAGTAGACATCCATCATAGGTGTTCAAACGGATTGGTTACCGTGGTAACCATATTAACCAGTAGGATTCGGTTAATTTGGTTTGGTTAATTTGGATAATTGGTTTGGTTTGGTTAAACAATTTAGCTTATTTGGTTTAGGTGGTTCGGTTTGGTTTCAACACTACTAACCAATGAAATCAATTAACCAATTAATGATACACCTAGTATACAAAATTATTTATACTTCCATGCAACCAACAAAACCAAACTTTCTTGATTCCCTATTTTATTTCCATGTGCACAACAAACCAAAGCATTATGGGTCAAAAATTAAAGGTTAAATAGTATGTAACCAGAGCAGAGATCAAAGAAGCCATCATCGAACTCCAACTTGCTTGGGAAAGAGGTTACATGAAAATGCTTCTGAACATAGACTCGATTACGGCCTTCCAAATCATGACCTCGCCAGATGATAATCAACAAAGGTATTTCAACCTCAAGCGCCACCAATTCTAGTCGCTAGTTTAATGAGAGTGGGAGGTTCTCATCTCCCACACATACAAAGAATGCAATAAAGCGGCAGATTATCTTGCCAATATAGCTCACAATGTTAGTATAGGAATCCACGAGTTTGATATTTCTAATCCAAATTTGAAATTTTGGACCTTGTATGATATAATAAGGGTGCCTTTTAGCCTCCCATTTTCTACCCAAAAAAATTCATACATGAACTGAGTGGCGGATACATGGACATTTAGGGGTGTCCCGGGACACCTCTAAAATTTGGAAGAACGATTATCCAATCCCTGGTTGTAGTTTCGTATGGAAAAAAAAAATTATAATTGATAATTCGGGACACCCTTAAAATTTGAAAAAAATGATTATCCTACTCTTGAATGTAGTTTGTGTAAGATTAAAAAAATATAAATGGTAGTTTATGTTATTCAAACCTAGGACACTACTATTATTAAACATATTCTCTAGGTTGCAACTCATTTCTTGTTCTATTTAAACACTATGAAATAGTAAAAACATTATTCCTTATCCCCAACTATTTTCAAAACCTAAAAACTAAACTAATTGTGGGATATCCTTAATTTCAATTGATTTTATGGTTACACGGCAAGAGTTAAAAGAGTCTTTCAACTTTGAGTTACATAAAGAACAATGTTAGAATTCGAATATGCTATCAGTTCGTGAATTATTGTCTAGCATGATATATAGATTTGTTGAGCAGTGAAACGTCTAGTATATTTATATGAAAACACGTCGTGGCCCTTTGTTAAAATTTGTACTAGTCATATATTTTCTTATTTATGAATTATTTAATTTATTTATGAATTATTTACTTTTCAGTTTAGTCACTTTTTTTTTTTTTTTTACAAAATCTCTGTCACGCGAAATCGCTGGCCGGAAATTTTGAAGGGACGAATTTCTTCTTCTGGAATATGTTTGGTCCACCCACCGGCAGGCACCTCGGGAAGGGAATGGAAGGAAGACAATCAAAATAAATGCTAATATAGGTGAATAGGTTGGGTGTTTGTCACACCTGCAGCTTTGCTACTCCAAGGCAAAGGAATCAAAACAATATGTTACTGTTATATAACAAAAACAAAGAATGATAAATAATTAATTACTGGTCTTCTCTTCTTGACATTTGGGTTTATTTGACCGTTCAACTTGATCAACTACTAGAATATAAATAACTGTGAAAAACTTACAAGTTTGTGTTAGCACATCTAGTTTTCGGTCCATTACATACGTACCAGAGTTCGTACTCATACTTGTTAGCTCGTAGTTAGCCAATATAAGATTGTTACTCGTGTTGATCAGTAGTTGCGGGTTAGAGTTAGATTCGTGTCAGGTATGTATACCTGCGGAATTGCGGTATAATGTTGAATATGAGAGTACAACACAGTTACCACCTTGGACTAGTCCTGCCGAATCACTCATCAGGTAAAACAAACGTAAAAACCGATCAATGTCATCGTTTATGTTCTACATTTGTTCGGCTTTCGATCATCCAACACTTTCATGCAAGTACACACTACACACACTTGGGGGGACATGGTGTGGAAAATGTAACAACTATCTACAGCTTATCTTATCGTATCATGGGCAGCGGCGGATCCAGGGGGCCGTCCCCGGGCCGCGGCCCAGCCCTACTCTGGATCTCGAGCTAGTATAGCACTTTTAATTACCCAATTTTTGGTATTCGTTTTAGTGTTTTCACGTTACGATCCAGCCCTCTCCGTCTTTTTTCAAATGTGGCCGGGTCAAACTATCAGTCTTTGCCTGGCCCTGCCATGGACGTGGATCGATGGAGATGTGATATTTCCATACAAATTAGTTAATTAGAAACATTTTATTTATTTTGGGACACAGCTTCGTCTTTTTCCTCTGTTGGGTGATGGAATTGGACGACCATGTACATGACAAATGTTCGTCGACCTAGCTATGATACGAACCTCGAGCAGTTTGACGCACACACAGGCACACTATTTTTCTCCCCCGTATATAATTATTATTAATACGACAGTGGTTTTCATTTTCAAATAATGTTCTCTCTCAATTTTATCACTCAGTCAGACTGCCGGGATGTGGGCTAGTCAACTTGAAATGAAATAGTTTTGAGAAAAATAGGGGTGGAAAAATGGTTCATTCAGTTTACATATGCGTTATAGAAACTAGGTTTCGAAGCTAAAATATGATTTGTTTTTTAGTGAATATGGCCTATGTAAATATCGGCAATAATGGATTAAACCGTACAAGTATGATATGATCTGGATTGTGTAATGATAACTGATTTTTATTCTACATTCTCAAGTATGTATATTGTAATAGTAGTAGGGGTGTCCATTCGGGTTCGGTTTTTCGGGTTTACTTGAAACCGACCCGATTATATACATTTTCGGTTTTTCGGGTTCGTTTCGGGTTTCGGATTTTCGGTTTCGGGTTCGATTTTGCTTATCGATTTTTCGGGTTCCGACTAAAAACCTCCAATGAATAGAACTCAGCCCGTATTCTTAGGCGTTTGGGTTTTCGGGTTTCGGTTTTGCTTTAACCGAACCCGAACCCGATAAGAAATTTTCGGGTTTCGGATAACCGGAACTCGCAAGTCCTTATCGGGTTCGGTTTCGGTTTCAATGATTTTTTGTTTTGGGTTTTCGAATTCTTTTGAGTTTCGGTTTGAGTAACCGAACCCGACCCGAACTGACACCCCTGAATAGTAGGCCAAAGGGAAGGCATTCATTAACGTGCGGTGAAAGAATAGGTCATAGGGAAGAAAGGAACAAACCGTTCGTCGATGCAAAACAAAATCCAACAAGTTGGTTTTCCCGTTCATTTCTTGGTCAGCGGTGGCGGGGAAGGCACTAGGCAGGCCAGGTCGTAGACTGGGCTCTCCTCTTGTTGCTCAACTTTGACTTAGACTTGCGCTGGCCCGGCCCAATTTCCCAAAAATAAGGCCCTTTTCTTTTCTACTTTTGTTTTGTTTTCTTTCCCTTTGATTAAGACATTAATTTATCAGAAAGTGGTGCTGATTTTGGTAAAGACGGTAGTAATACCCAAAGAAAAAAGTTACGTAATTTGAAGACATCAAAATTTAACCCTGCAATGTCTCCTGCTATTTCCGATGCAACTTTCTTGCTTTCTACCTTTTCGTTTTCATCCTTTTTGGGTGAAATTTTGTCAAACCTTTCTTTTGTAATTATGAGGAAAAGTAAAAAGGTATACAAGAAAGTCAAAATCAAAAATATTTAACAATAGGAAATAAAAAGGGAGATAGAATGGCTTCAAAAAAAAAAAAAAAAAAGGAGATAGAAAGGGTGAAAATTGGAAGAGGGATGGATGGTTTCTGATATGGGTCTGCCTTCTTTCCTTCCGTTAGTCAACTATTTTGATCGTTTAATATGATGGTTAATTATTGAATTTGGCCAATTAGTAAATTTGACAATTAGTCTGTTAGCAACCCGTCCTGTTGGGGTCTGTCTTACTGATTATAGTAGGATAATTATTATTCGGGTTAGTAGTATTTGGGTAGAATTAGGTTATTTGTTAGGGTTTTCTCATATTTTCTCAATAAATATGTACTTCCAGTTTACGTTATAATCAATCAAGGAAAATATTAAGAAGAGTATCTCTCCCAAAACACCTCTCAAATCTCGTCTACTTCTCTCTCAAAGGCCGCCGCCCATTCTCTAGTTCTTCCCTAATTCTGTTCTTCAATCCTAAACCCCTCAAATTTATCTCCAAATTCCTAATTTCTAACTCGAATCCCTGAAATCCCCTTTGTTACGTATAAATATAATCGCGAGTGTCGAAGATCAATCCCTAAACTCCCTAAGAAGTGGGTTTCTAACATGATCAAAGTCACGATGCTATAGACCGGAAAAATCAACCAAGATGATGAATACATGTAAAGTTGGAGCAACACCAAAATATTAACTCTATGTTTATTGAGGCCCTTGGTTTAGCTATAGCTTTTCAACATATGACAAGAGGTCATATGTAGGAATGGCAACAAAACCCGAACCCACGGGTACCCACCCGACCCAACCCGGTCAACGCGGGTAAAATCCGTGTTGACGGGTTTTGGGTCGGGTTTGGGTTTAAACCCGCTACACTATTCATCGGGTCGGGTTGGGTTTGGGTTTAGGTAAACCCGCCCCATGGGTACCCGCCCACACACATATATTTACTTTTCCGGTATATTTATTATTCTAAATAATATATCTTCCTTAAACAACTAATATTCTTTATGTTTGTGGAGACATGTATAATTTGTTCTTTCTAATTGTTTAGAATGAAGTTGATATTATGAAGTGGAGAGTGAAGAAACTTAGTTGACGAGGAAGAAGCTTTCAATTAATCTTATTGTTTATAGATGTTTATCTTTAATTTTGAACAATTTGTATTGATCATTTGCGGTTTGCTTGTATGCTCTAGATTGATGTTTTTTGTATGAATAATTTGTATGAGAAAATTGATGATAAACTTTTATTTTGAAAGAAACTTGTTATTGTAAATTTTTTACCACAAAAACCCACGGGTACCCATGAACCCGCGGATACCCAGCGGGTTGGGTTGGGTTTGAGTTTTTCAAACCCAGTGGGTTTTACCCCGGATTTTTTTGGCTGATAAACCCATGGGTTTGAGTTTGGATTTGACAAAACCCGCCCCAACCCGACCCATTGCCATCCCTAGTCATATGCCATTCCACTCCACCACGAATTTGGGCCTATATCTCTCTTCCTTTCCCCCACTCGAAAAGAAGAGAAGAGAGGTGGTGAAATTGAAGCAGTAGGGTCTGTTTCTCTGAGCAGAAGTATAGTACGTAGCTTTTATGTTTGTCTGGCTGTCTGTGTCCATTTGTCAACTGCTCTCATCTCGAATCCCCCGCAGCGCAAGCTTAGAGAGAAATTAAAAGCCCTCGAAATCAATATATATGGACATTGGATTTGGACAAGGAGAGCTCTGCCCAACAAATGTATGTATGTGTTTTCCCGGTCTACGAGGACGGACGACTTTCCCTCGTTGATCTATCTACTCTATTTCTTGTCGTGTAAAAGTTTACCGCATTCTGCACTCCACTGCTCTTTGCCGACGCATTTCATACACGCATTCATTCGCCTTTTGCGAGATAATTAGCTCGACTAATCAAAAGAACTGCTCAACTAATCCACTCATTTGCCTTTTACACCAAAACTAATCCCACTCATAATGCTGCATGTTGTTTCGTACTTTTTATATGATCAGGAATCCGCGTACATCCGATTAGTAGTTTCTTACGTGGAGCAAGGTTGTCAAACCGGTTTAAGTCGTTGAGCCGGTCAAGCAAGAGGTTTGAGGTTTAATAAGCTGATTGGGGTCCGATCGGTTTGAGTCATTCTAGACGTTTTGTAAATATATATATATATATATATATATATATATATATATATATACAAATAAGATAATAATTAAAGATTTAATGACTGAAATAAAATTTATCTTACATCTATCTATTAAAAATTTATTTCCACAAAATAAATCTACCTAACTTCCACGACCCACGGCCGTACCATCTCCCTTCCTTCGTACCTCTTCCTCTCTCTCTCTCTCTCTCTCTCTCTCTCTCTCTCTCTCTCTCTCTCTCTCTCTTCTTCTTCTTCTCCCACTTTAGCGGTCAGACCGGTGGCTTTCTGGAGGTCGT